GTCTCCAGGAATTAATTAAATTTTTAAAACTGATGTTTGATGCATGTTTGCTGGACTGTAAACTGATTAACGTATAAATATCTGAAGTTTGCTTTCCTTGCATAAACTGTTTGGATTATGTATTAAACTCTTGTAAATTAATTCATAAAGGAATGTGAGGAGTTTCTGGGATGGTTTGGATGTAAATTAAACTTTAAGATGGAATATTGATGCATGTTATCTGACCCTAAATTGTTGGTTTGTTTTGTTAACGGAAACTATGGTTCTTGTATAAACTGTTTTGTTATGCCGTAAGTTTTGGGTCAATTAAATCACAAAGGTTTATGAAGGGTTTCTAGGAATTTAGGAACTTAAATAGAACTCTAAGAATGCTACAAGGTTTGGGATAGAACACTGGACTTCTCTGGAAGCACAGACTGCAACCGGATGAAACAGAGACGAAGCAATGGAGCAGAGACGGCTCTCAGGGAAAGAGAGTCGGCTCCCTAAGTGAGAGAGCCAGCTCCCATGAAGGTAGAGCCGGCTCTCCATGAGGGAGAGCCGGCTCTGGAAGATGAAGAGCCGGCTCCCATAGGGGGGAGCCGGCTCCTTTGAACAGAAACCCCTCCGGGGTATTTCTGGTAATTTTTTGATACTTTGGGGCAAAAAGGTAATTCTGGAGTTTCATGAGGGTTCTTAAATGGTGTACAGAGCATGTTTAAGATCTAGGATGTATTGGTTCAGGTCATGGGAATGGATAACATAAATTTTAAAATATGAATGTTCAATGCTGTCAAGAAAGAAGGAGAACTAAAATCGTTGGTTGGCTAGCAAATTAAATGAACTGCTATAAAGGTAAGTGTTAGGATTTTATACCAATGATATAAATGACATGTTTCAGTTCCAAGAAGGTTGGTTATGTTGTGGTTAGGGTCGTAATGTAATTCTAACTGATAGGTTGCATGCCGACATGAGTTGTAGGAGTTTTAGTTACTAGCTTTATTTTAGCGAACTAAATGGACTTGTATGGGAATACTTTTGGGGTTTCATAAGATGTATTCCGTGTAGATTTCTGAGTGTCGTTATATCAGACACATGATTTATAATGAGGATTAAAGGGACGTAATGTAATTTAAGCATTACTTGGCATGTCGTTAAGGATGGTGCAGGTTGTGATTACTAGTTTTGTTTTAGCAAACGAACTGGACTAGAATGGAGGTATTTTTGGCAGTCTAGTATAATGTGCACAGTTATAACTCTATTTGTCATTATATTGTGCTATGGATGTTAATTGATGAACTGTTAAAATTTATGTTCGATCAATTGTATGGAATTGGATAATTTAAATTGTTTATCATTACTTTAACAATTTAAAGGAAGGATTTATGATTATAATCATATACTGGATGCATGATAGGATCTTAATAATATCTTATTTCTATTATGCTGGTTTCTGGATATATTTGATGTTCTAATGAATGTGCATCATTTGTGGTTCATTTGCATTATATGTACCGGTATGGGACGGTGACATATTAGGGATGGATTAGATCAAAAAGCTAAGTCCTACCCCTTCATACATACAGAATGGATTAACTAAAACAGTTAAATCCTACATGGATGTATATCCTGTCAACTAAAACAGTTGAACGACATAACAAATGTTTGTTTTATCTTTCTGCATTAAGAAGGAATTTATATATATATATACTTATGGTACCGTGATACGAGCTTGAGTCTCCTGATCATGATTAGGGTGCGTATATTGCAAAGGTTGGGTAGCTAGATATAGCTGATATTCCCTGGTAGGTCTAGGTACTTGGCCGCTGGAAAGCGTGTTTTTATGTCACCTGAACTATGTTATAGGCTAGTAAGCATCCTATAGTGTGTGTGTGTGTGTATATATATATATATATATATATGGATTATTTTAGATATTTCTAAGCTATCTAGGATGTATCTGCGTATCGGGTTTATATACGGATTGTAGTAGGATGGAACTTGCATGTGGGCCTGACCCACCTTTATTTTTCAGGTGTTCGTAAGTATCAGGCTTAGTGCTTGATCGTGGTGATGCAAATACAATCACTCATTCTTCCGACTACGTAGGATTTTTTTTCTTATTTTAGTTTGGATATTTATTCTGTAAATTTATTTATCAGTTGGGATTATTAGGGGTCCACTGGATGGATTCTCGAGTTATACGGATTTGAAGGATTTAAATAATATTAATTTATTATTTAAAGTTTGAGGTTTTTTACTTTAGATTTCTTTCAGCGCATTATTATTTTATTCTTAATTCAGTTTTATTCCTGCTTGTTTATATATTAATTGTTTGGTATCCCTCGGATCTGTGCTCGGACTTGATCACTCGTGACTCTAAAATCGAGGGTATCACATTGATGATATAAGATTTCGCGACCTAGAATGACGTCATACTTGAAAGAAAAAGAGAAAGGTGATCAAGGAAGTCCTTATCCCATGACAAAGTCCAGCACAGAAGAGGGAGATTGGGGTTACCAAAGAGGAAAAAGACCTTGACGAATGCAGAGTGACCCTGTCTATATTTTTCTTGGGAAAATTCCATCATAGTCCTACTTTTTGGCTTTAAAGACCATTAAGTCCTAAAAAAATTATTTAGGACAAATCAATCATACTTTTACCATTTATTTTCATTCAAGTTCTTTATAATCTATAATTCCTCATTTGTCCTTTTACTTATTATTGTAGTCAACACCAGAGAAATGGCTGGTGAAGAGAGAAAGAAAGAACCACCGCAGGTCTACCACCTCTGCACTCTCCATCTCCAAGCCAAAGAGAAAAGCGTACTTGCAAAATTTGCCTACCCACCAGATTGAAGTTTTGGTGTTTCACTTATTATCCAAGTGATTGCACTTGGATACAATATGCTTTCAAGATATGTTGCTCTGTGTTTAACACCAATCAACCCGTCTTTTCTTGCTATTATCTTTGTCCCTAGTCATTGTAGTCTTTTGTATCCACAAAACCTAACAAAATCTTCGATACCAAGTTTCAAAATTGACTATGGAGGCAACTATAAGCTTTTGTACTTTGCAAGCCTTTTCACCAAGTTACAAAAACAAAAGGAAGAAAAAAAGAAACAGTATTATACAGTTGTGAAATTGAGCTGCAGAAAGTTTTAATATGAAGTTTTGGGGGGCACTTTCTCTACAACTCCTAATGAAACCAAGATGGCTTATTGGAAACTTGGTCTGAAATATACCTCCTGTCATTAACAAGGAGGTAAAATGTGTCTATAACACTAATTAGTAAACAATAATCACTCAATTTGATATATATTGTTTATATGCATGTTTTTTTCTTTGTTTTCGATGTGAATTGAAGTGCATTTAACCCAAATTAGTGAACTTTTTTGCTGTTATATTTGGGATTTCAACAATTTAGTTGAAGAAAAGATTCTACTATATATAGATATTTATTGTTCAAATTACGAAGAGTTCTATTGTAAATTTATATGTTTTTGGGAAAATAGAGATAAAATTTTGAAGGAGGCAATTTAGTTATGTTATACAAGACATTCTAGGGAAAGAAAGAACTTGGATGGAACTAAATAATAAAAGTAAGACTGATTTGTCCTTATTAATTTTTTTAGGACTTGATTATTTGTAGAGCCAAAAAGTAGGACTATGATGGAATTTTCCCATTTTTCTTTGCCTCAGGTGGAGCAGATGACGGGCGAAAACCTGCAAAAAGAAGTATTTGTCACCTACCATGTAATAAAACGTGCGTGCATAAGTAACTCACCATTGAGGTCTAATTGACCCCAAGTCCGCAGAAGGTGAAGCCTAGTTCGGCATGAGTATCTTGATAAGAAAATTTCCAGTTCCTTCCTGAGACAAAGAAGAAATGACTTTTCCACTCCGAATCAAATTTGGATAGTCCCTCAATTAAGGGACATTCACATTGGCTGGTCAGGTTCCACCACTATCGATCTACCCTATTTGGAATATAACAGAGTGGGATCTCGCTCATAGTTAAGGGAGGGTTGCCACATGCCTTCCATAAGACAAGACACCCTATTAAAACCTTCCAGGCATTTGGGGTGAGTTGTCCAGGTGTAATACGGAGGAAGAAGAAAATTTTCCTAATACAAAGGGGAAAGGGTAGGCGTAACCCAGTAAGAAAGGCACACTCAAAGAGACGAAGTTCACCATTTGGAGCCTCGGAAGCTCTTTCATGGGGAAGTGGAGCCCGGATAGAAATACAAAAAGGAATGAAGCTCTTTTATAAAGCATGCCTGCTACGGTCAGTGCTTCATAACTTTAATTTGAGCACTTGATTGGTTTTGAAGCATGCCTGCCACGATCAGTGCTTTATGACTTTAATTCGATTCTTTTGCTTGATTGTTCTCCTGTTGCCTACTACTTTATTTAATGCATGTACATTGATAACCACCTACTTTATTTGATTCCTGAACATACAACATACAATGCTGTCATTCTTGCTGAACATATAACGCTGCTAGCCACACTTTGCCACGTGATAGCCTCCGCCTTCGCCACGTGGCACCCTTCGCCACTGCCACGTGGCACCAATAGAATAGGTACAATGTAGTATATTGAATTTTGAATTGGAATAATTATTTTGGGAGAACTAAATAAAAAAATGTATAATCTTAAACAGACATCAGTTAAAAACACTCCTTTAAGAAGGGATTTTTTGACAAAAATATTCATAATGGAATTTTTTGCAACTTGATAATATTAAAAGAGGATTTTTTACAATTTGTCCCATTTTAAATCCATGAAGTAATAATTAGGTGACATTAGGTATTAGTGTATTCAACATCAATGATAAGAAACAAAAATGCGGATCAAATTAATAAAATTAAATGATAAAAAATTAAATAGATCGTGTAATAGAAAAGAGTGGAAATTTTTTTTTCACACATTGGTTGTCAATCATTCGAAAGAGCACTAACAATAGACAATCCTCTCATGCAACAAATACAATTTTCCTTGTTTGGAAAGGAAATATAATTGGGATAGTGAGGGGTAAAAAACGACGCAATCTTTGTTTACCCCAAACATAATTCCCAACGAAACCTCGTAAAATTCAAACCAAAAATCCAAAATCTATGCGGGCTCGTCCTCTCCCCTCTTCCCCTGTGTCCCTCTTTTTGACCCACAAATTCTCTCCCTTTTAGCTCCCTCTCATCGTTTGTACGTACATATATATTTATGTATATATGTGTATGTATTGTTATGTATTGATTTGACGATGATGAAGAAGAACAAGGATGGAGAGTTATGGGGATTCGAGAACGGAGATGTTGGTGGGTCTAATTCTGACGTGATCTTGGGTTTGGATGGTGGCACCACCTCCACCGTCTGCGTCTGTATGCCACTCCTTCCATTTTCCGACCACCACCACCTCCCCGATTCCCTCCCAATTCTTGCTCGTGCCATCGCCGGTTGCTCCAACCACAACAGCGTCGGAGGTACAATCTAATCCCCATTATATGTGTACAAATATATACGCATTTTAAGTCAAAAGTGATGACTTTGTTTTGTGTAATCCATCAATGATCAACAAACAAACCTATTCCCTAATTTTAAACCCAATACGTACATACACATATAGATAATTGGTTTGGAACTATTGGGTATTCTCAAAAATGCATTTGTTGACTACAATTAGTTGTTGTCTAGTCTGATTTTCTCAGCATTATTGGTTTTTGAGGAACGGTAAGGTTAATCGATTGTGACCAGGTCACTGTTTCAAGTCAAGAAACAGCTCACCAAATGTGGAGATAATAAGGTTGCTTATTGGGTTTTCGAGTAAGATGGAATTTTGATAATTCAGTGTTATTTTGTAATAAATTAATTGCCGTGCACACACATAAATAATAATAGTGAACATTATGGGTTTCAAGGGTAGAAAATATTCTTATTTCTTTGACGATGAATATATTTTAATATCATTGAATTGCTAGAGAAGTTGACTTCCATGTTATAATGTTGATTATTCCAGATATTTCTAAAATGTTAATTTCAGAAATATCACAGAAGCAGAAAAGTGTAAACTCAAAATTGCATCTTTGTGCTACATAATTTCAGAAACTGCGGCCAGGGATACAGTGGAACAAGTAATGGCAGAAGCCCTTCTAAAATCAGGTTCAAAGCGATCTGCTGTCCAGGCTGTTTGTTTAGGTGTATCTGGTGTTAACCATCCAAAGGATCAGGAAAGGATATTAAATTGGCTAAGGTGTGGTATCAGGAGAATCTTATTTTAGATGTATTTTGATTTACTTGCCTACTAAGTGATTTGTTCTCCTTAAAGTTTTAGTCTTGTTTCTATACTTCTTAGAGGGGAATTAATCTCACTCACCAGTAAAAAGGCTTTACCTCACTGTTGAAGTTAATAAATCATTTACAGAAAAAAGAATGAAGAATCTTGAGTTAGAAAACCGAAGAAGAAGAAAGTCTTTTTCTCAACTACTTGGGGTCGGCTAAATGAATCCTACGTTTTCATTCCGCTCTATCTAAGGCGATAGCCTCAGTAAATCCACATGCTATTATCTCCTTCCTTACTAACTCTACCCATGTTATCTTTTGTCTTCTTCTTCCCAAGCTCTTCTTTGCACATGTCCAAACCACCATAACTAATTTTTTCTCATTTTAACTCCAATTTGTGCTACTCCAACCATCTCCCGAATGTGATCATTTCTAATTCTATCCTTTCTAGTCTTACCGCACATCCATCTCAACATTTGCATTTGTGCCACACTCACTTTATGCGTATGTTGTTTCCTAGATGCCCAACATTTTGTGCGATAAAGTATGGTTGGTCTAACAGTTATTCAATAGAACTTCCCTTTCAATTGTATTGGGGCCCATCAGGGCCACCTCCATTTGACCCATCCTACCTTGATTCTATGATTAATGTCCTCTGTAGTTTCTCCTTCATTATGAATAATTGAGCCTAAATAACAAAAATGTTCATTTTTTTTATACCTCTTGATTCTCAATCCTCACTACATCGTCATTTCTATTTCTAAATTTACTAAAGTTACACTCCATAAATTTAGTTTTATTTTTACTTATCGTAAACCCTTTTAGTTCTAAATCTTCTCTCCAAACCTCCAAGTTGGCATTAGCTCCTTCTCTAGTCTCATTGACTAAAACGATAATCGGCAAATAACAGACACCATGGAATCTCATCTTGGGTGTGTCTTGTCAACTCATCCATAGCCAAGGCAAAACAGTATGGTCTTAATGCTAACCTTTGATGTAAACCTATGGTAATTGAGAATTCATGTGTTTCTCCTATAGGCTTTCTAACAAAAGCCACACAACCACCATCATAGATGTCTTCTATTGTGTAAATTAAACTATAAGTACATTCTTTGAAAGAATTATCATGTTGCTGAGTCTAAGTTATAAAATGGGATTATGTGGGCTATATGAACAGATAAATCTTAATTTACACACACACACACACCTCCTCTCCCCTCCAGAATATATATATATATATATATATATAAATCAATAAATAAATAAAGAGTTGTTACTCAGTATGGTTCCTGTTAATCCAAGGTGCGGGAAGGGGTGGACAGGATACAACCTAACATTTAGCATTATTTGGATAAAGTGATTTCAAAAACTGATGGCTGCAGAAGTTATCTTAAACATGTTCTTTAGAGCCATACAAGGCATCTTTGTCATCATCTATATATATGCAAATTTTACAGATTTTTCTAGAGTGAAAAAGTTATGGTCATTGAAAAAGAGGAAGGCTTTTAACAATGAGACTGCTTTATTGCCTTGCCGTGCACAAGTTTTTGAAGTGAGAAATAAAAATGGTGAAAGTTAGGTGTCTGGTTAAGAAACTAGGGGAGTTGTACAATACTGAAGACCGTGGATTATTCAACCACTCAAAATGTTGGCATGTGCATGGGTGTTAGAGTTGGGATTACTGATGACAAGTGAAAAACAATGATGTGTATATATGGATAATATGAAAGGACTTCCAGTATGCTGAGGGAATTGATGAAATTATTATGTTCAAGTTCATTTTCTTTTTTGAAAAGAAATTTCGATGTGTCAGACAATTCCTTATAGAAAAAATAAAGTTCAATAAGTTTTTAATCTTTTGACAAATATATTTTATAGAACAACATACACGTGTGTGTGTGTGTGTGTGTGTTTATGTGTGTGTGTGTGTGTGAGAGAGAGAATTGCTGACAGCCAATTCAAAGAAAGACGATGCCTATAGAATAATAACGCAGAAAAGGAGTCTTGCTTTCTTGCTCTTGAAAAGAAAATTTGAATAAATGAATGTATGTCAACAATTTTATACTGCCTTGATTCTTGGAATTTTAAATTATGACTCCATTAAAATTTTGGACATAGGCATTTTGCAGACGAAGCAAAAAGAGGATAAGAAAAATGATTTTGTGAAGTATGGATGGCTGATGCAAGTTCCTCTAGACCTGGTGATGTTAATTTTCCCCTTGATATCACCATTTCTTGTGCTGCTCGATTCGTAACCATATTATATAATGAGTGTCAGTGACGAATGTTAGGCATTTTTGTTGCTCCTGAAACCAGATATATTGTTGTTTGTTGGAGTAATATGATAATTGTATTTACTCTATATTGAAAATTACAACATATACTGGAGAAGCATTTTTTTTTTGTCTAGTTGCATATTTAGTACGTTAGTGCACCACAATCAGCTGTTAATTGAATTTGATGATTTCCTCAGGGACATATTCCCAAGCCATGTCAAGCTATATGTTCAGAATGATGCTGTAGCAGCTCTGGCAAGTGGGACCATGGGAAAGCTTCATGGTTGCGTTTTGATTGCTGGTACAGGGAGCATTTCTTATGGATTCACTGAGGAAGGAAAAGAAGCCCGTGCTGCTGGTGCAGGACCTGTCTTAGGTGATTGGGGCAGGTAATTCTGGATATGTTCTCATCATGTTTTATGTACATGGAAGATGTGTTAGCTTCATTTTGTTTAACCTTTTTTATTTTCGAAAGTAAAGATTTGGTGATTTTATCAATTATTAGCTTTAGTTAAATGATCTGAGAATAACTACACGTTTAAGAAGATGGAAAGTTATACTTATGATAGCTTCCTATTGTTAGGAGTGAGTTGTAGTAAAACCGAAAAGGACAAATTAATGGATTACCTATTGATAACCCTTTCTGCATAAAAATATGAATTGCCATCCATTTACCGAGATTTTAAAAATTTTGTGAATGTGTCCTAGGAATAAATTAAAGAAACACTGAACTGCTCAGAAGGGCATGACAGATGATTGTCATCTTAGAAACAGTAATTTTTTTTCTCTTTTGTTGGTGCCAGAAGGAAGTCACGGTTGCTGAATGTTTTACTGTTGATGAAGCCGCTGTCACGATCGTTGATTTTTAATTTTATAGACAGTTTGCAGCTTATAAAGCAAAGGAGTTGCACTTGAGAGTTCTTTATCCTACTTAAACAAACTATAATCTTTAGAATTTCGCAAAAGAAATGAACTAGAAGATGGTTTACATCATTCAGTGGTAAAAAGAACAAAAGTATGCTTAGACACTTGTAGATTGATTTGAGTAGCATAATAAATTTGCTAAGATAGAGGAGCATTAATAAGAATTGAAGAAGGTGCATATGAGGAGGTAGTTGATTGTATTGCTGACTACATTTCAAAAGAGAATGGGAAAGAGACCGAAATAAGGATTTGGCCAGTAATTGCTAGAATTATTAAGAAAATTTGAAATTTAAGTTTTTACGTACCCAATATAGATGAGTTCGACATTGTAAAACCCAGAAGGTGAACATTACTTTGTATAACATCGTAAAAAGAAGTATAAACACTTAAATGGTAAGTTTAGAGCAAATATAATAGAAAATGAAAAGGTACATATCGGGAGGCACGGTATAAGCTCTCTCCCATACACTTCACTTTTCCTTTTACTTATTATATTTTCCATCCATGCTAAATGCAGCTTAAGTGTCTAATTACCCCACTAAGTAATTACTCTTACCATGTTGAATTTAAAGTGGAAATATATGCTACTTGAGACAACCACTTGCACTGTGTGACTACGAACTGTTTTGCTTCTTGTGAATTGTTGGAAACATTGCAATACCAAGTGCCTATATTTGAAAAAAAAAAAAAAAAAAAAAAAAAAAAAAAATTATATTAGAAAGATTACTTTAGTTGCGCCTGTGTCGTCTATCAAACAGCCACTCCAAGTGTCAAGGAAAAAGGAAGGTCGTGCTTGGTAATACGTAAGACTTATAAACGAAGGTCATGCTAGGTAATATGTAAGACTTATAAACACACATTTTCGATCTTATTTTGAAAGAATATAGTTCTTGATAGAATTGAATGGAAAAGAATGATTGCTATAGGTTATAACCAACTGGAAATACATGGTTTGGAGACTTTGCCAATTCAAGTTTTTCTTCATTTGACTAAAAATAAGGAACGCGTAGCTTTTATTCTAAAATGATTGCAGGTGTGGTAGTGATATTATGTCCATGGAAAATACTATTACGCATCTTACAAGTTCTATGGACATGCTTATGATCTAAGATTGAATTTTGGAATGTTCGCAATTCAATTTGATTGATGGATATCTTTTCACTTGCAGTGGCTATGGAATTGCTGCACAGGCATTGACAGCAGTAATTAGGGCTCATGATGGCCGTGGTCCAGAAACAATGCTTACAAACAGTATTCTACACACACTTGAGCTTTCTTCTCCAGATGAATTAATTGGGTATCTCTCATTTGAAATTTATGATTATTGCTGAAAGATCTGTTGTTTCTGTAAAATTTTGGGATTTGGTAGTCTTTCACATGATTTCGACATTATTTGACTATCAAGTCCAGTCTTAACCTAGAAACATAATAGCAAGGATGTACAGACCCAGGAAAACAAATCTAGATTGAGGTTAAGTCAGATCGAGTTATCTGTTTGGAAAGATTAAAGACATATTAATTTTTTAGGGTAATTAAGCTATAATGAGCAAGAAGAATATGATGGATTAGGGATTTGAGGGTATGAAGTTACTGAGAGAAAAAAATAAGGCTTAGATAGAGACGATTTGGGGCATAGTTGGAGCCACTGTGTCGTTTTGTGCGAGAGAATTGTATGTAGGATGAGATACACGACCATGAACTGTAATGAGAGACAAGAAATCGATTTACAGAGAGAATGTGGCTGTGACCTCGCCAGTGATGGTGGGCAGTGGACCTACAGTACAGGGCCTAAACCGGTGTGCTTGTATAAAGGATCGTAGAGGACGGGAAGATTCTTTGGTGGAACCTACGACTTTAAAGGGCACAAGCTACACAAGTCACAACTGTCTTTTAATGCTTTAAGCCTTACAGTTGCTGTGGAAGCAGCAATTTGTGTTGCGTTAACATGCCCACCAATTTCTAATTTTAATTTCAAATTTCAACTTTTTAAAAGCCGATAATCATACTGATAAAAAAAATTCTAGATAGACCAAAAGAACCCATTTCTTTGTGATTTCATAGTCGGGGAAGATTAGAAGAGATATCAGGCAAGATTTTTTTAGAGAATATTTTTAGTAAGCCTTTCAGAGAGGAACTGGTAGAGGGATGTTTTTTTGTTTCGACTTTTGCCCATGTGGGATTGCCGAAGGGGAGATTTTCCTCAACCCCTATTACCTTCCTCTGTAGAATGTGTACTTGATTTTCTAGATTAACTTAAAATAGTATTTTGCTGGAACTCTTCTTGACATTTGCTCTGTAATGTAACAAGGTCACATGCATCTTTGACAGCATACAGTATCAATGTGTGGGGTTATGACCTCCAAAATAGTGATTTATTATTTATTGAGACGTTAAACTGTTGGTGCTGTCTGCGACTAAAAATTACCTGAAACTGATTTTTGCATTCGTGATCTCATGTACTATTAATAAACCATTAATATTTGAGACATTAATTTGCATTATATTCTTTGGATATGCACATCTTTCTAATTACACTCGGTGATGCTTCTTGCATTATTGTTGGAGCATAATTGTAAGCATCAATAATTTATGCTCTTGTTTCATGAAATCCCTTAAACATTCCTCCCCCCCCCCCCCCCCCCTCCCTCCCGCTTTTTGGCCCCTAAGCTTGTTCTTCTATAACCTCTGAATATGCTCTCCCTATTCACGTAAACCTTCCATATGGGTAGATTTTCCCTCTCATTTAAATTCAATTTACTAACAACCCACTTGTTCTTCTAGCAATCTTGTATATGCTCAACCCATTCATGTCAACCTTCTATGTGTGTAGATTTTACGCCTCGTTTGAATTCACTTTACTTAGTACTGAACAATGGGCATCCTGTAATTCCTTCTTTTTGAAATCCGGACCATGACCCAAAATGTTACAGTGGCTTTGAGGAGATTGTTGGCAGATAGAATAGATTAAAATCTAAGCTTGAATCCATAAGATCATCCTAAGAAAAGCTGAATTTATGGATATTTTAATGTAAGCCAAAGACATTGACTCATTTTAGTTGGAAACAATTTTGTTATGTTTGAGAAATAAATATAGTTTTGAAACGTCTGAATGAATATCATGGAATGTGTTCACTAAAGGCACTGCATTTCAAATTGGTTTCACTGTTCTTTTTTATTGGGATTTAGGTGGACCTATGCAGATTCATCCTGGGCGCGAATCGCAGCACTTGTTCCAATAGTGGTTTCTTGTGCTGAAGCTGGGGATCAAATTGCAAATAACATCTTAAATGATGCAGTCCAAGAATTGGCTCTAAGTGTGAAAGCCGTTGTTCAGAGACTTTGCTTGGGTGGGAAAGGTGTGACCCTATAAATCTATTATGTTGTTTTCCTAATATAAATGAAATAAAAATTTATATCGATGGAAAATGATTTTTGGGTTTTTGATAACTCAAATCATGCATGAAGTTTAAGTTAGGTAACCTCAGCTTAAGAGCGTGATATAAATAGTTGGTCTCAGGTCTTAATAATTTAAGCTTTTGGAACAAGTTCTCTAACATGGTTCTGAAGCTTTGTTTTCGAGAGGTCTTGGGTTCAAATCAATTCATCTTCATTTGTTACCTTCTCCATGTGTTTGTTTACACTATCCATTGATGGATGGCATAAGATCTTGATAAATGTTGCTGGACCGTTCCTTTAATTGCTCAAGATTTTGGGCAACTACTTCTAACTCTCAAAGAAATTAAAATGTTGCTGTAGCTATTATTTCTACCCCTAAGAATTGTATGGTATACCACTGATAAATTAATAAGAGCCACATTGCAGATCATCAAATCTCGTCTGACATTTTTCATGAGATGCAAGTATTTAACAGCTTCAATTTGCATATTAATCTCAATTTGTAGATGGGAATGGTTCTTTTCCAATTGTGATGGTCGGTGGTGTTCTCGAAGCTAACAGCAAATGGGACATAGGGAAAGAAGTAGCCGACTGCGTCCAGAAGATCTACCCTGGGGCCTGTCCAATTAGACCGAAGGTCAGCCTCTTGTACTGATTTTTCCTTTTGTTTTTCTTAAAATACCAGTGAGAAGTGATTATAATTCTCAGTTTTTTTAGCCCGTTGCAAATATGGATTTCTTGCCATCTTATATACTCCGGCAACTGTGTGTTTTTTCTAAATGCCTGTTTGCACCTTTTTTTTTTTTTTTTTTTTTTTTTTGTCAAGTTACTTTCAGTGATAATCCAGTCAGGATGTTGACCACTGACAATCATATACTGTCTGAAGATTATCCACCTGTAAATAAATTCTCTATTGGTGTCGAAGTCGAGGCCCTCAACTTTAGTTAAATTTACCGCATAAAGGATACAATATGTCAAACTATCATCATCTCATTTTATTTTATAGTTCCTTCACTAGTCACCATTTTTCAAACTAGTAAACACTCTCTCAATAATAACCAAACACTAATATAACATCCATGATCAATCACAAAGCATATTAGTTTTTGATTGTCGTGCACGATCATTCCAACAGCTATGTCCTGGTAGTACCCAGATGTCTGCATTGTTCTAGGTGAGCCTGAGATTTTAGTTCCCGACACTGTAACTATCACCTGCTTCACAATCTTTTCACCATCTTTGTGATGTTTACCAGAATTCTATAACTTTCTTGGTATACCAAAAATAAAAAATAAAAAAAACTTTTTATATTATCCGAGGCCCTTTTAGTTGGAGAGTGCCAACCTAGAGAACCTATTATAAACCACATCTTTCTTATTTAAATTCTTGTGATATGGATAAATTTTACGCTTAGTCTACTTTTGATCATCAGGTGGAGCCTGCAGTTGGGGCAGCTTTACTGGCTTGGAATTATTTGACCAAAGAAACAGAAGGGAACTGTCATAGATGACCATGCGGAGCGAAAATGTTCGACTAAATCTATTATCCTGTCATTTTGTCCGAAAATCTCAGAATTCATTGTTATGGTCTTACTCCTATTTTGACAGGCTTACAGTTGTGATGAAGCCAGAACACCAATCTATTGGTCACAATTAAATCCCCTTCATACCCCATGTTTAAAAGATGTAGACGGAAGCATCAAATAATTATCATGAAAGTACATCAGAATGCCTCTATTTATCAGATTTTTTTTTTTTTTTTTTTTTTTGGCCCTTTTCTTAATCTGAATTTTTTGTATACCTGATGTATGCTGACCGTCTAATGGCCTGGCTGTGGAACCAGCTTATCTGATAACTGTAATCACATAAACATTGTCTATCTCGTGATGTATCAATAGATGGTTCCACAGACGGGTAAGGAGTTGAAGATCTTATGAACCAGGGATCATTCATTCTGGAGAAATGATGAGCAATGCAATGCTATGCCGGTTGAATTAGTTGTTGCTAAAACTGATTTAGCTGCGACATTTGATCATTGGCACAGCAGTCGCAAGTACAAAGTTGATGAAACTTGAGAACAAAATATGTTAACATTTTCTACAGAGTGATTGCTAGTTCACTCGAGGAAAATTCCCACATCTTGGAATTTACAAACTGGAATGGCTATTGAAAATTGGAAACTAAACGCCGTCAATGCATGAGTAATAGAATAATTACATGTAATGTGGTCTTCACCCCGTTTGCGATCTATATTTCAGCTCTATCTTGGAAGCAAGAGGCACGCTAAATCACTAATGAGTAATAAGAAGAATGAAAATAATCTGTAAATTAACTGTCATTTACTTCTACTGAACCAAATCTAGATTCAGTCCTACATATAAGATGACCATAAAGAAGAAAAACACTATAATATTGTGTATCTCTATACTTCTATATGCAGCAAGCCAGCTCTCCTGGCCTACCTGCCAAGTCTGTCAAAAACATGTTTAGTCTTTCACCTCCAACCCTCTCCCAATCCAAAAACCAACAGTCATTTCAGTTTGCTTCTGCATGAGTAATAGAATAATTTACCGACGTAGAAACTTCTTGTGGTTTCAACAAAAACAATAAGTCATTCAGCACAAGGTCAATCGGCAGCAAATCACCAAAATCATCCCCAAAGGCAAGAAATATAACAAGTGGGCACCAAAAAGAAAAGGTTCCTAACCTTGTATCTGCCCAACATAAAAAGAAGTATTAAAGATGAGTGAAAAATCTATATTGACAAGGATGAGACAAAGCTGTGTAAGACTAAAAAATCAAACATGTGTGTCCTTGTGCCATGCCATTTGTTAATATTAATCTCCCCAAGCTAGAGGTGTATTTTAAGATGGATGGTAGGATAAATCCCAATGAACCTTTTTATATGCCCCCGGGGGAATATGTGATAAACACAAAAGACCTTAAAACAACCAATTTTGAGGGGTTCTCCTTCGTACGATAGAGAGACAGTATGTCAGCGCACAATCTCCCTTGACAAGTCAAATATGCAAGTATTGGCCTGTTGGTAGTAAGATGAAACTAAAATCTGCTATAAACATTACCTTCTCAAAAGATCATCAAACTGGCTTGGTGGATTCTCCACTTAATTCTCTTCTAACCAGCTTCAGGATCTCAATAATCTAGAACAAATGAGAGAAGAAATTGGATAAATAAATAGAAACTGTCCACAATCAAGCAACTAAGATACGACACAAGATTACATTAAATTGCATAAAAATAGAAACAAACAACTATTCTAGAAGTTCAAAACTAAAAGAGAGGGTGTGCACTATTTATTTCAATACCCTCGTGTGTAGCCTCCTCATTAGCAGAATTATGTTGTAAAAAGGGGGTGCTATAGTTTGAACTCCAGACTTTTGCCTCCACTATCATGTCAATAACCAACTCCTTCAAAACCTTAACTAATAGAGAGGGTGTAACTATTTATTTCAATAAAATGGAACTACGCTGTGATTGATGTCTAGAGTCAAATCAGGTTTTTCCATGTGTATACTATAGCATTTGGATAGCACAGCACTATCCACTAGCTATCAAAAATATTGGTTAAGGAAAAAAAAAATGGCACTACTTTTTAAATGTTAAATGATATAAAACTTCTTCAAGAACAAAAAATATACACTGATACCAAATTTTATCAAAAGCAAAGTAGACTCCTTTATGCAGAAAAATAGAATTGAGTATAAGTCATGTGACATTCAAAGATGTCTTCCTTCGACATCCAAAGATGTCTTCCTTCCCTAGAATTGAGTATAAGTCATGTGACATCCAAAGATGTCTTCCTTCCCACCTTAGGGATTTTTTAATGATGGACCTATGGTATAAAACCAAAGATGAAGACATCCAAATGGATATGGTAGGGACTGCACAGCGTAGAGAGCAGGTTCAGCATAAAGACTTACAAACAATCGGAATACTTCTATGGTAAAAACAGAGCAAACATGTACACACACACACACACACACACACACACACACACACACACACACATACATATATCAGAGAACTGTGATGCCGCTGATCTACAAGTAAACAATGCCCAACAGTGCAGGACCATTCCAACCCTAAGAGAATTTTTTATCAAGGGGAGGCTGATTTCAAATTTTAAACTGTAAGACCAAGATTTCCATAAAAGAAATGAACCATATGCACGACAATTTGAAAGTAATATTAAAGAAAGAGGGAAGACTATCTTACTCCAGGATAATGCTGCAAAATTGGTGAGTAGTGATCAAGAGCTATATATATCTTTTCGAGGAGGCTTAAAAGTACATCCACTTCATCCCCCAAAAGATCAACCTGAATTCCAAGGAAAATGTCCCGTAAGGAATGGTAAAAATATTTCTAAATTGTTCTCATTTCTACTGCAACAAATTCAGATAAAATGACAAAGGTCAAATATGAATCCAATCTTTTTTTGGTAGGTAAAATACAATGCATTGATAGTGTGGGATACATAGTTCCTATTTCTTTCCTTCACTTTATAAAAGCGAACATATAACGCACCCCTAACTTTTAGTTTCCATAAAAGCACTTTCACCAATTTGACACATCGACTTCGTGGCATAGTTTCTGATCACTTGTAGACTATTATATTCTCTTTTCTTTTTAAGTGATATACACAAACCATAAAACTGTCACTGTTCAACAAGTTTCAGTTAATTATATTGAAATGTTCCAAACAAATTGACAATATTTATCATGTAATGTAAGATTTCCTTGGATCATTTCCTGCTAGGTGCAAACAATTCCTTGGGGGGGGGGGGGGGGGTGGTGTGGGTTGAGTCAACTAGGGAAAAAAAATGTAACATTTCCTTTATGATGATAGAAAGCCAACTAATTTGATTTCTCATAGATCTTCTTGTATATATCTCAAAATGTGAATGTCATTTTATGTGAAATTCTAGTCACATGCACAATCATGTAATGTCAAATAGTTTTTTTTTCATGATTAATTGCAGATCTTTAATGCACCAAGATACCATCTCACACATGCTCTAGCGACTTCCTATTTTAATATGACATATGCTTACAAGGCTTCAGTGATTATTGAAACTAATGCATAATTCATGTGTATACCCTATACTCTTGAATATATGGTAAAATATACACCTGTTGCAGCTATTACATGCCATGGAACATATGCAATGGCTAACAAAAGCTTTTCAAAGCACAAGAAGAATCCTTCCATTACCTCAGCTTCAGCCATTTGAAGGTCAGAACATCTTCTTTCAAGCCTTTGTTTGTACGACAATTGTGTCTTTCCAAGTATATTAGCTTTCTGGATAAGAGAATTCAACCGAATATTTAAAGAATCCAACCTAAAAATAGTAATGTAATCGGTATTAGTTTTCAGACCGATAAAATCAATAGAAGTTTCAGGCAGAAAATATCTTTAAACCAGGCCACATTACCCAGACAAAATAATAAAAGAAAATTTAAAAAGAACACTAAACCAGCTTACAGATAGCATAAGGTGCAGACGATAAGTACTCCCCATGCATCAACTTGTAAATAAAGGTAATTACCACCTTTTTCCCCTTCTTATTGGAACTTCTAATCGTAATCCTCAGACCAAAAGGCTACAATCCTACCCGTAAAACACTCTAGATCTCAGGTATCAAAGACTTGAAACCCCCGGAGAAGAAGGGGAGGGGGAAGGAGGAGAGGCAGATAAATAGCATTAAACTATAAGGTCTTTGTTAAGGCTTGCTTGCCAAGAAACAACAAATGACAGGGTATTGGACCCCACACACGCAAGTAGTACTATTGAATGGCTATATAAAACTAAATTGACAGAATAAGCCGACAAAAGGAGCTGACAAAGAGCAGCTACCAAATCGAGGTCCAAGAAAAATGGACATGCATAGGTCACAAATGAAGAAGAATAAATTTAGCAACTAGATTGAGGCCCTAGAGATGCGGATTTTAGAGGAAATTAAGCAAGCCATCCAACTCAAGTTCAAGTCTCTGCATAACTATGTCAATGCTACAGATTTATAGATCAATAATGCAGATCTTTGGAGAGTTGAGAAAAATAGAAAGTACCTCAAATTGTTCTTTTTGATACCCTCTGCTACTTTACAATCATAATCAGCAAGAGCATTTGACAGTCCATGGACAAGAACAATTACTGCTCCCATTTGCTTCCTCTGTTCCTCTTCTTTAGCTTGAACCAATGACAAAGTGTTTTGCTTCTCTTGGGTAACAATTAGAAGCATATTTCTTTGTTCATCAGCTTCCCTGAACTCTTCCAAATTCTTTTCAAGCTGTTGATTCAATTTGTTTATTTCCGCTTTATAAACATCAATTTGCTCCAATGCCTCTACCAATTCACCCTTCGCTAATTTTAGTTCCTTGCTGCTCTCAGAAATTAATGTCTGCTGACGATTTTCACGATCTCGTAGACTATGAAGCTCCTGAGAAGCTAGCTCAAACTGCTCTTTTTCTTTCGTCAATGCAGCTGATACTTCTTCTGCTATCTTTTCCTTTTCTTTGATTGCCTCTGCCAGTAAGAGCACCTCTTGCGATTCTTTTAACTCCAGCCTTAATTCTTTTTCTCTTTCCAGTGCTTCCATTTCAAGAGAAACTCGAATTTTGTTTTCATGTATATATCTCCTGGTCCAGTTGTTGAGTTGTGATTCGGCATCCTTGAATGCTTCCTTAAATATTACTTCACAAAGCCCTTGCATAATCAAGGATTTCATAACTGAATCTTCAATACACTCCAACTCTGTCTCCTCATTGCCACACTTGATCTGAGCCGTCATTTCCCTGAGAATACATTTATTTACCTCTTTGCTAACAAAAGCTTCTATATGTGCATCTTCTACAGAAGATTTGAGATTTTCTATCAATTTTAGCGAGTCCGTCTCAGTCAAAGAATACTGTAACATATTTGCTGCAGCATCAGAAACCTGTGTTGAAAGACAGTGCACTTCTTTTTTCTTATCTGTAAGTGAGTCTCTTAGTTGTTGATTTTCCAGAAGAAGGTTCTCAAGACGAACCATTAAGCTGTTGAGACTATCAGCTTTATTGCTTAATGGGAGTAATTTTTCATTTTCCACAAGGATGCTGTCCAACTTCAAAATGATATCTGGGATTTTTCTCCTTAATGTGTCAAACTCCTTATCCTTCCTGAGATGCAAAGAAGACCCCCTGTCTTTCAAGTATTTACCCTTTAGAGTAAACAATTCTTCAGTTTTCTGCTGCACAGTAGTCTCGTGATTCCTTTTCATCTCTGTTACATATTTCACCAATGCCTCCCTCGACATGTTTTTTAACCGGGCAGGATCCCAATTCTCCGGCATACCAGTTTTAGACTCATCAAATTTACCATTTTCCTCCCAAACTGAAGTTGAAGACGAAATATGACTGCTCAAAGCCTTGTGCTGGAAATGATCCAAATCATAAGAACCGTGAGAAATCAGCTCCATAGTTTCTGGACCAGATAGCCACTTTGAAATCACATCTAATTCCGTGCGCAAACTTGAAATCTCATTGATTCTTTCATGCCAATTTACTCTTTGGCTACTACAAAAATGAGCAATTTGATCCCATAATTTCCCTTCGAACTCTTCCTGAAGACTCCTAATACAACTCTGGATCACCATAGCTTCAAGTTCCCCTTGAAACTCTCGCTCCTTCTGCCACTCACAAACTGATGCCGTAGCCAAGTTAAGCATGCCATCAACCTGCGTGCAGATGCCGTCCAATGTAGATTTTAGAGCATCAAGTGTTTTATCAACACCAACCCAGGTTTCAGACGCCTTCTCTTGCAGAATTCCACCCAATCCCACCAACTCTGAGACAGAACCGATCCTCTTGATTGACTTGCACCCCCTAATACCATAAATCTCTTTCTTGAGCTTCTTAATCTGTTGCCCGACCACACTTTTTAAGTTGCCTAGAGATTCTCTCATCTTACCATGATCCACAAAGGCGTTAGAAAAACTACAAGGAAGCCCAAATTCTGCATTTCTTGATTGATTCTTTACCAGTGACCCTGAAAATTCAATTTCATCCCTACCCACTTGGTTAAAATGTAATGTTTCCTTCAACCTAGCCACCTCTAGTTCTTTTGCACTGATTTTCTCCGCCGCCTCCTGCTCCACTGCGTTCACCATCCCTCTGATGACAGAGTCAGTAACCATTCTCGAAATCGTCAACCGGTCATCTATATCTTCCAAATACGAATCCAAACCCTCAAGAAGGTGATCACCCAAGTTCTCACTCTCCTTAAAACCACTGCTCTGATGTTCTAAGCCATCACCATTTGAAGCCACTGTACCATTCGAAACTTTCGCGCTCACCATAACCTCTTGATTCTCCATATTTATATAACTATATATATATATATATATATATATAATCTGAAAATTTTAGCAACCAAACATTTAATACAAATGAGTGCGAGAGCAAATTTAGCTGAAACTTATCTTCAATCTAACATTGAATTTAAGCCATAAATAACACTTCCAATTCAAGATATAACACAAAAAAGACTTAGAAATGTAAAAAAATTAAAAACTTACAAGTGAAAATAAGGGAAGTTGTGAACTTCTTCAAGAAATTACTCCAAAAATTAAGAGTCCAAAGATTTGAAAATTCCGAGACGACAGTTGAAGTGTTGGATTTTCATTGCCAACTGTATTTAGAGAGCTTTTAGGGTACTATCTCTGTGAACTGCAATCCTCTGTCTCACTTTTCTCGCTCTTCCTCACACAGTCTCTCTCTCTCAAGTTCTTGTTTTTAGGGTTTTCCTCTTCCACAGAAAAGTATAACTGGATTTGGACAGGTTGAGTGAGCAGCAGTAAAAGAATATTAAATGGACCTTAATAGAGGCCCCATTTACGGAAATTACCATTATTGACTTTAATTGTTGCTTTCAAGGTTAAAGAATTCTAAATTTAAATTATCTATTAGCGTAATTAGCATTTACTTTTCTTTTTTCTTTTTTTTTTTTCTTTTTTTCTTTTAAGTGGGAGATGATATTTGTAATTCATTTGCAACAGATTGTTTTTAATAAAGGATAAATTGACCACACTGATTATTATTTTGATTTCTATTTAGGTATATAATTAATGGGATCCTTAATATTTTTTGTCCGACAGATTTATTCATTAAATTTTATAAAATTATAATTTTATCATTCTTTTGTATAAAATATAATATAATATATTATTACACTATAAGGAAATTATTGACTTTTCATCACTTTTAGACAACCAACAAAAAAAAAATATCAAAGTAATAAACTCAGAATTATTTACCCTATCCAAAACTCAAGAGAGGTTAATATAAATTACCATTTAATAAATGAAATTATATAATTGCCTTTTAAAACACATTTACACTATACAATTATTATTATAAAAAAAAAAAGAGGTTGCATTTCGCTTTTGAATGATAATAATTTCATTTATTGAAAAGTTGAAGTTAAGAAAAGTGAAACGTGAATATGTGTGTATGTGTGTATCCTAATAATTGCATAACATGTGTGTGTATATCTTTCAATGATTTCCTTTCCTTTATCATACAACATTTTTTCCCATTCATAATGTATCATGAAGTTGCTTTCATTAATCTTGATTATTTTATTTTATTATTATTTTTTTTTTCAAATATATGATACAACCCTACCAACTTAGGTGAGATACCACTTTCAATTTCGTTTGTGCTTCGAAATTAGTCTATGAATTAATTTCATCTTTAAATCACAAGTATGTGACAATAATACAATAAACTAATGAATGTTTCAAATGTCTTTATTAATTACTCGAACCTCTATAAAATAATATTAGAATTTGTTGTCTCACAAATTAATTGCTTATGAACTTTAGTCGCAATCAATGTTACTTATGATCATGATTGTTGCTTTTCTTTTATAATTAATCAATTTAACCAATAAATAATTGATCTCCTAAGAGAAAAGTTTGTAACAATCCAGTTTAAGAAAACAATAAAAGTTTGGGTGAATAGTAAAATAATGGCACCTTTTAACTTTTGATGATTGGAGTTAAATTGTTTATCGCTTGCAATCATAGCCTCATTTAAGAGGCAAATCATATTTAATCTTAAATTTTGATGTAAATATAATTTTGTTATATTATGTTTGACAGAATTGAAGTCTTAAATTTGATATTGGAAAAAAATTAGTGCAAATTTTGATTTAAATTTTTTTTAATTTCAAATTCAAGATACCGATTTAATACTACACTAACAAATATTTCAAATAAAATTGTACTTCAATTTTCTCAGAAGAATTTATGAATGCACATCTTGAAGTATATGCTTTAACAAAAATGTTTGTAGTAGTAGAGTTTCTACAAATCACAACAAATAAAAGAATATGTAATTTAATTTTATAAATTTTTAATCCATTTTTCATTTGACAAGCACTATTAAAAAACTCCATTAAAAATTGAACAAATCTACTTATCTCAACTTAAAGTCTAGTGCATATGTGACAGGGTAAAACATAATCATTTCATCATGTGTGACTAAAAATGTAAAAAGAATGATTTTGACGTATGACAATATAAAAATAATATACTAAAGACTAGTTTAGCGGTATTTCTTTTCCTTTTAAAGTGAATTGGTGATTGTTCATGTTCTCGTATAAGTAATACAGGTGTATGAATTTCTTGTCAAATATATATATATAAAGAACATAATGCTTTTACCTCGTAAAAAAATGATTTTGAAGTTCAAAATAACCTAGGTTATTATAACCCATACCAAAAATTGTGAAATAAAATTAGGGTTTAATAAAGCTTGGGACTATGTCATCAAGGGTCCAACCTTCCATTAACTTTCAAAAAGCATTAGCTTTTTGACTTCAAAAGTTGTTCGCATTCTTTACTTTCAAAATTTGTCTCATTTTGATCATAGTACTACAGTTGATTGGTAGTCTAGAAAATCACAGCCTTACAAGAGCCTTATGTATATTATAATATTATTATATTTATATTTGTACAATAGTATATATAATTATATTATTTGCTGGACTTATCCTTTTTCTTTTCTTTTCTTTTCTCTTTAGCTGTCATTACTACCTTTACACGCCTGCTGGATGCTACTCAACTATTGAAATAATATTTTTCCTTGTTTCTTCACAAAATTCATTGTTTCTTCAAATATATATATATATATATATATATATCCAGAGCTAAAATTACTTTGGCAATAATATAAATTGCACTCACACCCTTTAAGTTTGGGTTAAATACAAGTAGCTACAACTTAAATAATTTTTGAATAATAACACCCCCAAATTTGATAAATTAAACAATGATACCCCAAATAAAGGTAAAAATATTTTATTGCCATTTGACTTATGAATTGACTTATTTGATTATTTCTATTTCTTTCCTGTTCTTGCTTTTATTATTACACCTAGTATTCCAATTGATTCTTGACAGATTTATGTTGTCAAGAATCAAGATTCAAAAATAAATAAATAGAATGAAAAAAAAAAATCAAGATTCAAATATCTTTGCTGCCTAATGGGCCAATGGCTAAACATGTGGTCCACTATCACTGAGCAATCTGAAAATTAATGCCCATTTTTTTCCTGGGACGACTGGATCAGCTACTCAATCGATGGGCCAAAAATATCACCTACGCTAAGAGCCCAATAGTCCACATGTGTCTTTCCAAGTTTTTGACTTCTATCCATGTCATGGATTTGAAAATTTGAACCCTTGTTTTTTTAAAGTAAGAACACACTCACTCATTTTGTCCCACTTTGAAATTGAACCTTTCACCCTTGAGTTATATAGAGCTGGAGTGGGAGCGAGACTACGGGAGCATAACTAGAGCATGAAAGCGGTAAAATCTAAGGCTCCCTTTGTTTTGACGTAAAATATTTTCTTTTTTCAGGTAACATATTTATTTATTTTTTTATTTTTTTTGGGTGTTTGTCAAAAGTTTAGTTCAAGGGAAAGATCTAGTCTATCGGATGGGACGTGTAAAATAGCTTGTCGAAAATTGATGAATAAGTTATCTTTGTTAGGTTTTAATATTTTTTTCTTCATAAATATTTTACGACAACCAAGTACATCAGAAAACGTATAAAATATTTTACGTTCAAACTAGCGGAGCCTAAGTCAAACAAAATGGGAGTAGAAATAAAAGCACGCGGAAAATAAGAGCGATACCCGTTTCAAAAAATTGTATTACATAGCTTCCCACATCCGCCTTAAAGGAGCTGAATTATACCACCAACACCAACAGCCCAACAACAGTCCACAGGTGGTTTTCAATAATGGCAGTTTGAATGTCCTTAAATTTAAAAGGGTCCATTCACTTAATTGTTAGATAGCATTTCAATTTAAAAGGGTCCATTCACTTTAAAACTTTATGTACTCAATTTAAGATGGACTAGTACATTAGTTAAAAAGACTATTACAGACATGAGTTTACATTGATCAAAACTCTACAAATGATTAAATTTGTTAACCCAACATAAAAATATCATGTGAGTTGAAGAAAGTTTTGTTGAATTGATTTGAGTATCAAAATATCATATTAACTATGTGAACTATGGTAAATAAAAATGGGGTTTTTGTTTTTTCTGGTTTTTTTTTTGGTACTCTCCAAAGTCCAAGAAGGAATTGAACTCCTAAAATGAGGAATAGAAGGGGTTGTAAAGTAATCAACATTAATATATATATCATCTTATTTAATTTTATTGTTTTAACACTTGAAATTATATTGAAATTAGAAAACTCACAAATATTCACAATAGGGTTGGAAAGATCAGTATCCCCTCTTGTTTGGAGGGTCATGTGCCCCTTCGTGCACGGACCCATGAAGTGTTCAGTGGGGGCAATCGCCCAATTTTTCCTATGAATGTTATGAAAAATTTGAAAATATTCATACTTTTGTATAAAAAATTTTAAGAATACCCTTACTCAAATTTTAATGATATCCCACTATATATTGTTGCTTTTCAAGACAGTTCCCTTTCATATAATTTTCTGGGTCTATACCTGACTGTGCACTTGACCAAACCCACGTAATTTTGGTACATTGTCATGAAATTCAAGACAGGTCCCATGTTGGGGCTTCGTGAGATACATTTTAGATTTCGTGTTGTATATCAAAATTACGTAATTTTGATTAAGGACCTCATCAAACAGACAGAGATCCATTTTTAGGGTTGGAAAACCTCACTGCCCTTTAAAGGAGGAGTTGTTAATAGTCCAGTAGTTTAAATAAAGTTCACATTTGCCAAATATAGAAAATTGTTTTCTTCTTAGGATATATTTATTTGATTTGAGATTTCAACTTTAGTTTGACTTGAGCAAAACTAATTATAACAACGAAGTACATATGCGTTGGACTATATTTGTATATTTGATTTGAGACTTCAATTTTAGTTTCACTATAGGAACAAATCTAAATTACAGTAATAATTACTCAAATGAGGCTAATTAACAACATGGTGGAAATTACAGTATGTATTATGTACTTTAAAATGTTGACGTTCGAAGATATAATTCACAGTTACTTAAAATTAATTAAGAAGGTATTTGCACATTCTTTTAAATAACATATTTTGTTTTTGAAATATTAATTGCTCTCAAAATAAATCAACGTAGTGAAAACTATAATTGAATATTTTTAAAAGATTTTCAACAAAGAAAAACAATATGTAATTTATATATATATATATATATATATATATATATATATATATATATATATATTTATGAGTGTATTTCAATGAATATATTGGTTCTTGATCAAATTAGATTTATATATATGGGTTTAGGTGCACAGCGGCCATCCTTAGAGAGTGGAGGAGTAAGAAGTGGAGATGGCCATGGTTAGAGGGTGAGTGTGTAAGAGGTGGAGAAAATAGGGTGGTAAATATGAAAAAAAAAAAAAGAAAAAAAAAGAGAGGAGAAATAAAATAAATATAATAATAATAAATTTATTATATTTTGAAATATTATAAAAATGTATCATAACATATTTTCACTCTATTTTGAAAATGGAGTGATACATATTATAATAAGTATGAATTGTTGTGCCTCTTTATACTCTTGAAACACATGACAAGACCACATTACATTAATCATATTGATCTAGACCTCCTATAGCTAGCTACTTGGTAGATTTATTAATTAAAATTTAATGAGGACTAACAAATAGAACTATTTTCTGACATGTATATAATGGTAATTAATAACTTATATTGTTAAATCTCCAACAGCATGTATATATGGAATTGTAGTAGATGATCATGATCAGAACCAGAGGTAGAAGAACATTCAAGGAGAATAAGGTGTTGCGGTAAATACTCATCTTATATATATATAAAATATTCCTTGATCTCACCTGCTTTAATGGTTCACATTCAGTTTTTATCAATTTTTTAGATACATATAGGACCACAAAAATTTATATAAAAAGGTAAGAACTGAACTTTATTTATTTATAATTTTACCAACACTACTTAATTAGGTGAAATCTAGCTTGGACTTATTAATGGAAGCAACATTTTTTTTTGGTAATTAATTTTAGATTTTTTATTTATATTTTCTTTTTTTCGGTAATTAATTTAAAAAAAAAAAATTTCGGACAAAGAACCCACAAAATATTCGTGAGAAATTCAAACCCTTTAACTTTCAATTTAAAGAAAGAGGAGATACTACTAACACAACAAATTTTGGTGTTTCTCAATTGAATTGAACTAAGTAATTATCTAATGGCTTCTCGATCTCCCACATCGTTTTTGTTTTTCTTTCTAAAATTGTTCTCACTTGTTATTATATATTTCTTCCTTTTTCTAGACTTGTTTTAATTGGTTAAAGAGCAAAGTTTCTATAAATTATATAGATTTAATTAACACTATTAATATTAATATATACTAAAAGGAAAAAAAAAAATATTGCTTTAAATTTTTTTTGCTTCAGTATGGACCCTATATATATATATATATATATATATATTATTCAATGGGATCTTGTTAATTAAGTGTGCTAGGAGGAATGAAATACGGATGACATACATGAACAACCTTTAATAAAAATATAAAGTTTTTTATTATTTTTTTCCTAAAAGTTTAAGCAATGTATAGTTTTAGTTTTGTTCGGACTAGAACACTCAACCTCATTTAAAAAAAAAAAAATAAAAAAAAAAAAAAAAAAGAAGGAGTCCATTGATAAAACTACAAAGTTAAACCTGTATTTTGACACTAAAAAATAAAATAAATAACAGTGCACTAAATATGATAACTCTTTTGTATATATATATATATATTGATATATAATATATATAGAATTATGGTTCGAAGCGTCGTTCTACGCAATGTATCGGACCGTTTGCGATCATTTTTCAAGGTTGATACGAGACTCGTATCAACCAGTTTATATTGTTGTCTGAATTCGTTATCATAACCGATACTGCGACCAATACTATATAATAGCTACTCATAAATTTTATTTTATTATTATTATTTTTTAGTTAGTACTCACAAACACTTATTTCTTTTGAGATTTAAATTATTGACCTTCCTTTCAAGACGTAAGAGATTAATATCACTAAATTCCTATCAATTGGTTACTATATATCACTAAATTCCTATCAATTGGTTACTATAAATTGATACTATATATAGGAGTATATTAAAAAGCCTTGATGTGAAAGTGGATGAGCAAATTGCAGCACATGCATTCATGGATCCAACAACGCTCATGCTGCCATCCAGAGCTATTAAATATATAGAGCTAAAACTTCAATAAATTTATAGTAACAGAATACCATGGAACTCTCTACTTTTGCATCACCTATCCCTAGTCAAGGTTGTTAACCCCATGCTAAGGTGGGAAGCCAAGTAAGTTATTAATTATTATATATATATACACACACTTATATATCGATGCAGGTAAAATATCAAAATTATTCTGAGATGGTGGAAGTTGCTAGCAACGTATCTCTCCATTGATTGCCATAAATTAATGCCAATGGCCTTACGTGTTGATCCCCCACTCAATAATTCATTGGAATCTCCCAATGCGGGGATACGTGGATCCTCTCCTACCCTTTATTTTTTCATTCATAGCGTGTCTCATCCGGCCACTAGTAAATTAACCAATGCAACTGACTGTCAGAATACAACCGTGTTATATAATGTGATATGACACTATATACTGCTGTTGCAATATAAAATTATTGCGTTAACGATTTAAACGTACACGAGAGCTACCGGGTTTTAGTTAAAATTAAAATAAAATAAAATTAGGTATAAGTAGAATTCATCAAGTAAGAATGTAAAATAATTTATTAAAAATTAATAGATAAATTATTTTTATTAAATTTTAATATATTTTTTTAAGTTGAAAATATTTTAGGATAACCAGACACTAAAAATTATTATTTCTTAAATTCACGTGTCGGTCTCTCACAAGAAGCCAAATTCGTTACGTTGCACCGCAGCTTTATAATGATTTTTTTTTAATGTGTGATGTGTAATTTCATTTAATTTCCAGTATGAGGACAGTTGGGAGATAGTGAGATACATAATTTATGTCTATATATAGAATGTGCATGCAATAACATGTGTTCATGCTCATTGTTCCTTAGTTTCCAATATTGTTGAGAAAAAAAGCAGAGACATATAGTAATATAATATGGCTCACCCAATTCACCAAGCAAATGAAAACAGCCCTTATGGAGACCTCACAAGGGAAGAGTTCTACAAAAAGCACCATATACTCCATGAACAGAGCTTCATGTTGAACCAGCAAAACATGAAAATATTCACTCAGTCTTGGCGCCCTAATTTGGCTCCTCGGCTTCGAGGGCTTGTAGCCATGGTTCATGGCTACAACTCCGAGAGCAGCTGGCTCTTCGAGCTGAATGCAGTAGCCATAGCCAAAGCCGGGTTCTACGTCTGCGCTCTTGACCTCCAAGGCCATGGCTGCTCGGATGGCTCACCGGGGCACATCCCCAACATCCGTCCGGTGGTCGAGGATTGCATAGAGTTCTTTGACTCAGCTCGAGCCGACCATCCAAAGCTCCCGGCTTTTATATACGGTGAATCACTGGGAGGTGCAATTGCTACACTCATATGCCTGAAACAAAGATACCAATGGGATGGTTTGGTGCTAAATGGAGCCATGTGTGGAGTTTCGAAGAAGTTCAAGCCGGCTTGGCCACTCGAGAAGCTGCTTCCGGTGGCGGCTCTCTTCGCGCCAAATTGGAGAATAGTGATCTCAAAGCCGGTTGCTAGTAAATCATACAAGGAGGAGTGGAAGAGAAGGCTGGTGGCGAAGAGTCCGAGCCGCCGGACCGGTGGGAAGCCGCCGGCCGCGACCGCCCTCGAGTTTATGAGAGTGTGCGAGTATATCAAGAGGAATTGCCATGGCTTGGAGGTTCCGATGTTGGTCGTGCATGGTGGGGATGACACGGTTTGTGACCCAAACTCTGCTAGGTTTGTGCATGAATCAGCAGCTAGTAAAGACAAGAGTGTGAAGATTTTTTCGGGTATGTGGCACCAACTGATTGGTGAGCCAAATGAGAGTGTGGAGTTGGTGTTTGGGACTGTACTTTCATGGATTGGAGAGCGAGCTGACAAGGCCAAGACCAACTCATGCCCATTGATGCCAAGTCTAGATTTGGAGTATGCCATATTGACAAAGTAGAAGATTGTGACCGATTAAATCTTGGTCACTCTCAAAAATAAAATTTACCATTCGACAGGAATACTTACCTTCTTTTTTTCCCAATGTTTTCCTACATTTTAGATCTTAAAGAAATAATTTAATTGACAAAGTCTTCAATGTAATTTTTTTTTTTTTTTTTTGTGGGTGTTGCCTTGTCATGATAAAGGGTGGAGAAATATACAGACAGATGATAACTAAATTGCTAAAATTTTAAAATTTGTTTGATTTGTCAATTAAAAAAGTTCTCAAAATATAAAAAATAAAAAATCTATTTTCAAATAATTACTAAACACAATTTTTTAAAATTGAATTTAAAAAAATAAACAGATTTTTGTATAATTTTTTAATTTTCAGTTATTAAAAGAAAAAAAAAAAACTATTTAAAAATAGAGAACCAAACAGACTCTCAATTTTTTTTTATTATTTTTCTTTCAAAAGTTCATGCATACGTAGGCACCTCCCGTTAAAGAAAAGATCATACTGACCTAAACTTTTAATTGGGTTGTTTGAATGAAGTTGACAGTTGTCACTGAAAATGAAGGACAATGTTTAGTTATTGATTGGTGGACAATTTCACTTTGAATCGACCCATTTTAATTAGATAATCACCATCTCTTTCATTGATTCCTAACCCATTCCCTCCTCTCTTAGCCCTTCTTACTTGGTATCAGACATGCCATTTTCGCCATAGGTTTAATTCCATTTGATATCACACATAATCTTTCCTCTCTTTATTGAATGATGATTGAAAGTCCCTTTCTAAAAATTGAACCCTACATGTGCAAAACAAAGAATAAAATCATACTTCCACTACAAGATTTAGTTGAACTCATAGTTCTTGCTTGTCTGTTGAGTGATGATGTTCAATAGAGCACGAGAGGAAAAAGAAAAATAACCCAAACATGAATTAGACATGTTTGCTCATTGATTGATGATGTCTTATGAAGGTGAGAAAAAGAAAAAAAGTGGGAAGAGGAGGGTGTGGGTTTGGAAAGCGATGAAAAAGAGAAATAGAAGAGCAATTGTGAAGAGGAAGAAGAACAGTGAAGAGATGAGAGCGTGGATTGGGAATTAATGAAAGAGAAAAGAGAAAAGAGAAAAGGTGATTATTCAATTAAAATAGATAGATCTAAATTTTTTTTAATAATTATTTTACTGATTTTGTTATTAAAACTGATACGTTATTTTGTTATTAAAATACACAAAGAGTGAATAGAGTGAATAGAATAAATTATTCACCGGTGAATAATTGAATATGTTTCGAAAATAAATATTACTCTTGTCCTGTATTAAATGTCACCATTAAAAGTTGTGACTCATAGCTTTTGAATGTAATATTTAAAATGGGATGGGGATAGTAAATATTACTATGTCTATGTTTGAATATAGGTTTACAGTTGTCACTGAAAACAAATAGTACTACTTTAAAAATATGTTATGTTGCATGGGTAGGTATTATGTCACTTCTTCTGTAAATATAGTATTCACAATGAATGTTGTCAGTGTCCATAAAGAGAGCTGTGCGGAGTTGGAATCGAACAGTAAAACATTAGTTTCATGTCAGAGTCTGTTTGATCTCTACTTCATCTTATAGTCAACAAATGTAGCTACGTCTTATCAATAAGGAATTAAAAATGATAATGAAAACCAAGATTTGGACTGAATAGGCTAGCTGAGGTTTGTTCCGCCTTTGGATTATTTCAAAGGAGCATAAGCAAAAAAGTAATAATGCAAGTAGTAGCATCATTGTACAGTGGAGTTCAAATGAATCACACACACAAGGACTCTAATTGTTTGAACGTAAAAAAAAATATATATATATATATATATTTTTATGATGTATAATTGTCGTCAAAATATTTTTAAAAAATTAAAAATTAATAAAAATAATTTATTTATTTATTTTCGACAAATTATTTTATTTTATATACCCAGTCCTATAAAATTGACTTCTACCTTAACATATTAGACCTTTATCAAATACCAAAACATATATATATATATATATACACACTTAAAAAAGGAAAATATTTCTCGTGATAAGAACTTTAATGCATCCAAGAAGGAAGCTTTTTCTTGGAAGCTTTGTTCAGCTCTTTCAGCAATCACTGCAAAATCCCTGATGTTGTGATCTGAAAGCCTCCACATGGCACCAAATTGATAACGACTATTCATAAAAGTTTAGTGCCCACTAATTAATTAATAGACCTGTTTAAATGGAAGTCATTATTAAATTTCAGTCGTGAAGTTCCATCAGAAACAGAATATCCAAATTCCATTAATTTCTCAAACACCAAACAATAGAAAATCTTAACCTTCAATACATTACCATAGTCATCAATCTAATCTATGTCAAGCCAAACTTCATTTCCAAGATCAGATGCCTTTGAAATATAATTTGACCCCTTAGAACATCTGAGCATCAAAATTAGATCTCATCAAAATTAAAAGTAACCTCCCTCTACTTATTTTCCAAATTTCCCAGAAACAATAAAAGTAACTCATTTAATAGCAAAATCACCAAAATCAGCAGCTAGTAAAGACAAGAGTGTGAAGATTTTTTCGGGTATGTGGCACCAACTGATTGGTGAACCAAATGAGAGTGTGGACTTGGTGTTTGGGACTGTACTTTCATGGATTGGAGAGAGAGCTGACAAGGCCAATACCAACTCATGCCCACTGAAACCAAGTCAAGGTTTGGAGTATGCAATATTGAAGAAGTAGAAGATTGTGACCGACTAAATCTTGGTCACTCTCAAAAAATTTTTTTACCATTCGATAGGAATACTTACCTTCTTTTTTATCCTAATGTTTTCCTACATTTTATATCTTAAAGAAATAATTAAATTGACAAAGTCTTCAATGTAATTTTGATTTGTCTTTGCGGGTGTTGCCTTTTCATGATAAAGGGTGGAGAAATATACAGACAGATCGTGAACTAAATTGTTAAAATTTTAGGATTTGTTTGGTTTGCCAATTAGAAAAGTTCTCAAAACTCAGAAAATCAAAAACTATTTTCATATAATTACTAAACACAATTTTTTAAAATTGAGTTTTCAAAAAATAAAGGTTTTTGTATAATTTTTTAATTTTCAATTATCTATATATATGTATATATAATTATTATTTTTTTTTAAAAAAAACCATACAGACTCTCAATGTATTATTATTATTTTTCTTTCATAAGTTGATACATATGCAGGCACCTATGAAGTACAACTACCCCTCCCAAGGGTCCCGTACCAGTGTCCAAGGTTCGGATACGTGTCCGACACATCTGTGGAGTGTTCAAAAATTATTTTTTATTGGACACGACTGGGACACGTACTGAACACGGCAGGATATATTTTGTAATTTTTTTTTAAGAAAAATGTTGTACCTAATGTAATTTTAGAAGTTTAACTCTTTTGACTCTTTTGTCTGAAATTCTGAACTTTTACTGTTATTAAATTTTATGATTCATTATGTTTATTTTTTTGTTTGATTCATTCATCTCAGTACAGGAATTAAATAAATTTTTACTCCGTAGCAAGAAAAACAGAGAGAAATTAAAACAATTATATTTGTGGATGTATATAAAATATAAACTCTAAAGTTATTGATAACTTTGCTTTGTTCTTAATTAATTAAAGTATTTTTTTTATTACAATATTTTTTTGAGGGAGGTTAGATTTATGGTATTAGGAATTTTGAATATATATATATATATATATATAGATGTATTCTCGTCGTGTTTGTGTCTTAATTTTTAAATATTTGCGTTATCATTATATTCGTGTCGTGTTGTACCCGTGCTTCACAGAGCACCTTCTGTTAAAGAGATTGCAGTGGCTGGTGCCAAACCTTCAACTGGGTTGATTGAATTAAGTGTTGACAGTTCCCACTGAAAACAAATACTTCAAATAAATGTTGCATGGGTTGGTATTACGTCACTTTCTATAAATATAGTAGTCACAATGAATGTTGTGCAAAGTGTCCATAAGGTGTTGCCAATAAGAGAACCGTGTGGACTTTGGAATCGAATGGTATACACATTAGTTTCATGTCATAGTCTGTTTGATCCCAACTTCATTATATAGTCAACAAATGCAGCTACGTATCAATTAACAAATTAAAAATGATAATGAAAACCAAGATTTGGACTGAATAGGCTAGCTGAGGATTGTTACACCTTTGGATTATTTCAAAGGAGCATAAGAAAAAAGACTAGTAATGTGTCACACACGGTGAATTCGCTAGTTCTGTGAGACATCCGATTAGACCATGGGGCATTTGCGGCCTTAAGGCCGACTCGTTCCATGTCCAAACTTCTCCACCAGCTGTGATGGGATTCACTATTCACGTGGGGTTTGTGAGTGTCAAAATATCCGATCCGAACACAGAGTCTCCATCATTCTACTTGGAGGGGTCTTAAGAGTAGCCTCCATCATTGTGGGAGGGTCTCTTTCTCCAAAATGAAGTTACTTGAATGCACCTAGGTGGAGCTCAAATGAATCACATAAGGGCTCCAATTGTTTGGATGTAAATTTTTTATTTTATTTTATTTTATGATTATGTATGGTTGCAGTAAAATATTTACAAAAAAATATATATTAAAAACTAATAAAAATAATTTACCTATTAATTTTTGACAAATTATTTTACATGCCCCGTCCCACAAAATCGACTTCAACTTCGACCTAAATCTTTGCCAAACACCGAAAATTAATTAAAAAAATATTTACCTAAAAAAGAAAAAAAAAAAATCGACAAGAACTTTAATGCATCCAAAAGGAAGCTTTTTCTTGGAAGCTTTGTTCAGCTCCTCTTTCAGCAATCCCAGCAAAATCCCTGATGTTGTGATCTGATAACCTCCACATGGCACCAAATCAATAACTCCTCTTCATAAAAGTTTAGAGACCACTAATTAATTAAAAGACCTGTTTAAATGGAGGTCATTATTAAATTTCAGTCATGAAGTTCCATCAGAAACAGAATATTCTAAGAATTATATATATATATATATATATATATATATATATCCAAATTCCATTAATTTCTCATTCACCAAACAATAGAAAATCTTAACCTTCAATACACTACCATAGTCATCAATCTAACCTATGTCAGGCCAAACTTCATCACCAAGATCAGATCCAATATCTGAGCATCAAAATTATCTTTTGATGATATAGGTAAAAGTAGCCTCCCTCTGCTCATTTTCCAAACTTCCCAGAAACAATAAGTAACTCATTTAATAGCAAAATCACCCCTTAGCCAACAACCACATTCTTCTGCCTCGAGTCCATACCAGGTTACATCCCGGGAATAGAATTCACAGGAGCACTCTGATAGAAATTTTGTAACTGGAGATGCATCATCAAGTTAAAGGAAATTCATCAAAATTCTATCCAACGAAAGGGAGGACACATAGCATTAATATAATTCAGGAGTACGTTGAGAAAAATTTCTCTCTCAAACCCCCAATAAAGAGAGCTTCCATTAAAACACAAGTCCCCCAAAGTGGAAGATTCATACATGTCAGTAATTTTAGAGCTATGCATATAGATGGTCATAATGGATTTAAACCATGAAAACAAGGTGCAGAGGGGGTAAAAAAGGATATTCAAAGACACCAGAACAGTACAAAGATAGGAACATGGGTTTCAAAAAAAAAAAATCTCGGAGTAACAAAAAATTACTCTTTGAAATGCCCCGCTTCGGTCAACAGTTTTGGGATATCCAATAGTTTAACACGGTCTTTCCCTTCAAATAAGGGCTTCAATTTATCATCACAGTGGATGATTCCCACGTCCACGGGGTCCTGCAAAGTGCAAAGCATCATTGCTATGTCATGCCATTGTAGCATTATCAAAATACGAACTTGAAAAACAAAAAGGTGAAGAAAAGTATAAATTTTAACCAGAAAAGGGAGTAGGCAAGAAAGTCTTCACACACCTGCTGATCATTACACAGTTGAAAATTACCTCAACACAACCTAAGACCCTCCCCTCCCTCTTTCTTCTTCCACCCATTCTTTTTCCTCTCTAAAGAAGAAGAAAATCCTATAAAAGGAAAAATCATAAAATCATATTCACATCCATCTCCCCGCCATCTTTGTCTATCTATACTATGGAAGCATCAAGCATGTTTTATTCTGCCTACACCTCCCCTCTATTCTCTTTCATTCCTCCAAAACTGAATGTAAGAGTGGCTAGGAAATCAAGAGAATAAGAAAATTAGTTTATTTTGTGTTTGCCTTCAAAATAGAAAAGGGAAGGGGAAGAAGGTCTTCTTCTTCTTCTTCTTCTTCTTTTTTAACTTTAATTACTTAAAGTATTTACCATCTCTAAATGGGAGTAGTTAAAATTTTATCATTTTTTTTAATAGTCGAATATATATTTTGGCCTTTCTGTTCACATAATAAAAAATCCATTTATTTTCTTTCTTTCTTCTAAAGCACTGCAACTAGTAGCTGGTAGCTCCTTACTTTACTCATTTGGGATTACTATTACTTAAAAACACTTTTATTTTAAAATTTTAATCATTAAAAACACTATTAATATTTATCAATTTTAACTCTGTACAACTTTTGGATAAAGTTAAAATTTAATTTGAATGAAGTTAAAATTTCTAATTTTTAAAAGCTACAGGTTCTATATTTTAAGTAATTATTTTTTCTTTGATAATTTATCCTTTTTTAAAATTTAATAAAAGACAATTTCATTCTTTCTTTGATAACACCTAAGTATTATATATTATAATATTAAATAATATTTGTCTAGTATAGCATAAAATAATTATATTATGTTGGATAGGATTATTGTTGGATATCATTCACCATAGTTTACATTTAATTTGTTTAGTTAAATCTGAATGATTATGGAATTAAATCTTCAACCTATTTCTAGTTATACAGTCATATCCATTGGCACTCCTAATTTCATCATTTTGCTCCGAACTTGCTATGCATGTTTCCTCTAAAACACAACGATTAAATACATTTATACATGAGAAAAAGAGAAGATAGAAGGACTTAAATCTATATATATATATATATATATTATTATTATTATTTTGATACATTGCTTTGTTTTGTAGTGCAGGGTGCACATTCTCATTATATTTATTTTGAAATTTCACCATTTATAATGGTGATGCAAAAATAAAAATATAAAATAATTAAATAAAGTGATTTGCTAAGTGACACATATTACATTGGACAGCTAGATGCCGGTACGGAATAAAATTTTGTTTTGTAGTGCAGAAATGGGGGGGGGGGGGGGGGGGGGGGGGGAATTTGTTCTACAACACGTCTGTCACTAATTCCCCACCCATGCAATCCACATGAAACAAGAAAAAGAAAAAAAACATTGTTCTACGAAATAAATATTTTACAATCATTTTATAATCCTTAAATGCACCAAAATATTTACTCTCCACGGTTTTTCCCTAGTTGCAGATATTAGATCATTCGTATAAACCATTCACAACAGAATGGTAAAATCATTCACAGGGCATTTGACCTGGCTGCAAATTGCTAATTTAAACAATCCGCGTTTTAGTTAGAATTTTAGGTGTTTGATTGCACTAAATGAGTTCCCATCACTTAAAGGCATTCAAAAATCTCAACAAACAACCATATTTCTTGCATTTAATTATTGATAAAATGATTCTTTGAAACATTATAATTCACCTTGTGCGTTCAGCTTCTCTTTAAGACACAATGATAGGAATAAATTTTAAGACTATTCCCAATTAAAATTCCGCCACATATGTTTTCTGTTCATTTACAAAGCTCAGCAATAACATTATTAATGCACTCAGAAATAAAATGAACTAATTCAACTGACCTAGAGCAAATTATCTACGACATTGCTAATGCACTAAGAAATCAATAGAACTAATTAAAGCAACCTAGAGCAAATTATGAATACCAGATCCATACCATTACAATTTCTAAAAACAACCAATAACTTGCGAGCTAATGAAGGAGGTTGATGGCTTCACAATTGAAAATGGCGCAATTGAAGATGACCTCAACACAACCTAATATCCTCCCCTCCCTCTTTCTTCTTCCCCCCAATTATTTTTCCTCTCTAGAGAAGAAGAAAAGCCTATAAAAGGAAAAAAGGTGCTTGCACTATAAATAAAAATTAGTACTTATCTAACCATATTATATCTTTCATAGTCATCAGCAATTTGCTATTGACAAAATGAAACTACATTGGTCACTAATACCCCAGCCCCCGTGCAGTGGGAGGAATTGTTCTCCAACATGTCTGCCACTAATACCCCTGTCCATGCACCGCATATGAAACAAGAAAAAGAAAAGAACATCATTCTAAAAAATATATACTTTAAAAATCATAATATTACAAGGGCATGCCCACAATCCATTGCCAGGTTCCCTTTCTAAAGCCATTTTATAATCCTTAAATGCACCAAAACATTTACTCTCCACGGTTTATCCCCGTCAACTAGGGCTATGTATCTCACACCAAGGTGCACATTTTAGATCATTCATATAAAATTGTGCATTGCAAGTTTGCAACGAGCTCTGCCCATTTCTAGGTGTGTTCAATGCACTAAGAAATCAAAATAACTAATTGAAGCAAACTAAAGTAAATTATTTATATCACAGCCATACCATTACAGTATCTACAAACAACCAATAAAAATGAAAAATTGAATAAAAAGTATAAACCAAACAACAACAATAATCAACTCTATGCTAAATATTTGGAAACCAGTTTACCTAGAAGCAAGCACAAATCAACATTATAACGAGTCAAATAGCAAAATTGAATAAAAAGTATAAACCAAACAAAAACAATAATCAACTCTATGCTAAATATTTGGAAATCAATTTACCTAGAAGCAAGCACAAATCAACATTATAACGAGTCAAATAGAATGCTAAGAACAAAATTGAACGTGATAACCCTAAAATCACATATGGAGTATGAAATTGAATTTGTTGGCTTTAGAGAGAGAGACAAGAAGACACCTGGAGCTTGTTGGCCACTATGTAAGCCCACATTGTCCGAATGGTGTGGGTGCGGGATGCTTCAGGCGATTCAGGCAGACCGAGAAACTCCCCTAAAGCCGGTGATACTGGTACAACTTTAAGCACGCTAACCAGCTCCGGAGTGGCGGCGGCAGTGGCTGCGGCGGAGCCCTTGGCGGCCGCCAAGAGTGCAGTGCAACCCGCGAAAAAACGATTTGGAGCCATGAGTAAGCTTCTGCCTGCAATAGAGAAACCCTATAGTTATATTTTTTTCTTTTTAAACTGTCAATTTGGTTTAAATGACCATGTAGAATCTTAGGACATATTTTATTATCTTCAACTCTTTTTTTAAAATCTGTTGTTAGGAAAAAAATCTGTTGTTAGAATCTTAGCCCTTGGCGGCCGCCAAGAGTGCGGTGCAACCCGCGAAAAAACGATTTGGAGCCATGAGTAAGCTTCTGCCTGCAATAGAGAAACCCTCTAGTTATATTTTTTTCTTTTTAAACTGTCAATTTGGTTTAAATGACCATGTAGAATCTTAGGACATATTTTATTATCTTCAACTCTTTTTTTAAAATCTGTCGTTAAAAAAAAAAAAAAAAAAAAAAAAAAAAAAAAAAAAAAAAACTATGTTTGTCAAATATACAATGACTACAATTTTTATATTTGTGATATTACTTTTTATTTTTTTATTTGTTTTTAAAATATAAAAGGAATTAGTCATAAATTCATTAAAGTAATTTTGTTTATTTTTTCTTTAAACATGATTAAGTGTTAACAGAATAATATTCCCTCTCTTTTTTTTCCCTCATTAATCAATCAAGGTGAGTTATTAACACTGTCCTTTGCTCTTTTTTTTTCTTCTTCTCATAATTCATGTTTTTCTTTCTCTTTTGTCCTTAGTGACCCAGGGGCGGAGCTGGGATGGCAAAGTGGGGGGCTAAAGACAAGAAAATAAAGGGCATGCCTAATTGCCTATCACCTATTAAAAAGAAAAAAAATTTAGTGTGTCATCCATGCTAAGTATATTTATATATTTTAAAAAAAATATTTCCCAATTAAAATTTCTAGCAAGTTAAATAAATAAAATACGAGCACAAGAAAGAATTCAATGTAGTACAAAGTAACCTAGAATTCAGAATATGGTATAGGCTGGTCTTAAAGGTATACATGTTAATAACTAACAAATTCAACTTACAAGAAATTCAGCAAACTAAGTCTCTAATTGACAATGTTGTTTGACCAAATAATTCTTTTTGCAGCACAACTCATCTAGTCCTTGTTGATTTAGATAACCCTTCAAATCACCACTTCCACTTGAAGAAGTGATTTACATTCATTTCCCCAATTCTAAAGTATCAATGGCAAGCAATAGAAATAACAGTTCTAAATTTTAATAGAAGTAACATAAGATAGTGGAAACATGAACTAAAAGAACCTATCACTTCATTTACTATAAATGGAACCAATTCATATTTATTCCCAAATGACGAGGAAAATTAACAATGAACATCTCTGCTCTATTATCAATTATAGTTACTTGTCAGCAAAATAATCCAATGAAAGATTAAAATTCCAAGTTCCAACCCAACACACACTGCCAGTGTGGTACAAAATCACTATAATGTATCAAAGCAAATTGCAATAAATTATAAACACACAAGAAATTAAAACAAATCATTCAGGAAACAAAATTTAAAACAAAACCCATCAAAAAAAAAGCACAAAGAACAAGCAGAAAACTTACAGTTCACTTGAACAACGGGCGATCAGCAATGGAAAAGAAGTTGCAAACTTGTAGAGACTAGAGACAATCTGATATAGTGATATGCGGCATATGCTGATATGGGTTTTGAACTTTTGATTCTTGCAGTTGCAGAGACTAGAGAGAGATGTAGAGAAATATATAGGTTTTAAACATTTGATTCGGAAGATCAATTCTCAACCCTCGAGATTGAAGACAATTGGTAAGGTCGAATGATTTGCCCTAATTTTTTTTTTTTTTTTGGGTGGCCCATCGACGATGGCCCAATAAATTTTCAGGCCCCATAAATTTTGTTTGTAACGGGGGCGTTTTTGTTTTACTATGGATTGAGCACGGCTGAATGGCGACAAAAAATAGTAGTATTAAATTTATTTATTTTTGGACATGAGCTATAGTTCAGGTTAGCCCATTAATAGATCCACCCATGACCCTTATTATTAAACCAAACGCAATCTTAATACTGTGTCCAGTAAGAAGGAAATAAAAGGCGTGGAGAGAAAATAAGAAGGAATATACTAATTTTCTTTGTTCAATAGATATGATATAAAGAAAGAAAGAAAAATATGATAGATGATTCGAACAAGGAGTTCGTCATGGTGTGGACAAAGGGTGTGATTGTAGACCGTTTTTCCTCCATTACAAATTTTCATCCGCCCAAGAATGGGTGGAGTGAGACAAATGAACTACTATAGAAATTTTAAATTAAATACTATTTTAATTTATACAAGTTTTAAATTACAGTACTATCATTCATAAATTACAATATTATAAAAATTATTGGATATAATGGTAAAAATAATTAAAACTTTTTCTTTCCTCTCTCCTGACAAACATAATAAAGTACGAGCTTATTTTTTATCTTCTATCCAACTGAACAAAAAAAATGATTATATAATCTCTTTCCTATTTCACCCATCCATTCTTATATCTTCCTTTGGTTCAATTTTTTCTTTCCTATTGGACAGAGCATAAATAATGGTATTTTTTGTTTCAATCGTGCTCTTTTGGATCAAGATATTTGCACAGAAAATAACAGAAATCTGGGAGGGAAATGCTAAATTTAGGGTAGAACAGTACTTTTGAAATTGAGGAATAGAAAAGAAAAACAAAAAGAAAAAGTTTGGCGGTACTTTTAAAATCAATTACCCAAAAAATAAAAAGAAAAATTGAGGAATACAGAAGAAAAAATAAAAGAAAAAGTTTGGCCCCTGCACAATGATAAGAGTATTATTTTCACGAAAGTGAAAGAAAATGACAAATGCATACACGTGTGATAGTGATAATAGTATATTTTGCCCTTATTTTCCACAATAAATTAACAACTAATTAATACTATATGTTTTTCATTTTCTTCTGTCCACCAGAAAGATGGAGTTTCTTTTTATACACACACAACTACACAAGCACTAAAGATGTCATTACTTGGACAAATTTAATGGATAAAATATCAACACTAATCTAATTTAATTTCACAATTACATACTAAATTACAAGTTCTATTTACAAATCAATCCTAGTTAACTCAATAAAAAGCGCCACATGTCAATTATTTAGCGACATAGACAATTTCAACTCAGAAGATCAGGAGTTATTTTCCATTTTGTACAAGAATACAATTACATGTATTAATTTATAATTTAATTAGTGAATAGGAATATTTATTAATTTTGTATACATATTTTAATAGATATTTAAAAAGTCAGTGTGGTTGTATCATTACAATTTGTTAGACTTGTTTAGAAGAGGCTAGTCACCGATAAAAAAAATATTTCTCGTGTTTCTTAACATTCACCATCTTCGTCCAACCATAATTAAGTATGAACCGACGTTTAATTGTCCTTATTATTTTTTCCTTTCAAAGTTGCCTCATATTTTTTCTTATTATTATTTATTTATTATTCTTTCTTCTTCACTTGTTTTTGTTATGGTAGAAACAGTTGTAATGAGAAGATTTTTATTTTTATTTTAAATATAATGTAAATACCTTTTTATAAAAAAAAGTAATTAAAACATTTTTTTTTTCTTTCACGACACATTATTACCAAAACATGTATTTGTTTTGAAATAAATAAATCACAACACAAAAAAATAAAATAATAATTACTGTTTATGCTTTATACAAAATCGAACTTGTTGCAAAATGTCCATTATGTTTACAACTTTTTTTTTACATCAATTGTCTTTTGAATTATTAAAAAAAAACACAACTAAACTTTTATTTTTTAATTTGTTGTCTTCTTTGTTGTTGCACACTGCACAGTTAGCCGAATATATATATATTTTTATCCTTTTTAACCCATAATAACAACAATTACTTGTTTATTTTGCGATAATTAATTAATTAATGTATGCTTATTAAAAGAATTAAAATATGCATTCAGTTTTTATCGCGCCTCAAATAATGCTTCACCCCTCTTTTGCATTTCTCTCTCATCTTTCTCTCTCTAGCTTTCTCTCTGTTTACATAGCTGGTTGAAGAATCAATCTCTCTGCGTCATATACGTTCCAATTTCGTGATTAGGTCAGAATTCAAACTCTCTTCAAATCTTTCACTCATTTCAACTAAATATCTTCATTTTCTTTCTCAATTTTCGCACATTTGGTTTGTGAATTTATTAAACCTCATTGATATGTTATATTGTGCCTGTTAATTAGTTCCATTATGGCTTTGAATTAGCGTTAATAATTTCTTTGATCGTAGATTCTTTTTAGTGATTGTTTGGTTCAGTTACGTTTTAATGTGCGATTTATTTTTTTGAGATCATTTGAATTACCATAACTAATGCAGTTTTAATGCTGATTATGATTATATTCTGCATTTAAATTTGGAAACATTGGTCAGTTTGATCTTTTGTTTTCGTTGCTATGATTTTAAAACAAAATTTGTAAGTATGAAACAACTGCATTTAATAATAATAAGACTAATAAAAAATTCACAATTTTTTTTTTTAATGTGATTTATTTGTAAAAAATATTTAAATTTCAGGTACGTTGAGTGAGTAGCTACATTGACTGATTTTTTTTCATTTTTTCTTTTTCCTCGGAAAATGTTACTTGGGGAGTTCCTTGTTTGATATTTATTTATCTTCACTGTTACTGATTTTGTACATCTGTTTTCCTCATGGATTATTTTGTAAACATTGAAAACGACACTTTTTTGTGGATGATTTTGGCTTGGAAGCGGAACGATGAAGCATTCATCCTCAGGTACGCTCGCAATATTTGCAGAAATGACAGTAGCAATAAATTGGTATCTCGTAATTCGAGATGTTTTAACATTAGAGTTATCTATACATATTTTTGTATTTAGTGTGTGAAATTTGACTGGGGTGTATTGTGAATTGGTGATTTGATGGAGATGGAGGGAGGTGTAGGATTATAAATGTAGTTGTATTTTGTAGGTCAATTGCCATGAATAATGTCTATAACAACCTTTTTGGGCTCTATTTTATTGAGGACATAATGTGACGGCGGTTGTTAGACTCTACACATCTGACTATCAGCATATTCTCATCACTCCTCTGTAACTATGCATCCCTATAAAGAAAAAGAGAGAAAAATAAAAAAAAAAAAAAAAAATTCATGTATTCATTCACTTGTCAACCCAAGCTTTATTCAAGTTCAGTCCCTTGTTCTCAATTTTCTGCATTGATCCATGACCATTCTTGGTTCCTTTGTAAATATCTCACCTGAAATACCTCCGTCACATATGGAGATTTGATATAGAAATGGTGGTTGGGCCTGTGAAGAACAAGCAAAGATGGAGCTTGGATAATGTTACATTCCCTTGAGAGAAAGGAGGCGGACTGGTGAACAGGTTGACAATATAGGTGGTTGAACGAAGAAGCAATAAGACATTGACTTTTTAATTTCGATTTCTGAGCTTTTTTCTTCTTCATTATATGTTAAAAATCTTTTGTAAATAATGATGGGGGTTGGGTCTCTTCCTAGTCCATTTCTACCACCCAGTGCCAAAAGTGGCAAGACCAACCGGTAGTGTCCTTTCTATTCTGCTAATAACTTTTGACTTTAATATTTTTCAGTGATCTAACTCCATACCATGTTCCAATATCTTCAAAATAGATGTGTGTGTACATTATTGAATATATGTATATAATTTTGTTTAGATTAGTATGTAAATTTATATATCTATACATATATATATATATATATATGTATGTATGATAGTTGTTAGCAGAATTTATATATCTATATATATATATATGTATGTATGTTGGTTGTTAGCAGCCATGTTTTTAGTCTATATGTTTATAACATTCATATGTAGTTCAACAAAAGCTAGAAAATGAATTAAAAGAGTAATTGTCATTGAAGACATTGACCTAATAATATGTTGGACTGTTTCAACATAGAACAACTTATAGAGGATTAGGGTGTTATTGGGTTCTAGAGTTGTAGTTTCCATATATTTGTTTGCAAACTCATGCTCTTAGAAATAATCTTTCTGAAAGAACATGAAATGAATGCACAAAGGATTCATAACATCTACAATTTCTAATAAATATGTTTTACCAAAAAATACTGATGCCTAGTCTCGTGAGAATACTAGATATTTATTTTCTAATTCTTTTTTGTATTTTTGCTTTCCTATACAGCCATTTCCTTTGTATATAATGTGAAACATAATTTAGCATGCAAGATTGTTTTCCATCTTGTTACCCATGAAATATAATTGAAAATTTTATGTTTAGCGTGATTACACAATTGATTGGCAAGGTATCTTCTTGACTTTGTATAATATTTATAAGCCTCATTCCCCAGGTCTTGCAATAATCTACAGCATAAAAGTTTGTTCTAAGAAGTTGAAAACATGAATTGTGCTCGTGCAGGTAAGCGAAGATTAAATGATCTATTGCTTAAAAGTGATAATCGGGGTTGTGCTGATTGTGGTGCTCCAGACCCTAAATGGGCGTAAGTTCTACCACCCAGATTACTTTAGAATCTCTAGGTTGCTTGTAATTTCCTGGTAATAGGCTTTATGATAGTTGATGGACACATGCAATTCTACAGCTGAACTTTTTTTCGCAAAAAATTCTTTCTGCATCCTTGCTTAAGTTGATTTGTTTTTCTTTTCTGTTTTAAGATCTTAGAGAAGGCTTTATGCTCCTATTGTACTCCAATGGAGAAATTGTACTCTGGTGGAGGCTTGGAAGTCTGTGGGTGATTTTTTTTTAGCAAAGTCTGTGGGTGATGACAAAGTGCCTTTTGACCAAATCAGTAATAAAATTGCAAAGGCTTTAACATAAAAGAAGAGTAATTTTAACTTATTAAACATACTATAATAATTGGTGAGGTAAATCAAGCCAAAAATTATGCATGAAAATACAGTACTGGAAAATTCTTGCTTCTTGCCAAGGATTGACCATGGAACATCTTTTATTTTCCCAGAAATGAATGGAAAGGATTGGAAGAAGAAGAAAACCTCCTTGTGGTGTTTATTGACAGGAGAAAGCATAGGATAGAGTTCCCTAGGAGACACTGTGGTAGGTTGTAGTAAACAGTATGATATTGATATATCAAAACGATCAGACACATGCATCTAGGCTTGGATTGAGCCTTTGTTATTTTCTTTTTCCTTTTATTTTTTACATTAGTCATATAAGAGACTGAGAGTGGACATTCAAAGGGGGAGTTTTGTGGTATTTTTAATTTTTTGATGTTGTGATTTTAGTTGATGAATCATACTTTGAACTGTGGTTAGATAGTATTAGAACTTAGAAGTTCTTTTGAGGAGACATGTAATATGCAAATTTTGGTTAATATTTGTATACGGGTATATCCAGATTTTGCTTGAGTTGGTGCAACAAACATTTATAAGATCAACTCTTAATTTATAAAAAAAAATATTTACGTCATTGCCCATATGGACACTTCAAACATGCTTAAAGTGTCCATGTTGACACTCAGACATGGGTATGATGTATGCATGTCACACGTTTAGGACAGGAACCTAATAAGCACATCTAATAATTTAAAATTATTATATGGTTGTACATAAAACTCGTTTATTATGTTCCTATTTTTGCTTCTATTTATTTCCTACATGGATCTTTAAAGAATCAGTTTTACTTTGCATTTCCAGATCGGCAAATATTGGAGTCTTTATATGCTTAAAATGCTGTGGTGTGCACAGAAGCCTTGGTACGCATATCTCAAAGGTAGCTGCTCCAAGATTGTTTCCCACTTCTTCTTCTTCTCATTTTTTATTTTTATTTTTAAAATACCTGAAAGAAAAGGAAAGCAGGTTAAAAGTTACACAACAAGTACAATTAAAAATGTGTCTCTCGCCGTTGGGAAAAAGTCTTTAAAATGTCATCTTCCCAATTTATTTCCTTTCTCTAAAAATTTTCAATTCGCCATTCAAAAATTTCTTTTATTGCATTCAAATGCATAAATTTAATTTTTTATTGGGAAATAATTTAGATATACTTAAATGGAGCCCAAAGGATTTTAATTCTAATACTATCTATGTATTCTGTTAAGAGGACAGATTTACATTAGACATGCCATTAGTTGCATCCCTCAGCGACCACAGTTTGAATGATTCTTTTAGGAGTTTTGGACTTGAGAATAGTGAACAGTTCGCAAGGAAGTTTTGGCTTGCATTTAGTTGCATCCCTCAGCGACTTTACCAAGCTTAAATTGTAAAACAAAAGATAGTGGGGATCATGAAGAAAATAATTTTTTTAAAGGCAATTCTGCTTTTATTATTCCTTCAAGATCTAATTTGTTTTTGTCCTTTTTTATTTTTATTTTTTCAATTTTGTGTTAGAATGCTGCAATAGAGAGAGAGAGAGAGACTGAGAGAGGGATGCATGGGAGAGAATGGTAGAATCAAATCCATTGATGGGCTGTCTTCACTATTATACTTTATTCGTAAGAATAAGCAGAAAAAAAAAGTACAGGACAGCTCTCAACTTAACCAGTTAGACATATTACTCTTAACACCATCTCAACCTCGAGCGTTAAGTATACCTAAGCTAGAAAGTTATTATCAGTTTTGTCAGAAACATGTCACCCGCATAAATGACAGTCCATCAATGTACTTAGTCTGCAGTGCTCAGTCACTGGCTATATGCCTGGCTGCCTGATTATAACACAAAAAATTCAGAGCTAAAATTATTTTCTAAAAGTCCTTTCTCCTGGTAATATCACTGCAATAGGGAAAAAAAAAAAATTCAGTTAACATTTTTGAATTTTATTGTTTTTAAGTTTCTGCCCCACACCTCTACCTTATATCTGCATAACTATCCAAGTTTGAACTATGCAGGTTTTGTCTGTAACATTAGATGAATGGTCTGATAAGGAAATCGAAAAAATGTTTGAGGTTGGAGGGAATGCTTCCGCAAATTCAATTTATGAGGCTTTTGTTCCTGAAGGATTCTCAAAGCCTGGACCAAATTCTAGTCATGAGCAGCGTTCAAAATTTATTAGGTCAGATGAAACCTAAGGATATTTTACCCATGCTCATGTTGTGAATCTTCATGGCTTCTTTCAGAATCTCTTCCTCCTCTACTTAATATTACTATACTTAATTTGTGGGTGTCCACCTCACTGTAAATTGATATGAGATGTATACTGGCCAAACTTCAGCATATTTTGGTACTCTTTTTCCAATAAAAAAGTGTTAGGCTGCCCCATTTTCTGCCTGAAAAGCAATTCAGATTCACAGATTATTGGCAACATATAGCATGTGCACCCAAATTCGAAAGTCATAGGCAAGAGTTTTTTAAACTTATTTCTCTCTTCACTGTCTCCATATAGGTCTAAGTATGAGCATCATGAATTTATAAAGCCTAGCTTGCGAAGCTCGTCAACTGCTGGAAGGGGCTCTGACCAATCCCAAAAGATTACCGATAGTTTTCGAAGTTCAAGTTCATCGCAGAGAACGGTAAATTCTTTTACTTTCATTTTCCCTTTCCACTTTTTAGTTTTTACTCCATGGTTGGAGGTTTAAGTCAACATTGTTGGAAAGGATGCTGTAGAAGGTCAAGGGTTCAAGTCCCCATAGGGGCAAGTGGGTGTGTGAGCATGTTTCTTGCCAAGGTAAAAAAGAAGAAGGAATATAAAGGGGTTTCACTGTCTCTTTTGCTTCGGTTACTCATTTCTCCTGCTGATGTTCAAACTGTTTGCAGGAAGGCATGGTTGAATATATTGGATTATTGAAGGTCAAAATAATAAAAGGCACAGATTTGGCTATCAGAGATGTGATGTCAAGTGATCCTTACGTCATCCTGACTCTTGGTCAGCAGGTTAGTCACTTATCAAGAAGTCTTATCAATTTTCAATGAAACCTAATAAAATTCATAAATTGACCCCCAAAAAAAAAGATCCAATTGCTAAGAAATGATTGAATATTTAAATAAAAATGGGGATTTTTTTTTTTTTATAAAAAAAAAAAATCACTTTTTGGACAAAACATATAATTGCACAAAAATTTAGTTTCAAATTAAGAAGGGTATAAATGCAAGATTGAGAGTTCTAAAACTTATGTGAACAGATGTTTCAAAAGTAGAATTGGGTGGTTTTACTGAAATTTTACAGGGCTTATTATTATTTTTAAGCAAAAAGTAGGACTTATATGTAATTTACCCTTTATTTTATCCCTGTGGCTGAACCTTAAGGGCCTAAATAAGGTCCATGGTCCATTCCTATGACCATTACTATTTGTTTAGATCTTCCTCGTGTATCTTTGGCACCAAGGTCTGCTCAGTGATCCTTTAGTTTTATGTTTGTATTAAAGTTCTTGATAAAGTGCGTAGTTTTATCGTGGGTCAGACTGAGAATAGTGCTTCAGCAAATGGACTTAGTTTTGATACATTTTTGTTTTGATGGATTCCTTGTCCAAGTTATAGGTTGTAGCTTTGACATATTCCAACAAATGGCTGTTGTTGTATTTTATTTTCTTTTTCTTTTTTCTCCTTAGGTTGTTATATTATCTTTTTCTTTTTTTCTAATGTGAAACTGGTTGTTACTGTTATTAGAAGTTTCAAACAAGTGTAAAGAATAGCAACTCTAATCCAGTCTGGAATGAGGAGTTCATGCTTTCTGTTCCTCAGCATTTTGGTCCCTTGAAACTGGTGAGCTTATCTTTTTCCTCGTCCTCTCGGTTACTGTAAATGTTTTTCTCTTTTATTCTTTTAAAAATTTAGTCTCTTTGACTCTTGATGCTTTACCGACATAAGGTATGGCATGCTAACTTGGTTCTAGACCATATCTAGAAGTACTTAATACAACTCGGCATACAAAATTGAACCCACTTCTTGGTATTTGCTCATATGTTCTGCAACTAGTAGAACATTTATACTAATAATAAGGCAGTCATAATGCGCATCCTTCACCACCTTGGCCGGCTTCCCACATCAGCCTGCCATTAAAACCCCTCCTTAATACCTGGCTTGAACTGACATTTTCTACATTTCTGCCCTTACTAATCTAATATTTAGCTGATCAAAAATTTGTTTGTCATAACCTGCACGGATGGCCCAATGGATAAGGGGTCTCCTGGGACGAACCGTAAACTCAAACGTCCTAATAATAATAATAATAACAATAAAGTGCTTGTTGTACGTTTGGCCTAGAAAGTAAAACAGTCATACAAGTGGAGTTGGCACTTAACTTTTTTTTTCTCAATGTGAGTGAAAGATAAATTTGGAAGATGTACACTCACCTTTAATGTGGACTGATACTGTTTTCCTGTGCACTAGATGAGGTTAATGTTGACGGTAGACTGAAGTTTACATGCATCTTCTAATGGTGGTTTTAGATAAGCTGGAGACATGGTCTTCAATTTTGAAGTGTAGATTCAGAAAACTTTGTAGAGTTTAGATGCATCTTCTAATGGTGGTTTTAGATGGAGACATGGTCTTCGATTTTGAAGTGTAGATTCTGAAAATTTTGTTCCGAACTGCAACTTTAGTTTCAGTTTCAGTCATATATTATGATTAATGATAATCTTCTAATGGATCTCTCCCCTCTCCACATCCTTCATCCAGACAATCTCCCAAAATCTTCTTACCCCCTTGAATTGCTTGAAACTTCGAAACTTTTGACAAATTTGCCTAAAACCTTTAGTTATGGCTTTCAAATCTGGCCCCTGGTCTACAAATAGACTCGTTGGATGCCATATTTCCGATCCACCATCTCTTTTCATGAACTTTCTCCTTCGGAAAAGCAAATGATTAGAACACTTGGGATATTAATTTGAATTTCAACTGATGAAATAAATATCACCACCGGAACTGGTCTATTGCTGCCTCTCGTTTTGGTCTCCGCTCAAGTAACCGTAACCAATCCTTTTGTCACGAACAATTCTGGTTTATAGTGATTCTGAATAGCAGTGTTTAAGTCGAAAGTTCACACCTTATTATCCTTGACCTTGAGCAATTTGATATGTGATCATCATTATTATCGCGTGGACATAGTTTTATAAAGTCATCACAACATGCCTGTTAAATTCACAAAAATGTAGATATATGTAGAAAAATGAATTACATAGATAAATAATTATAGTTGATTTTTACTACAATGTATAAGATTCATACAAATTCTTCTAACTATCAGTTGTTTTTGTCACATTGTTTCATCTAATCTTTTTGATTTTATATACAGCAATTATTTGATTACGACACATTTTCTGCTGATGACACAATGGGAGATGTTGAGGTCGATATCCAGCCACTCATAAGCTCTGCAGTTTCAATCGGAGATCCTTCAATGTATGGGAACATGCAGATCGGAAAATGGCAGAAATCGCAAGACAATGCGCTCATAGACGATAGCTCCATTGACATCATAGATGGGAAGGTGATACAGACAGTGTCACTCAAGCTCCAGAATGTGGAATCTGGAGAAATACAAATAGAACTGGAATGGATGCCTCTTGACCAATAGTCTACTTATAATTTTTTTTTTTTTTTTTTGGTCCCATTTAATTTCAATAATAAATATCATGTTGTATTAATTACTTATGTGAAATTGCACCAGAGTGGCTTTTTTTTTGGTAATTAATTTATTCGAACTTCATTCTTTATTTATTTTTCTTTTTCTCATCGATTTACTTAAAGTTGATATACTTAATGAGGTTGCAGACAATTTCCATTTTCTTAGTATTAATCGGTTGTTGAGAAATAAATAATAGTGGTCAAGGTCATATGGCCAATCAATCCTGAGTGTGAATTTCTCGTAGCATGACCAAGTTGATCACATGGTAGGGTCTACCTTAAAAAATTTAAATTCTTTAAAAAAATAAAAATTAGTGTGTGTGTGTGTCTATATATATATATATATATTCTGGCGAAAAGAAAAAAAAAAATTGTTATTAGTGATCAAGAAAAGCGACAGCACAACTGGAAAAGCCGCCTTCTATTTTCACCCTAAGCTTTCTCGGGAAAAGTCATGGACATTGAGTAAGCTCAAAGCTTTCTTGTGTTGTCCATCCTAAACTTTCTCGAGAAAGATCATGAAAATTAGGTAAGCTCATCATAGATTGCCAAAAGTCTGCTTTATTTTCTGTTATTTGCCTATCTTTACAAAGAAAACGTAATTGGGTTATATATATATATATATATATCATAATCCGACAAGAAATCACGCGTTTTCTTGTAATTGACTAATGTGTTTCTATATATATTATGATTATTATAACTAATCTATAGAGTGAGAGAGAAGCTTAGAGAGAGAGAGGGGATGACTGAGACTGTGATATAGTTAGAGAGAGAGTGTGTTTTCTCAGCTGAGATGGAGTATTGTCGGCGATACGGCGTCGTAATTGCCGTTTGCTTACCGTTGATCGCCGTTTCGATTATCAAACACTCAGACGGTAGGGAAATCCGGCCGTCGGAGCACGGACTGGCGTACCAGAATGCGCCTGCGACGGGAAGGAAGTCGCCGGAGATGCTGTCCTTCTTCGGCGGAACTAGGTCGGCGGCGGCGTCGTCGAACGTGACGCTTCCGGAGGCGAGGAACACGAGCGGTCCGTCGTGGTGGACTGACCCCATCGGCGGCGGGCGGAGAGGGCACGGCGGCGATCGCGTGAAGGATGCGTTATTGGTGGCCTCGGTGGTTTGCGGGATAACAGGTGTCGCTTTGCTACTTGTCGCGGCATTTCTTTTTCTCTCTCACTACCGAAAGCAAAGGACCTCGTCACCATCATAGTCCATCCATTTGTGAGTGCTCAATGTCTATCACTACTTTTTCTCCGTATAGAAATCAGTTATTCTTTTTCTATATACAAATTATATACTGATATTCATCACTAAGAAAATTAAGCTTATTTATTTTATTTAGGGAGAGTCATATTTATTTAGAATTGCTTGAGTTAAGAAATGCATAATTTGGGATATATAAATGTACTGTATATATGATTATGATGATTTTATTTATTTATTTATTCCGAAAAGTTAAGCAATGTATGAATGAGGATAAAACTGTACAAGGGTTAAGGTTACGTGGACTATCGACCCCAGTTAGTCTAATGGCCCAAAAGCCCATCATATCATAACAAAATCTACTAAACACCAAAAACGGTGGGGTGACCCAGTTGGTAGTGGGAACCCATGTTAATTAGCGAGGAATTGGTGGATTTTTTAAATTTATTGAGTGAGTAATCCATTTATGGAATTAACCATTATTATGTTTAGCTAGTTGGGATAATAATTGCAAAGACAAACAAACAAATAAAGATATGAAACAGAATATGAAATAACGGAACAAAAACAATGAATCAACTTCAACCAAAAACAAAAAAAACAAAACAATAAAACAAAAACAACAAACTAGCAAGCCTAACTATAACCAAACTTAACAATGACATGAATACTGATCAAAATATGCCATCTTACGTCCATCCTCCATATCATGTCGAATACACTACATCAATCTAAGCTCTCAAGGGTGTTTCCAATGTCGATGACAAATCGATAACGGACATCTCCTTTCGCGAGTCGCTTCATGGCCGTATTCACATAATCCATGGGGATAACTTCAACATCTGCAGTTATGTTGTGTTTCCCAGCAAAATCTATCATTTCTTGTGTCTCCTTCATTCCCCCTGAGATACTTCCTGCTATAAGCTTCCTCCCTACATTTCAAACAATTTTGGTTTTTCAATCACAAGAAGAGGAACAAAGAAGAAGAAGAAAAGTACTTACAAATTAGACTTCAAAAAATGCTTTGGACGGTCCAATCTCATCCGTTGAAAAAGACATGTCCTATGGCGGAGCCCATATAGGCCTTGCCCTTGAAACAATCTTGGAGCCATCAAAATCCAAATGATTCATTCCTCTTAGATTTTTCTCTTACCTAGAAGCAAAGGCAAAAGTGACAACTCAACTGGTTTCTCCAAATCTGGTGCACCCAACATTATTAACTTCCCATCATGTTTCAAAAGATCAATCATAGCATTCAGAGGATGAGGAGCAGAGACTGTATCAATAATGCCATCCAGAGTCCCCACTGCAGCCTACAAAATTCAAAACACAAATTACGCATAAAACATATGGATTTCTCGACAACTTAGTTCTCACAATCTCACCTGCATTTGTTGCATGTCACGACTAACTACAAATGAATCAGCTCCTAGTCGATCAATTGCTTCCTCTTTCTTTCCCGGGGATGTGCTAATCACAGTCACCTTCATCCCGAATGCCTTCCCAAACTTCACGGCCAAGTGCCCGAGTCCACCAAGTCCTACCACCCCCAAATGCTTCCCTGGCTCACTAAGCCCAAAATATTTCATGGGACTATAAACTGTAATGCCAGCACAAAGCAGGGGAGCACCGCCTGCTGGCGAGAGGTTCTCAGGAAACCGGACAGCAAAGTGCTCCTCTACCACAATGATATCGGAATAGCCACCATAGGTTTTAGTTCCTCCGGCTTCAAACAAGGTATAAGTGAAGATCACATTTGTGCAGTAGTTTTCCAAGTCAACCTGGCAGCTATTGCAGGTACCACAGGAATCAACCATAGTGCCCACGGCTGCTTTATCTCCTACCTTGAATTTCTCTACTTTGCATCCTACTTGAGTAACCACACCAACAAATTCATGCCTGTGTTTGAGCAAGGAAGCTGAGGTTAGCCAAGTAAAAACCTAATTGTTTGGAACTTCTTCTTCTTTTTTTTTTTTTTTTTTTTCTTCTTCTTGATTAGGTAAGTACTAACACACATTTCACAAACAAACCCGAACCCCTCACTTTCTCCTAGTATAAGTTGTATAACTAATAAGGACAGGAAAACATACCCGGGAACGATGGGGTACTGGGAAATCCCGAATTCGTTTGTAATGCAGTGCAAATCAGAATGGCAGATCCCACAGTAGAGAATCTTCATTGTAATGTCATTATCTCCATTGACCCTAAGATTAGATGACCAAAATTAAGACAAATATTACTCAGTGGTGCAATGGTAAAAGCTTGTGTTGACATGAAGATGCGAGTTCAAGTATGAGAGTATCAACTTTGTCCAGAATAATACTAAAAATTAGATATATCTCTACTCTTTTCTTTTCGGTATTATTGTCATAAGCTGGTAAATCCACCTACTAGTCACTTTGGACTCTTGGATGTTTGCAAGCGGATGCACGGAATTGCTTGCAACGCACCTGCATCATTTGATTCCAAGTCTCACTAAAGGTGAGACCCGAATCAGAGACCAAAGGAGAATTCCTCCAAAAGCCTCACTAGTTGAACTAGTCCGTGTATAAACATTTCATATCATAGACGAAAGGAAAACAAATAAAAGTGATAAAATACAAAATAAAAATCTCCAACCTTCTAGTAAAGTGGAAAGGGGAGAGTATCCCCGAAGAATCTCTAGCTGCCCATCCAAATGCTTTCTGGATTCGTTCATTCTCTTGTGTTACTGACATTATTTTGTTTTTGTATCTTGTGTTTTTTTGGTTTATGGGAGAGAGACAGATATTAAAGAGAAAACTTGCAATAGATTTTTTTTTTTTTTTTGGTTGTTAACCAGGTATTCATGCCTTATATATAATGTTTGTGATGAGGGCCGGACAACGTAAATTGTGACATAAAAGTGTGACATTTTGTTATGTTATATTCTTGTTTTGAAGAAGAGTCATGATTGGTGGCTACCTCTTCTCCAAGAAACTGACATTTTCTTTCACAACGTAGACTTTTGAATTGTAGTGAGCAGAATAGGATAGTTGAAAAATATTGGTGTGATTATGAGATCAAACTGCATTTTTCAGGACTCTGAAACTCGTGCCAAAGACACCAATGCTCAAGCATTTTATTGTGGAGAAATTTAAGATGATCATCACTTTCATAATTCATATTCAATTCAACAATATTTTTAGATTTGACTTAAATCACACCTAGAGCGGTTGCAGAGCGAATTTGGGAGTAGAATAGGATAGTTGAAAAATATTGGTGTGTGCATTTTTCAGGACTCTCTGAAACTCGTGCCAAAGACACCAATGCTCAAGCATTTTATTGTGGAGAAATTTAAGATGACCATCACTTTCATAATTCATAATCAATTCAACAATTAATTTAGTTTTGACTTAAATCAGACCTAGAGCGGTTGCGAGAGCGAATTTGGGAGTAAGAACGTGAAAGCAGCAAAATCTAATTCAAGGAATAGGAACGAAAGCGTGCGTAGCAGCACCTGCCGAGAAGAATTGTGTGACTATTTGAGATCAATTATACAAAATTTTATGTGACGTTACACCTCATTGAATAAGATTATGTTGATACTTATGTATAAATGTTTCTTATCGATAGTAGTGTAAATGCATTTTAAAAATCATTAGTACAAAGTGTACAAGACTCCGCGTAACACTTTATCGCCCCAAAGAAAAGTTTAACCACACAAGAAAGTTCTCGCCTTTTTAACAAATTCTCTTTTGATCGCAGCCAAAACTTACTTCTTCACCCGTGGGAGGGAAAGAAGATTTAGACCGTGGACCTCTACTATTAAAGATATAGAATTGTTACGTGTGCGTGAATGTGTGTGTGTGTGTATATATATATATCTCTTTAATAGTGTATACGTGAAGATTGCCGTAACCTTGTTTCTCTCCAACTTTGTCCCTTCTCTATGTCTCTTCTCTCTTTCTTTGAAAACATAGAGCCACGAACACTTTTAGTACGAGATTCAAGTTTTTATGGGAGGCAAAAATGAGTGTGTGAGTTTCTAAATAAAGTAAAATCAATAATTCTATTGCATTAATAGATATAATTGCATGGTTAATTTTGATTTGGCGCGGAATGAGAATGATACTTACTTCAACTAATGCAATCTGACGTCTCATATTTAATCACATTGAAAAATCTAATTAATCTTTTAATTTAGTAATTAAATATAAAAAGCTTATGACTCTGAAAGTGTTACTCTTTCGGTAATTCCTAGTGGTAATAGGCAAAGCATTAAATCAACTGCAAGGTTATCTTTATTTACTAGTACATAAACACATGAAATACATGTAGAGGCAATAAAATAAGAAAAATATATAAGAAAAATAAAACTGATGAACAAAAATTCACTCTATAGAGATACTGAAATAGATAATCCTCCAGCACCAATTAATCTAGATAAACATCAGTTTTTCCATGCGTGTTAAGTTTATATCGCGCCCTTCCTGGGTCTTCAGGATTAGTTGGGACAGGATTAGTTGGGACAAAGCCTCGGATACCCCAGATTATCCAAAAAAAAAAAGTTTACATCAATTGAATATACTAATCAATCAGAAGAGCATGTAAGTAAAATTTTCTCAAAATGAAACAAAATTACAGTATTCGAAGGGGGAAAAAAAGGAAAAGAAAGAAAGAATGAAATTTGAATAAATGAATACAAAAGAACGAACTGTGTATGGTGCAATTCCATATAAGTAATTCACACAACATTACATTTACTTTTTGAATCTAAATGAGGGGAAAAAATAAATTATATATACACCACCTATTTATTGCTCAAGAGGCATCCATTCTAGTTCTAAGTCTACTTCTCCACATTCCACGTTCTGGAGCTTAAGCGACACCCCTTGTTTCACCTTTCCTTCAATAATGTTTACAGTGCTATCCTCTAGGAGTGCGTTGTCGGGCGACATCAACCATTTTCCGATCTGCATGTCTCCAAACATACCAGCATCTCCGAATGCCATTGCCGAGGTTATCATTGGCTGAATATCAATCTCGGCTTCCCCCATTATGTCATCAGCCGAAAATGTGTCATGATCATAAACTTGCTGCATTTCAGATAGATCGAAAACCATATCAGACCACAATATAATAGAGAACAGAGAAACTTTGATCATTCATGAATGACAAATCAAAGGGGATTTGAACGCACTTCATAAACCTTAGTAGAACCAACACTACAGTAATTTATTTATGTAATCATTATTTCATTTTATGAATTTAGCAGGCATGTGATGAGTATTAAACTATGTCTAAACATTGACTGCAATGATTATACACACAAAACCAGAAGCCTGAAACCAATCAAGGATAATCAAGTCTTTTGAAACCTAAACAAGATGAACCATGATTCAGAATCATTATAAACCAGAAATATTCACAACAGAAAAAAGAAATTTTGATTTAGGCTCTTAAGGTTCAGGTAGCATGTCATATCTCATCATCCGTAAAGCAGCATAGATATTAAAACTTGAGAAGGACAAAATAGAATTTACTTGCGATAATCAAGAGATTAAAGCAAAAAGATATACTCACCAATTTTACGGACCCATATTCCTGAGGAACAGAAAGCATGAGCTCCTGATTCCAAATTGGATTCAGATTGCTCCTTACTACATGTGTTTGGACCTTCTGTTAACAAGAACAACCAATTTATGTCAAATAAATAAAACAATTAGAACCTACAGAGAGAAACGTCGTCATATTTGTTGAAAGAAATGACAGCAACCACTATAAGTTTTACAACTGATAAATCGAAACAAAGATGTATTGACATCTAGGATGTAAAAAAATAAAAAAAATAAAAAAAAAAATTGAAAAAGCACCTTTAACAGGGCACTGACTCACCCAACTAAGTTTTTCATCAGAAACTTCAACACAAAACCAATTTTTTGCAAGTGTATTACGGAAAACAATTAAAAGACGAGCAGATGTTGTTGCCAAAATCCACAACCACAGAGATCTCAACACGTAGCACTGTCATAGGTATGGATTATGGACCCCATTTATGCCCTTAACGTTCATCCAGAAGGGAATAAAACTGAGAAGAGCGACTGACCTGCTGGCCAAGAGTCAGGACTACATAAGGATCACTTGACAGCATATCTCTGACAGCTAAATTTGTGCCTTTTATTACTCTGACCTTCAATAATCCAATAAATTCCACCATGCCTTCCTGTTATTAGTTTGAACATCAGCAGGATATAAGTGATTCATGGAAGCACCAAAAGCCTGTGGAACTCAGATCAGCTAGAAATAACTTGGACCTATCCCAATAAATTAATAGCACTCGGAATTTCTTCCTAGGAGACATAGTTGCATCAGAATTGAAAGCAATGGATCCATCTGATCTTGATACTTAGCATGCATGCTCTTTGGGTTATCAAACAAGTTCATATACCAACAATGCAACTTAATCCTAGGAGTAGTAGAGCAGAAACTGGAAAACCAAGTAAAATTTTTTTACCGATTTCTGTGAACTTGAACTTCGAAAACTATCCATAATCTTTCTGGATAAACTTGATTGGAGAAAGCTCTTATTTTTAGTTGATGAGATTCGCAAGCTAGGCTTTAAGAACTCTTGAAGCTCATACTTAGACCTACATGATAAAATTGAAGAACCATAAGTAACCAATCCAAAATTCCTGCATATGACCTTTGAGTTCATATGCTATAGAGTGCCGACCATTCATCAAAGCAAATGAGGCAGTTCAATAGTTGATTGGAAGACAAGTATAAAACATAGGTGTTAATTTGACCAATATAGATTGCATATCAGTGGTCACTCACCGATCAAGTACATTAAAGTAATGGAGGGAAGGATATTAAAAACCATAAAGGTTCACAATGATGACCATGAACAGAATGCACGACTAGAAATATCTATTAATATCATCAAACCTAATAAATTTTGAACGATGATCATGACTAGCATCCGGTCCAGGCTTTGAGAATCCTTCAGGAATAAAAGCCTCATAAATAGAATTTGCAGAAGCATTCCCTCCAACCTCAACCATTGCTTCAATTTCATCATCAGACCATTCATCTAATGTCACAGACAAAACCTGCATGTTTCAAACTCAAATAATTAAATACATACAAGGTAGGTCTGAGAGGGAGAAATACAAAAGCAAAAACAACTAAAACGTTGAGCAAAAAAAAATCATATTGCTGCCCTACCACTTGGGAAAAAGGACTTTCAGAAAGAAAAAAACGATAGCCTGTTTTCTTTTTCATTGCAAGCAAATAAAACTAGACTTGCAAACAATGATGGTAGATTGTAAACAACAATCTGAAGTGCCAGTTTTTGGTGGGTAACTTAGTTTTATCTTGATTTTCTTGTACAAAAAGGACATAATATTTTAAGTTTCAAGGAATGGCATTTTCATAAAAAATAAGAAATACACATATAACTGTGAACTTACAAAGATCACATTCCATCAAACTTCATTCATGCTAAAATAGTGTTAGTGAAACATGAAATTTCAACCTCGTAGGATCATAATATCAATTATACTTTGCTTAATTGATGATCAATCCGTGCAGCAGAAGCTTCTCTCCATTAAACAATTTAGATTCATCCACAAAAGCACACTGTTAAGAGGTCATATTCCATTGAACTTCATTCATGCTAAAATAGCTTTAGTGAAACGTGAAATTTCAACCTGGTAGGATGATAATATCAATTATACTTTGCTTAACTGATGACCAATCTGTGCAGCAGAAGCTTCTCACCAATAAACAATTTAGTTTCGTCCACAAAAGCACACTGTTTTATACATTTTTAGTTATAATATATAAACAGAAGAGTCATTCCATCTGTAAATTTGAATCTCTCTCTCTACATTCGCAACAGCCAATCATTTTTACCTCTTCTCTTCCTTACCTCTTCTATTACCCATATCAACTGAGGAAATCAAGAATCTGTGGGAACGTTAATCAGGGGCTAACAGGAAGTTACTAAGCTGTCCGTACAGTGTCACACAGTCTGAACGGCATAAGGACATAATATGGACCCAAATAATTTGACCCGTATTCTTCTGCTTTATTTCCAATCAAGAGAGTTTCTTGTTTTTTATGCCATTTGATATGCCACAAAACATAATTTTTGGTAAACACACACTTGGTTACGGTAATCAGATTCATGGAAGTGGTTTCAGTTGCTTGATTTTTTTTTCTTTTTCACAAAGGTTGTATTTGTTTGTCGTGCATATCCAATCATGGCAAGTTTATTCTAATCATCCTAACAAGTACATACATAGTATGCCGAACTAAGATCCTTTTTGCTCCATTTAAGTATATCAAAATTATTTCAAATTTAAAATAATAATTTAAAAAAAAAAAAAAAAAAAAACAATGTATGCCTCCAAATGCAAAAAAAGAAGAAGCAACTTATATGTCTGAAATCTTAATGCAACAAATGAAGTTTTTAAATGGTAAATGCAAAATTTTAGAAGAACAAGGAAATACTAGTAAGACCAGTGTTGTTAAAGGCGCGCCTAGGCTCCAGGCTCATACATGCGCAACTCTTGCCCAGGTGTGCCTTTGACAACATTTGCACCTTTAATATGAAATATGAATATACTTTAATAGTAATTTAATTTTTCAATTGTGCGCCTCACTTAACTCAGGCGTGCGCCTAAGCTCCAAAGGACCTCTAGCGCCTTAGTGCGCCTTGGGCCACTGATAACATTGGGTAAGACAATATTTAAAAGAAATATTGCCCAGCATAGAGATGCATGTTTCTAGGATGGAAATTCATGTAATAGTATTTCTTTCTATGTATGACCAACAGTCTAGAATGAATTTTTTGTCAAGAATTTACAAAAAAAAAAAAATAATAAAAAAAAATAATAAAATAATAATAATAGAAAAAGGGGAAACAATTTAGTGCAGTTACCTTCGAGACATGCGTACCAAGGCTTCTGTGCACGCCACAGCATTTTAAGCATATAAAGACTCCAATATTTGCTGACCTGTAAATGCGATGTACCACTATTTTTAAACATCCACGTAGGAAATGGATTGAACCAAAAGCATGTATTCTGTGCAAAACAGTTGGTCTCAAATCCTTACACCCAATATGATCCAGTAGACTCTAAACCTTGCAAGTACAAATATTGTAAATCTAATTTCAGTGACATTTTTCATTTAGGAAACTATAGAAGTAATTTTTCCTTCCTCATACGTTCACAACATTATATTTTCAAGTATAAATGTCATAACTTGGAGAAATTTAATTAGCCATCTAAATCAACTCTAAGAAGCACTATACCATTCATTGAACCCAATTTAACTCTGTAGATACTATCCCTTCAATCTCCCCTCACCAAGTATTATAGCATGACTAATAAATTTAAATGCACTCTTTTATGGTAAAGGAAACATTTACAATATTACTAACCCCACGGCCCCCCCCCCCCCCCCCCCCCCCCATGTCCACTGGGATATGATTGGGGCATAAAGCCTTCTCCATGATTTTACAAAAGAAAAAGAAACAAAAATTCAACTGTAAGTAAACAAGGTTGTTGAAATATATATAGCCTAAAAATGTTCAGGTGTAGATTTAAGCGTGTATGTGTATGTTGTGAGGATCATAAACGGTATTAACAGGAAGAGGCAAGTAAAATAGAGATAATAAAGGCAATAGGATGATAGATCTTACGCCCATTTAGGGTCTGGAGCACCGCAATCAGCACAAACACGATTGTCTCTTTGAAGTAATAAATCTTTTAATTTTTTTTTCCCTGCAAAATATCCATTCATGTTTTCAACTTTTCAAAACAAGCTTCCAAGTCAAAAAATTGCAATAACCAGAAAAGGGGGTGGTGGAATATCACAAAAAGTTCCTAAATACATTGTTAATCAAATCTGCATCACACTACAATATTTTCGACTAAGAATAATGGGTAACAAAATGGAAAATATTTTGATTTTATGCTTCTCAGATATTCTCCACATTAAAGTTAGAGTGCAAAAAGTTGCTTTGCTTTTACAATTTGGAATTTTATTGATGGCAGTTGACCAACAAAATACAGCTACATTTTGAAAATAGTTTATTCCACCATCTCCATCACATCTCCAATTTGCAAAGTCGAAATTTATGCACAGAATTCAGGGGAGAAAATAGAGAATTCTCATGTTATAAGTTTGTCTAAATACTAGATTACTGTTGCTGCAAGTCTTCAAGCATACCTGAGGCTGGACGGTGGTGACTCATTGCTACGCTTGCAAGCCAAAATCATCCAACAAAAATTGTCTCTACCAATAATCTTCATAATTACCCACCAAAACAACAGGAATACAAAATCAATAACAGTGAAGCTAAAAACCAAACAAGGAACTCTGCATTTAACATTCTCAAAGAAAAAAACAAGAAATAAATAAATAAATAAAAATGAACTTTTCAACAACAGATAAATCAAGCTACATGCCTAATTACTTATTAATAATTAAATATACCTGCAATTAAAGGTCTTAAGCAAATCAATTACAAAAAACAAAAGGGGCAAAAAAAAAAAAAAAAAAAAAAACATAAAACAGCACAGCATCTTCCTAAGTTTACAAGAAATCAAATACAAAACCTTGAACCAACCAATGCCTCCAAAAATAAAATTCAGAAATAGTATTAAAATGCAATAATTGTTATTGGAATTCAAATAATTCGACCAAACACGACAGATATTAAGACGTAACTAAATCATAAAAGAAATGATTAACGCTAATTCAAAGCCTTAACGAATAGTAATAATTAAGAAATGATTAACGCTAATTCAAAGCCTTCACTAACTAATCAACAGACACAAAACAACAGATTTAAGGCATATAATCAAATCGCAAAGCTTAAAAATTATTCAGGTAAGAGGTTTTAGTGCGATTTTATCATCTGCAACAATTACAAATTCACAAACAAAAAAACTGAAATGAATGAAAGATCTCAAGAGAGTTAGAATTCTTACCAGATAATCAGGAAATGGGAATGTCTCACTTCGAATTCCAAGACACGGAACATGGAGAGAGAGAGAGAGAGAGAGAGAGAGAGAGAGAGGGGGAGGGAGGGAGGGGGAGAGAGAGACTGGTTCTTCAAACAGTTGGGTAGAGAGAGAAAGATGAGAGACGCGAAGAGGGGCGAAGCATCATTCGAGGGGCGATAAAAGCTGAAATGCTGAATGCATATTTTCAAAAAAAAAAAATTAAATTTTTTAAAATTTTTTTTATTATTGAAATGGAAATAGTGTCTTTTTAAAGTTGGAAATATTCTGTACTCAATATTTTGTTAAAATGGATATATTTTCCATTTAAAAGGAAAAGTCATTCTTTTCTTTCCTAAAAAGAACTGTTTCACACATTTCTACTTTAATAGCATGCGTGAATTGTGCGAGTCACACCCATTCAAAAATTTATGTTACTTACGTTTAAAATACAAAGCATTTATGTTACGAAAATAACAACGCTATATTAGTAGATGGATAAGCGTGAAGAGAGAGGAATATCAAAACTTTGGTCCGATAAAATAATTAAAAGTAATTTTAAGAATTTAAATAAAATAATAATAATTCATGTAATCAATCTAGATGATGATGTAACAGTATGATACAATGAGATAAATTTATCTGATTTTTAAGAATACAAACTTTACTAACATAAAGTTTTCTTTTCTATTTATGAAATTCATCTGACGTGAAATTTTATGAAGTTTTTTTCTTCCGGTTGGTATTTAAGAGAATATATAATTAAGTTGAAGAAATTGAGAATAATAAAATATGTAAAGTAGCAAATTTTGTATATTGTACCTAAACTAATTTTGAAATATTTTGAGAATTTTGTAAGAGATTTTAGAGAGCAATAACAACACGAAAGACAAGAAGAATGACTTTTTTTAACGAACATATCTAGAGCTTCTTTTTTCATCATTAAAATTTAAATATCGACTATTAGGATTAGATTTACTCAATAATAATAAAATAAAATAATTTGGTTTAAAAACCAAGATATAATAATATAATTATATCACATAAATTAAAGAGTACAACGCATTCCATAGACAACCGCCAAGCACGCAATTTTGTTGAGAATGACTTTTTGTAATTTGATAGGATACTCGTAGACATTAATAGGATATGGGCATCAGATTATGAAGTTGAAGATGGCGAAAACGATTTGTGGGTTTCATTTAAAAGAGATTACGAAACAGGGTGCACAGTGCAAATATATATATATGACAAATATAAAATATAAAAGAAGAAGAACAAAATTATTTCAATATGCATGTTAAAAAAAAAAAAAAGAATTTAAAAAAAAATTGAGAAAATTTTGAAAGAAAAAAAGTTAGTTCAATTAAGAAAGAAAATTTTGACTTTTTTTTTTTTTCCTGGCCTACATCGCTCCCTCCCTAACTAGACCACATATCTTGATATAAAGACACATATATCACCTTGGCATTATTTTAATTATTAATTTTAATTTTTATTATTATTATTATTATTTTTTGAAGTTCAAAGAAATGCGCAACTACCCATTTTATTTTACACGAAACTCTAAAAGGAGTTTTAAACGGTCTCAAACCAGCTTAATGCCCAATGAGAATTGGGAGCAGCTGCCCTGCTCACTTCTCAAATAGCCCAAAATGTTGTTGGGCCAAGTCATTGAGGCCCAACTGTAGTTTCCTGTCAACAAACAAAACTGGCCTATTAACAATTACTAGCTTCATCGGCATGATTGTGTCTCTTATAAAATAAGACTACACAGTTAGAGTCCAAAGGTTTTCAAGTCCAATTACATTTTCAGAAAAAGCCGAACAGTCCTCGGACTGAAGATCTTTTGCTGTCTTTTAAGTTTGGGTTAAGTGTAAAAAATTGCCCCGCGATACAAAAGGTGTGCAAATAAACACCCTATTAAAAAGAAAAGAAAGTGCATATAAATTCCTTATATAATTTATCTTTTCAGCAAATTAATCCTTAATCATCAATTTTGACCAAATTTTCTTATAAAAATTCCAAAATGTCCTCCTAATGTAAGTATGAATTTTATTTCATTTAAATCTAAACATCTTTGTCTTCTCTAAAATAGAATTACCATCCAAACTCTCCAACTCAAATCTCTTCATCTAAGAATTCAATATCTTTGTGATGTAACTTCCAAACCATTCATGAACCACCACCACCATAGGTGTTTATATATATATATATATATATATATATATATATTGTAATAGCAGGAAAAAAAAAAAAAAAAAAAGAGGGAAAGAAATTAAGCATCACCGTGCTTCACCACCACCACCAAACCACTAACCGGCGAGGAGGAAACTCAGTGGGGAAGCCAAAGTTGAACCCAAACTTAAACAGGGCATCCCAAGTTGAACCCAAAATTAAACAGGCATTCCTTGGGTAATTACGCTATTCAATTGATAAGGAGAGAGAGAGGAGGTGGGTATTGTGATGGATTCACGGGTTTCTTTGTCACATGGTCAGCCAAATTTTTTTTGTTTTTTTAAATTTCTCTCTCCACCAACCCCAAATCAAACCTCTCTGCCATATGTGTGCTTCCAGTGGAATTTGGAAGAATGATTCATCAATGAATAGACATGGTACTATTTATGTGCATGTTTGCGTCTGTATATACAGAGAGTGGGTAGAGAGAGAGGAGGTAAATGAAATTTTAAAAGCAATTTGGACAATTTGGACCACAAAAGTATGGAAGTGGTCGGGGAAAAGGTCGCCGGAAGAGAAAGACGGACAAAAAATAAAATGGTGACTTATATAAAAAAATAAAAAATAAAATGGAGAGAAATAGAGGGGAGAGAAAACATTTTCCTCCATTATTATTTTATTTTATTTTTTTTATGGGGTATTTTAGACATTTCAATTGCTAAATTGACATAATGTCCTTATTTGCACAAATTGAAACAACAAGGGGTTAATTGCACCTTTTGTATATTATCGGGGTGTTTTTTGCACTTAAACCTTTAAGTTTTAAGAAAACATTTTTCATAATGGCTATGTTGTTTGAGCCTAAAATATTCTTTGAAAAATATTTTTTTTTAATTTTATGGTATTTGGTTGTGTAAAATATTTACGAAAAAATATATATTAAAATCTAAAAAAATAATTTATTCATTAATTTTTAACAAGCGTTCCGCCCAATAGACTCGACCTCAACCTCGATCTAAATCTTTTCCAAACATCGAAATAATAATAATATTTTATCTAAAAAAGAAAAATATTATCCAAGGAAAATATTTTAAGTCTCAGCCTAACCTTATATTCTGCATCTTTCAAGAAATCCCACTTGCAAAACATGTGATCTTTAGGGCCTGTTTGGCATAAGATATGTTTTAGGCGTTATGTAGTTTTGTTGTACGAGTGTTTTGAGTAGAAATCAGAACCATGTTATTATTTTTAAAAAATTCAAAAATTTGCTTTAGTTCCTCCTACCAAAACACACAATATTACCAATTTGATGATATGAGTTTGAACAAAAAAATTTAATCTGTTATGAACTATATCAAATCAATATAAGTCGTTCTAAACATGATTTGGGCCCAAATTTAAAGGCCAATATCCGAAAAATAATATCATAGCACACTCCATCCAAGCCCTTAACATTTTTGCTATGTGCAGATCCAATGCGTTTTTTTTTTTTTTTTTTTTTTTTTTTTTCTTTCTAGTTGGGACTCACACACACTGCCTCTACTAAGTTTGAACCCCTAGCTCCCTTTTGAAAGTAGGAGCCCTGAATCGCTAGGCCACAAGACTGTTAGTATCCAATTCCGTTTCTAAAGAGACGGAAAGATCACTTGATAAGAACATGTAGATAAATCATAAAACAATACAACAGGAATAATCAAAAGAATTACCAAGGAGGTTTTCAATTTGTATTGAACAAGAGAACAGTTTGTCCTCTTTGTTTTCAATTTGTATTGAACAAGAGAACAGTTTGTCGTCTTTGTTAATTAATACAGTTGTAGAGATGAATAGCAAGTGCTAATCAAGTTCCTCATAACATCAATAACAAACATCACATGAACAAACAGGGAGTGATGCACCGTTTTCTTAAAGTAAATGTTTAGTAGACTTCGACATGCCATTGCCTGTTCTTTTTGAGTTGTGAGAGCTTCTCTTCCCAATTCTCCCCTCTTTGCTCTGCGACCCTTTTCAGTGTGTCTTGGATCCCCGGCATCATCCCCCTGAGCCCACAGAAATAGATATGGGCCCCGTTATCAAGGAGTTTGAAGATTTCGCCACTGTATTCTTCAATCTTATCTTGGACATACATCTTTCCCCCTGTCCGGTTCTTTTGTTCTCGGCTAAGGGCTCTGTCATACCGGAAGTTTTCCGGGTAGTCCTGAACATATTTGGTGAATTCATCGTCATAGAGGAGACTGTCAGAGTTAGCTACCCCAAGGAACAGCCAAGCTAGGCCACCAAATTTGAATGTAGGGACGGATTCCATAAACATACGACGGAGGTAGCCTCTGAATGGAGCCACGCCAGTGCCAGTTGCAATCATAATATGGACGGCATTTGGATCATCTTCAGGCAATAGCATTATCTTGCCAGAAGGACCTGCCAAAATACCCTCGCTAATTAATGGCTGAGAGTAGCAACAGTAAAAACTACCAAGAACCAACCAGTCATTAAATTTGTTCATTTTTAATACTCAACACATCAATAATAAAAGTTTATATTGCAACTTCTCTTTCATAAATAAATTAAGTTAAAATCAAATTATTCAAAATGGTAACTGGTCATATTTGTTTTACATGCCAACCTACCAGTATGCCCCATTGCAATTTGCAAAAAGCCTAAATGAATGAGTTGCAACTCAGAAACTAAATTTATGGTTGAAAGAGTCGGTAGTATTTAGAAATATATGTAGTTCACTGCTGAGAATTCTCTGAATAGCACAACGTGATTGATATGTAAGTAAAGTTTTACCTGTGATCTTAACTTTGTCTCCAGGCTTCGAGTTGCATAAGAAATTGCTGCATATGCCATTCTTCGAAGGGTCTTCCTTTCCTGTTTCAGGATCATAATAGATAGCACGGCGAACACACAAACTGGCTGTCTTGCCATCAAAAGAGTCTCCATACCTGGTGGATGCAATTGAGTAAAGACGAACATTGTGGGGACTCCCTGGTTTCTTAGGGTTCTCACCCTATAATGCAAAAATAAAAAATAAAGATTCAAAAAGCTTAACAAAAGTAGTTCAGTACAGTAGTATCATAATAAGCATTTAAGAACAAATTCAAGATGCATGTTGCTCAATGGCACAAGGTTGAGACCCACCATATAAAGGGACTTAAATATTGAAGCCTATGAGGCATGGACATTAACACAACATGGACCCAACACGATATCAAGATACCAACAACATGATATGGAGATGCGGGGAAATCCAAAAAAAGTAGGACACATCATGGAAATATCGAAATATATTTATAACAGAAATATTTTATGTGCAACAAAATTACTCTATGATAAGTTAGATGATTTCCATAGCTCGTAACATGACATCTATAACTTATGAAACGCATTGATCAATAATCACCCAAATCACATAGACAGGACTTACCATATACACGGAATACAAGTCCATGCATATGTGTGCCATAAACACATAATTATGATGGTCACGGTACTCCTTCAATGTACATCTCTTTGTTAAAAACTTCCAATCGTTTTTTGATAAAATCCATATAAAACTTTCATCTGTTTTTTCTTTGTAATTACAACTTTTGCCATACTACAAGAAAGTTCATCTCAAATTTGTTGATCACATGTTGGCAAGTCTCCACAAAGTGTCGACCACATGTCCCAAATTAATAATTTTACTTTAAAATTGTAAACACGTACTAGAAGTGTTGAACACTTGTCCATGAGAGTCTCAATTTTATTGGCAGTCAACATGGAAACAACTCTTTCTTTGAAGCGTCTTAATTTCTTAGATTGACACTTTAAATGTACCCTTCAATCATCCTCAACTTTACAATAATCTTTGACATTGGACAGTACAATTGGACCATCTCATTGAGGCAGCAATGAATGCTTTTTAATGCCACTAAAGATCCACAAGCAAAGGGGTAGGAACTAGGAAGACGAGAACCAAGGATATTGCTCCCCCATATGAAACTAATATCACAATAAATCCACAAAGAGGTACTACAAGTACTTCTCTTTCTTCAATTCTTTTTTTATAAGTAAAGAGGTATCACTACATTTTTTTTTTTTTTTTCCCCCTAGTTGTAAAGAGGTATCACTTCTCACCCTTTAGCGAAAAAAGTTATCAGCAGATAGCACAAAACTCTATGAAAAATAATGAAGGTGAAGCAAAAGCAAATGGAAGCATGACTTACCGGAGGAATTACACCATAACTTTGTCCTTCCCAGTAGGGAACATTGCCACCATGATCAATTACAATATGACAAGTCTCTCCTGGAGCTTTTGGGCCTACAAGCCTCTCAACAGAAACAATGGTTGCTGTATAAGGTTCCTTGGGCTTGTATGTATTCAGTGGAGGCTCTTTCACATCATCGAGTGCTAAAGGTGAAACTGTGACCTTGGACTTGCTGGCTTGTTGCACTGACATGCAAATTATGCCCTGATTTCTTGATCGTGCATTATTTAATTTCAAGTCCAAAGGCAGGGCAGACATCCATGATTTCTCATGAAAGCTTATATTAGATGTCTGCAACAGAATGAAGCAAAATTACCTTGAAAACTAATTTATAGTAAGCATCACATAAAAGTTAAACTGTTCATCCTATATCAAGTAAACTTGAAAAAATAATAATAATTATAATAAATTCATAAAGGTGCCAAATACATGAAGGAAGCAAACAATGGATTTAAGCTAAAGGTTCAGAATAAGATTTTATTTGTTGTAATGGCTTCCACAATCGTTACAACCCTGGACCCGTGGAAACAAGTTGTAACAGACATTATGTAACTTGCATGAATAATGGAGCCTAGAATGTTTCTCTTGACACAGTTCTAATGTAGCAATATGGTGTAACCTCCGAATCTCATAAATTTACAATTTATTTTCTCTAATGAAATTTATCAAACTTATCAGCAGGATTTTTTTTTACCCATTAGTGGGAAACGCTTACACTTTTTTACCATTCACCACTTTTGTGAGTAAAAATGGACTTAAACATGAAGTATTTAGAATTAAAGCATTTTTAAACAGTATCATTGTCTCAATATTACATAAGTACAGAGTGGAAGGAGTCAAATTTATAATTATTATCAATTAATTATTGTACTCTAATTTCAAAAAGAAATACTAGGTTAGTGTTGATAAACCAAACCCAAATCACTTCAAAAAAGTGAAATTCAAAAGAAAATTAAACATAAAGAGTCAATCTTCTAGGTATCCGAACCATGAGTAAATTGGCATAATATGAAAATTCATGTATACATTAAAATAAACATGGAAACGTGAACTACTCCATGAAGCTATAAAATTTGTTAATAATCACAATAAATCATTGAAACATAAAAATTCTATTACTCATGGGTATAATATTTTTTGGAATTTGTATTTCGAATTAAATTATAAGCACAGAGAAGTAAACAAGGCAGAGCACAAAATTTAGAAGTACTCAGACGAGATTAAGTACCTTAAACACAGATCTCCGGAGCGATGAATCACCATTAATTGGAACAGTTAGTGAGACCTACAATCAATTTCAAACTGCATTAGATCAATCATAAAATCAACTAAATGCAACTCAAACGGCACAAATTGAAATGAAAGATCGCAATCAGAAAAATATATATATATATTATAAACCAAAAATAAATTCTAAATTTATGGCCAATGTAGAAAAGATGATTATAAAGAATACGAAATTTATTAGTATTACGGACCTGAGAGACTGCCGATTGAGTCATGATCGAACAAGGCGTCAGAAAATATGAAAAAGATATTTCGTGTGCGGATGTAAGTGTTATATATATATATATATATATATATTTTAATAGAGAGAGATAAATCTAGGGTTTAATTGTAGGAGATGGTTTGATCATTCGAAGAAATGAAGGAAGGACAGGTTTAATACTGGCTCGTTGGAGCTGCTCTGTGCTCTCTTTCTCTCTCTCTAGGAATCTACCTTGCAGGTGGTATATGTTTAGAAGTAAAATTACTTTTCTCATCTAAATTATACATATACTTATATATATTTGATAGTATAACTTATATTTAAATCGCTTATAGCTCCTTCTATTGGACTTTTATTAATTTAATAGATACGGCTGCTGGCAGCCGGCAGCCAGCAGCCAGCAGCCTTTTATTATTTTTATTTTTGCCTTTTTTAAAAGTATTCAATATGTTTTTATTTTTTAAAATTGGAAAAATGTAATTAAATTTTTGTTTGTTGGGATAAAAAAAGTATAAATATTTCTACAAGAATGATGTATATATCATGTCCATATGATATCATCTATTTGAGCAGTAGTGTATATGTACCAAATATTTTATAATCATATCCAAAATTTTAATATATTAAATAGGTAATTTTAAATCTAAATATATTATATAGATAGAAGATGAATTATGTGTATAAGATCTGATATAGAACTTTCTTGATGAATCTAATTTTCATTTTAAATAAATTTATTATTGATTTGCTCTATTTCATACCCCTGTAATAAGGCAAGTTAGTGGAGTTACTTTGGACTCCTCTTCTTGTTTTTTTTTTTCACCATTCATTTTAAGAGCCAAATCAGATATCACTTAATACAAAACTCAATTTGTCTTTTGGCTAATTTAATACTCTATATATGTATATATACCTAAATCTTTAAATCTTGTTTGGCTTTATCCATATAATATTTTTGGAGCTCTAATATGTGGGACTATATAAAAAAATCCATCCACGTGAAAGTCGAGGGAACATTTTACCTTAAAAAAAAAAAAAAAATTAAGATGTACCATGTAGTAGTCACGTGAAGCACCAATTGTCTATTTTTGTCCATGGAATATTTTAGAGAGGAATGGAATATTTTAGAATATTGAAGAGTTTTAAAAGTTTTAATTTGATATAAGGAAAATGAATTAAAAAAGTATTAGAGTTTTGAAATATATAATTTGTAATATATAAAAATAGTATAATAGTCAATCTGATCATTCAAATTGGTTTCCTGCCCTCAAGAAAAAAAATCCACGATAGTTTTATTAGATTGAAAAACATTTATAACTAACTAAAATGGTTGGAATAAAAAATTATGTTAACTATAATTGTTCTATTATGGTTTGAAAATTAATATAATTTTATTCAATAAAATATAATTATACAAATGAGTGGATTTTGTATTTTCTTGAATTACTTTCCCTATTTTTTTATTTATCATTTTGTAAATTCTCAATATCTAAATTGTTATTTTTGGTTGCATAAATTTTTGCTTTAAAATTGGAATTGGGAAAAAAATAATTTAAATTTTAAACTAAATTTCTCCAATTTCAATTTTAAGACTCCAAATTCATCTAACCAAACATCGCATATAACTAAAATTGAAGAGAAAATTATAATTTTTAATAATTAAGTGAATTCTAATTACCAAAAAGAAAAGGTAATGTGTAACATGATCATGTCTTAAAATGTGAATTACCTACTAAAGTCATTTTTAATTCGTAATTGTTATTTGAGACAAGTGCAGAAAACACCCTTAAAGTATACTTCGCGTAACACTTATCCTTATTTGAAAAGTGTACAAAAAACACCTCTAATCTTTTCACATTGTGCAGAAAATACTCCTCAATTAAAAATCTGACATAAATTAGTATTATAATACTCATTTTGCCTTTTTACTATTCCGAAAATGCCTAAGATGGTATATATGCTACTAACCTTATAGTATAAGGGTATTATGTCCACGTTATCTTTTATATATATATATATATATATATATATATATAAACTTTTTTTTAAAAAAAAAACTTTGATAATTTGTAGAACAAGAATTTAAATTTTTTGAGATTTAGTTTACTGTTTTCTACTAAAAAAAAAAAAGTTCTTTATTTATTTTTCGTACCAACACTGTTAAAAAAAAATAAAAAATAAAAAGGAAAAAAAATCTCAATATCATTGTGAACTGGTTTTCGGAATTTGGAACAAATTTGTTTTCTTTAATTTGCACTTTATTTTCGTTTTTTATTTTTTATTTTTATATTTACTAGTCTTTTATACTTTTATTTTCTATTTTTATTTTTACTTGTCAATTGTCGGCATCCTCCAATAGTGTCATTTTTTGACATTTTATAAAATTATTTATTTTTATAAAATAGTTTAGTAAGAGTAATTTAGTCAACTTAAAGTTTAAATTTGTCATATGAAGTTATTTGTACCAAATTAAAACTTTAGGAGTGTTTTTGCATGTGAGGGTGTCTTCCAATAGTGTAATTTTCGATCATTTTATAAAATTATTTATTTTTATATATTTTATAAAATAATTCAATAAGGATAATTTCATTAATTTAGAATTGTGTGTTGGAATGGAGTACTACTTTGAGGAAATATTGAGGATATCATTATTAGTGTTGGTTTTGGTGCACGGTGTTGGAAGCAAGAGAGAATCGCTCTTTTGCAGCTCAAAGCTTTCATCAACCGCCCATATGGCTCTTCAATGCCACCATGGGAGGACTTGGATGGTGAAGAAACTTCTGATTGCTGTGAGTGGGAAGGTGTTGAGCGTAATGCTACCACAGGCCACGTCATCAAACTTTTACTTGATTCTAAAACAAAAGGTTGACTAAGAAATTGGTATTTAAACGCGTCCTTTCGTATTTTTTTCCTTTGAATCGCTCGTAAACCTGAGCTTAAATAACAATTACTTGGATAAATGTATTGAGAATAAAGGTCTATCTAACTTCTCTATTTATAAATATATATATATACCATTTCTTATGAAGGATTGCATATAAAGAATGTTTCCCTTATTTTTTCCATTTTTTTTTTCCTTTTCTTTGTTATTATTTTTTAGGGTAAAATGCATTAAACCCCCCTTAACTACAAATAACCCCCCTCAACTATGGTTTTAGTGCAGTCTTAGGACAGAGAAGGTTATTCCGGTCATCTCCTATTACCGAAATTTGAAAAAGTCCATTTTACCCCTCATCAAGCCACGAAATAGAGATAGAGATAAAGAGAGAAATTCGTAGAGAGAGAAAAAAGGGACCAGAGAGAGAGAAAAGGTACACCGACGGGAGCACTGGAGGAGGAGAGGCATCGGGCTTGTTGGGTTCAAGAACAGAATATATGTGTGAGGAGTAGGCGATGGTGGTGGCGGGGAGTGGGCAGTGGGTTTGTGAAGTAGAATGAGAAGTTTGAGTTTCCAAGGCGATGGAGAGAAAAGGTCGTGGAAAATGGTGGTGGCGATGATGGTGGTTGTGGCAGTGGGTTTATGGTTTCAATTGGGTTTGACGGCGTGTGGTGAGGTTCGGTATGAATTATCTCCAAGGGTAATTGGGCTATGCAAACATCATCTTCTTCATTTCCAATCTGAGATTAACGATGGTGGAGGATTTGTGGTTTCAATTGGGTTTGACGACTTGTGGTGTATGGTTCGACCGAGCATGTCGTCGGTTGATGCCCTCACCTGTCTGTTACCGCCGCTGCACCACCCACTGTCCATCACAACCGATATCATCCGAAGCCAAAACCGCTGAGCCCGTCTTTATCATCTCCACCGTCCGAAGCCTCCTTGCTCGCCGTGAGTTAGGCCGTCGTTCAATCCCGCCAAGCTCGTCGCCGCGAGTCATTCAAGACCGAGTCAGCCAAGCCCTCCACTGGCTGAGCCGCCGCCGTCTCTGTCATTCAGTCCACCTGTCTTTTAATTTGAAGCTTGTGCGGCCACAAGATCTCCTATTCTTGCAACCCAAAACTTGAATGCCCTTTAATTGGACTCAATTAGAGTAATCAGGAAAGGGAATTTCACCATTGCTCGATCTCTCAGTTCTCTCATTTCACCAGGGTTCGGCCGTGAGGAAGAAATGCTGCAGTGGAGAGGAGTGGCCGGCAAGGATGAATCCAAGCTTCTTGTTCTGTAAATAGGTTTTGATTTTTTGATTTTGATTTTTTATTGTTGTTCTGTAAATCCAAATAGATCAATGGAGGAAAAAGATGATGAGTGAAATAGTTAGGGCTTGATAAAGGTTGTATAGTCATTTACATAAATTTGGCCTCTCACGTGGGATCGGCCGGTTGCCGGATTGGGTAAAGTGCAATTAACTAAATAGTTTAAGGGGGTTTTTTGTTTATTTTGAAATTCAGGGGGATTTTTTGCTCATTGAGGTATAATTTAGGGGGGTTTAATGCACTTTGCCCTACTTCATTTTTTAAGAACAAAGTTATCTTGGATTTGGCTGACATGACAATTACGTTTTGCCGGTTGCATAAGGAGATGAATCCCCTTCCGGGGTTCCAAATGTAACACTAACTATATATCAAAGGTAAATTATGCAGGTACTGATATTCTGAAAATAAATTAAATACAATCCATATCTTATCAAAGGTAAATTATGCAGGTACTGATATTCTGAAAATAAATTAAATATAATCCATATCTTAGAATCTTTTGCCTAATTTCATAGAATGACGTATAGACACCGAATAACTCAAACTCTCACCATCCGAAGAGACACCACTAAACTGCAACCTTTGAAAATTTTCAATTTCCATTGAAAAGTGTAGAAATGTGGAAAGTTCAATTTCCATTAAGAAAAAAGGTGTGATAGTAATCTGACATGGTAGAAAGAAAATGTGACTTAAGAACATTTCAATATAATATTAAAAAAATAAAATTAACTAAATTAAAATTAATAAAAGAAAGAGAAAGAGAACAATCAATTTCTTCCCTAAAAAGAAAAGAATCTGCTTTTAACCCACCTTCTTTAGAAAAATCTTATTGAACCCTTACTTCAAAAGAAAATGTTTCTCAAACGCAAAAAACATAAGCCAATTAATCATATTTATGACCGCCAAGGGATGTAACCCAATCATATTTTCTCGCCTTCTAAAGGGAAAGGTCAAGGGTTAAGGGCATGTAGGTGTATTGTTCCCGGGAGTACCCACAAAAAAAGGAACCTTTCCTTTAACTTCATCTCACCAGCCGGTAAAAGAGAGAAGTTTACCAGAGAATGAAAGGTTATGAGCAAACCACCCTCATAGTGACGATTTGAGCTTTATTGGTATTTAGTTTCTTGCCAGGATACAAAAAGTAATAATTAATCATATTTATGAGATAATATCATGTGCACTTGCAAAGATTTTTCACAGAGTTTTGCTTGGGTGGCTCACCTATAAATTGGGTACTGCTTAACCAGGAGGATCAGGTGACTTGCAGAAAGAATAGAATTAGACCCTCCAAACATTATTCGTCTAGATTTCTGTTAGTTCCGGCCAATCATTGTCATTCCGGTGATCAACAGCTACGCTTCAATTTCAAACCCTACTTTGAGGGTTGCCTTTAAATATGTCAAAGTACGTACTCTATTATAGGCACTGTAATTGGATTATTGTGCACAATGTGGCAATAGGGTTTGAGATTTGTAAAGTGTAGTCATGTCCCATATGTCAACATACTCAACATTTCTAAGACTAGTTAAAATTAAAAATAAAAATAAAAAAGTATCTAAAACCGATAAAAAAGAAAGAAAGAATTATATGCTAAAACTTGTGTCCTCCATTTCATCCTAGAAGGCAATTATGAAATGCCTTCCTATTTGGGAGGAACTACCACCTTTTTCCAGGGAAGGCAGTGTGAGAGACATCCAGCAGGGCCTTGAAGCTATATGGCTCCAGCATTGAGTGCTCTGACAGAACTTTCCTATTAGGTTGTATGTAGCCCGTGCATGAAGTTACCATAATTAACCTGATATGAAGCAAAAATAAGTACAATAAGATAAGTCAGCATAGCATCACACTGCATATGTTGCTTGAAAAGAAAAGTCTCTGGCTGCTTGATTTATACAGATAGGTGAATTAACAGTCCAGAATAAGAAAATAAAATCATCCACAAGGTAACCAAGATCAAGAATATGATATAGCATCTGCATCTCAATTTGAATTAGTAGTAGTAAATCTCATAGCACCGATAGTGGTGTGACCATACAACCTTTGTGTTCCCTAATCCACAATAAGGTTCACGAAACTTATTCCAGTTCTTAAACACCATAGTCTTCCACTCTAGAAAATACTACTACTGGAGGAAGCACAGATATACCGGAGAACCACACTGAATCTATTGGATTCATATACAAAATACTACTACTGGAGGAAGCACCGAAGAATTTTAAATGTCCTTCCTCAACCCAACAAATTTATTTTCCCAATGAATCCTATTTTTCTAAACTAAAATACTACATTATGCAAGAAACAGAATTTCTCCATTTTATCATATCACGCCCATTATCCTAATGCATAACTAGGCATATTCGCTTTTGATAGCCATTATACATGTGTTCTGTAACCTCCACAACTATTGAGTGTCTGGAAACCTAAACATGGGCAGGAGTTGTTTAGACATGTTTCTTCGTATCTGCGAAATCACAACCCTTCCCCAACCATCTTTATGCCTAAATGTCATGCCTTTACTATCACTCTGCCATATGCCTATCTATTACCACCTATGACCATTTGTCCACCATTTTATTTCCTATACTTGTTTCTTTCGTCTGTTTGCTTTCAATTTTCTGTTTTTCATTTTCATGTTCCTAGATACCGTACAAAGCCACAAGTCAGTTTCAGTACTCTGATACTACATATATGTGGTGATAGTTAATGATTACTTAAGGATAAAAGAAAATTTGACAATGAAATTATTAAGGGTGGCACCATTAAGACTACGGTCTATCAGGTCATTTGATTTAATCACCACTGAAATTTATCTGGACAAACGGTTGACTGCAGCTCAAAAATAGCAAATGAACTCTTGTCCCAGCATATGTACTATGCGAAATGACATATCACCGTATTATGAATGTTTAAATCAACATGAAGTCCATTTTCAGGGAATCATAGAATCAATAACTCATAATTGCTCAAACTATTACACAATTAAGGGCTTTAGGGTTTCAGGTTTAGGGTTATATCAACTACATGTGCATGACACCCTCCTATATGAACTTCTGGGAAGATCATAGCAAAGAAGTCTGAGACCTAAAAAACATTAAATTCAAGAAGTAGAGACCTAAAAAAAATTAAATTCTGAAGAGGCGGATATCCGGTGGGTAAAATCACCGAATTTGAAAACAGGGTATAGAACACAATTTCTAATATGTTGGATTATTGAAGCTTGCCTATTATTAGATAACTTCACACCCTATACCATGCTTACTGCACTAATGCGTATCACAACTCTGATACACTTTGACCAGCAAAAGAAACTGCTTAATAATCTTCCATGTGCTTCTGTAGAAATGTAGGAGAACCAAGAAAAATATATTTTGAGTCTCATAATTCACATTATCTGGATCCTTCTCCCACTCTAAAACAAGTACCTAATTCATTTGAGTTGAATATTTTCAATTTTACTGAAATCAAAAGAAGAATAACAAAAGATACCCCAAAACTTTTTTTCTTTTTCGTGTCTTTGATTTTCTTGGCACCCAAACAAAATAGAAAGTGAGGCGGAATAGTAATTGTTCACACAGTATCAATCTAATAAAAGAATTAAACTAAATTCTTAACAAAAAGTCTATAATCATTTGGAAGCTAAATACTTAAAATAATCGCACTATCGTAAAATTGCAGAACTATTACTGAAACAGTGAACATATACAAATATATATATATATATATATATATATATATATAAAGAGATAGAGAATAGGGAGGGGATAAGGAAATTACTCCGTGTTGGCCGGCGTTGATGCGTTCGATCCAGAGAGGGTGCATTTCACGTGTATTTCTGGAGCGTCCCTAGGGTTCAAATTAAAGCTCAAATGATATCTAGAGAGAGAGACTAATGGCTAGGGTTTCAAAACTGTATTTCTGTTGATGATTGATGAAGGTGAAACGTATTCGGTCGATTCGCGAGAGATGCTGTACCTGTTTCGGCAACTCGTCTTCTGCAAACGACGTCGTCCGTATAGAATTTACATTATTTACTACAATTACATGCTCGTCTTAGGCCAACGACGTCGTCTTTGCGACAAATTATTATTGCTTGTTCGTCTATGACTAACGACAGCGTTTTAAAGAGTAATTATTGCTTGCTCCGCGAGTACCTGGTCCCGGTCAATCACTGGGGAAAATGGCAACTGAATGTCATAGCTTTATTACGTGTCATCAAGTGATTGATTGGGAAATATAGTCCCGAAACATGCAATATTTTATCCTAATAACAACCTTCTTTAAGTATTCAGCAACTGAGCGGGAAAATCACAATTCACAAACAGAAAACGTGAGAAGTTAGAGAGAGAGAATGTAGAGAGAGAAGTTAGAGAGAAGAGGATCCAGAGAAAACCTAGAGCGAGAAAGACGAGTCAGTGGAAAGATGAAACCTATAGTTCAGGTATAATTTTTCTTCAATTTCTGAAACTTTTTTTTCCGTGTATTTTCATAGATTCTATCATAATCTTTATTTTGAACCTCTGTCTTTGATAATTTTCAAGTAATACAGTCATACAAGGTTGAATCAATCATAATCTTGAATTGGAACATCTATCTTTTGATAATTTTCAAATCTATTTCTTAGCAAGTAATTTTTCTTCAATTTCCGAAACTCTTTTTTCCGTGTACTTCTATGATTCTATCATAATCTTTATTTTGAACCTCTGTCTTTGATAATTTTCAAGTAATACAGTCATACAAGGTTGAATCAATCATAATCTTGAATTGGAACATCTATCTTTTGATAATTTTCAAATCGGCAATAGAGTCATACAAGATTGAATCACACACTGATTGCTGAAATTTTATACTCCGATTGATTATTGTTTACTTGAATTAGGTATATTTTGGTGAAATTTTTGTTCTAATCAGGACCATCGGGTGGATAGATCTTTGATTTATTTTTTTTCTTGCTTTATATCGCTGATTTGAACTTGAATTGTTAAGAATTTTATTCTCTCACGAGAAGAGATTAAATATTTTTGTGTTACAACTTTCTAACTGTTCTGCTTTATTTTTTCTGTCCTGACATTCAACAGTCAAAAGGTTACTTGAATCAGGTATTTTTTGGGAAAATGTTCTAATCAGGACCATCAGATGGATAGTTCTTTGATTTCTTTTTTTCTTGCTTTATATAGTCAGAGCTGCTTCGAACTCTCTCTTAATTTTTAAGAATTGTATTATCTTACAAGAAGTGATTCAAACCTGTAAGTATATATATATATTTACAATATAATAGAAGTTATTTAATACTCTGTATAGATTTACAATATAGTATAACCACAGTGGTGGTGTGGATGAGATAGTAGAGAGCCATAGTTGACTGTGTTTGCGATTCTAGATGGTGATGTTTAAATTTACAATTCCATATGAACGCTGAGGAGTATAGGTCTGTCCGATCAATCTTTCTGGGCTTCCCCTAGTCTCTGTTGTCAATTGGTGTTTGATTTGTGTCATGAAAACTTATAGTTGCATATTAATGGATAAATATTTGACTGAAGTTGAGAATAATAATTGCTGCTGGTATGTCATGCTTGAGGTAAGCTCTTTTCAAATGAATATATATGTGCTTGTTCACTGTGATAAATATTTCTAATGAATATGTCTGGGAACCAAACATGCATTCTGTGTTTTTATAATTTGCCAATTGTCTTGTGATCCAAACTGTTTGTTTCGACTGAGTACGTTTACTCTTGGAACCAACTTCCTTACTAATGTTTAAGTTTGGCTGATGCAATATATATAATTATGACTCTGAATCTCTATCTGTTGGTTGGTTCTATTGCTTGATTGTCAGAAAAAAACTATTCTGTTTTGGAAGGCTAGTTAGCTACCAATACACTATTTATAATGAGATATAAACTTTAGTGACATTGAATTGAAATATCTTTCTATATCTTTGTTAGTCATATATTTTTAATTTTTTCATATGTCATTAAACGCAATCGATTTATATTCTCAAAATAATTTAGTTTCCATTTTTTTTTTTTTGGTGGTGATATGCATGTACTTTCCTGTAGTTATCATTTTAAAAATAATTACTAACAGTAATGTTTTCATATTGAAGGTCTGGCTTAGGACACTCATGTCAACCCAAAAAAACACTATCCTGTCCTTGCCAAAGACCAAACCCTCCCTCCTTCTACCAGTTACAACAACCGCACTACCCAAGCTTGCACTGTTTTTCCCCCAGCTATTCACAACTGGTGAGAATCCTCAAATCCCACCCCCTCCCAATCTCTGTATCATCTGTGAGAACTCATCTAAGAAGAAGGGCAATGATTATATTAGTTTTAGAGGACTTTCGGAACATTACGACAAGGTTGACAGCTATGAATCAAAAAACCATGGGAGCAGGGACTGGCAATTGGCTAACTTCCATTATGCTAAGGATTTCTGCCGTACTTGTGGAAACAAGTTCCAGGATTGGAAGAAAAGAAGTGATCATGAGATATATTGTCTGATACGCATCTACAAGGGTATTGAGCTTTAAATCACTCGGGTCTGCTGCTTACTCTTTTTGTACTGGCCTTGGGGCTTCTATTAGCGCTAATAAATAAAGAGCCCCAATAGACCTTACTAGCTAGCTGCTTGTAAATTTGTTTTCTAATATGATATGAAGACTTTTTTTTTTTGTGCAAGTCAATACAGTGTTACTATTAGATAAGAATAGAATTGAATTGAATATAACCACGTGCGTGTTATATGTTGGGCATCTTACAGTTTGCATTTCAGAAATTGCTGCTTTGTCTCATGGTCTAGTTGTTTCATGCATGTTTGTTGTTCTGTAGGTGGTCCTATTATGTAAGCTGTGTTTTTTCTTGAATAAAGGAATTGAGCAGCTCTAGCTGCTTGCTTTGCCAGCTTGTACATTTTCCATTTTCAATATGGTTTGTGGGAACAAGGTTGTGATGTTTATGACACTTAGATTATATGCAATTCCTATATGGTAGATTGCTTTGAAAATACAGTGTAATCGAGAAGAACACGGCTTGCATACTTCAACAGTTGTATTAAATGGAAGCAGCACCACCTTGGTCCCATTGACCAAATTGGTGTTGCTTGGTGGAGTGCCTGTATAGTTTGAATGGCATTAGAGGGTTGCTTGGGAAATATGTGATATAATAAACCCCTTTGGACTGCCTAAAGAAATGGACCTGAAGGAGTGCCATTTCAGGGAGAACAAAAAGAGATGTTGACAAAAGCAGCCAATTTTAATTTTGTGATTATTACTTGGCCCTTGACAAGTTTTGTTTCTGGGAACAAGCTTGTGATGTTTATGACACTTATAATCTATGGAGAGTATAAAGTAGTAGGTGCTTTTACTTAATAGCATATCAGTACTTGGAAACGCCCTTGCCATAGGTGGATTTGAAGATGTCCCAAAGCAGAGGAAATTGTGATGACATAAACGCCCTTGTATGATCAAATTCATATTTTCACAACAAATCTGCCAATGAGAGTCCCACCAGCTAGTTCCGGCGACACCAGACCCTCAATCAGAAATCCCTTTCCAAATCACCTCAAACCCCCATTCCATCCCTCCTCCTCACTCAAGTGCACCAACCCTCGCACCTCCTCAAGTCTGCAACAACCCACCTCCATTCTGAAGAGACCAAATAACACAAACAAGGCCTCATCCAACCCATTCATCAGTGAACCAAAGGACACACCCCATAAACCTCTTTATAAGCACAGAAGGGTTACCTTCTCGGAACACACCACCCCTCAACCCCCAACACCCCGCCCGCCCGCCCCCCTCCTCTCTCAAAATGACAATGTCAGCAACCAGAAACCTCCCTCTCGGTTCATCGATGATCACATTAACATCCTTTCTGATATTGACCCTAGAAACACCCAATCCATGGTTGATGAAATCTTCAGATTACGAGTTGAGTTGGCTGAATTTAAGAGCAATTACTAGTACAAGCATCTGCGAGAAGAGGTTGAATGACTCGGGGTTAATGGGCGTTGGTCTTGAATCTCAAAGGACTTTGAGGGATAGAGTTACTGAACTGAGTGATCAGATCATCAACCTGAATCACATCAATGACACTGCTCCTCAAACATCCAGTTTGCAGTCCTCACCACCCATGCAAAGCACCTCCATCCACCACCCGAACCGCCGTGACAGTCACTGTGAAGTTGCCGCCAAGGATAATTTGAATTTAGTTTCAAATTCAAATTCAAATTTGGTCTCCTCAATTTCAGGCACTTGGCGACTTTACCATGGACTTACTTAGCTGGGGGAAACCATTAATTCCAAAGCATGCGTTTACACTATGGATTGCTATCAAGCATAGACTTCCAACTCTGGACAGGCAATGCACTTCACACATTGACTTGGTCACTTGTGTTCTCTGTAACAATGCTCTGGAATCTCATGACCACCTTTTCTTCATGTGTTCATTTGTTAAGCCCTTGTGGACCTTTATACAAATGCATTGTGGGTTCCATATCCAACCGACAAATTGGGCAAGTTTGATTTCTTGGGCGGCTTACCATTGGAGAGGGGAAGGGTCTCCTCACAGTAGCTCAGTCTCGAGATTGGCATTGGCCTCCTTGGTCTACATTGTTTGGGCGGAGCGTAATTGGAGGATCTTCAGAGGGAAAAAATTGTCCCAAAACTCACTTCTAGATCTCACATTGGACTCAGTAAGAACTAAACTCCTATCCACCTCCATTAAGGATTCTACCACCGGAAGACAGATTGTTGAAGAATGGAATCTGTCGTGATCTGTTTTGTTTCCTCCGGGGAAGCCGCCGAATACCTAAATGCGGAGGTTTCCTCCATGCGCTAACCGGAATGTGGATCTGCCGGTATCGGCCTCCATTGCTCTCAATTGTGTTTTGGGTTGTCGCCTTTGGGCATGTCATCTTTGGATTGCCTTTGTAATTTGTTTAGTTGGGCTTTTCTTGAGCCCTCTTCCTTTGGTGATGTATTGTTTCTATTTTCAATAAATTCATTTTACCGTTAAAAAAATATATATATATGTCATATCACTGCTTGGAAGTTCAAACACCTTTTTTTAAAGGAAGATTTGTGCAGACAGTCATTTCGTGAAGATTTTATGAGGTGGCGCTTTTTGGATATTTGGCTAAACAGTTTTTGAATTTTTTTTTTTGAATGTTTTGGATAATTATTTGGACTTGTGATGGGTATGTGGTACTGATATTTTGTTTAATTATTTTGATAATATTATTTTGTTCCTGCAATGATATTAGAGGTTAATTCTGACCCTCCTAGTTTAACTTCCACTTAAAAGTGGGTGCTTAAGACAAATTACAGATTACCTCATAGTTATTCTTACACAAGTACTCAGAAATATTGACAGATTTTTTTGTTGGGTTGATGAGCCTGATTTTGAACCTATTGGTAAAATAATAATAATAATAATAATTAAGATTAATAATAATAATTAAGATTAACTATCCAAACTCACTTGTCTTCTAATTGGAACATACGTGAATTCATATAAAAATCCGTTCCGAACCAGTAGAACCATGTTATTGTTTTTCTTTTTTGGTTTAACGTTATTGTTCCGGAATGTTGATTAGCTTTGTTATTACTGTATTAAAAAAAGAATAAAATATTGATAAACTAATCACAAAACAAAAGTCATGTCAAGGAAAACATAATTAATAATACTCCATAATAAATGAAGAAAAGACAAAAGCATGCAAAAAATGAGTAATGAAAAAAATATTTAAAAGGTTACGAAAGGGAAGAAGCTTTGTTTGTATGCTGATAGTACTAGTATACATCAAACTTGTAAAACACGCATATACCGAGTAGTGACAGGTGTCAGATATAAAAGCAACAAATCACGTGATTTCCTGGTATATGCAATTCCATTTTCTTTCTTTTTCAGTTAGGTACTGCACTTCTGTAATTTTGTTGCGTCGGAGTACCTCCATCTTATTATTGTGCAGTGGACAAACCATCATAAAAATGTAATTACTTTTATAGCCTTTTATACAATAACAAACATACAAGGACACTAAAATAACAAATATACAATGATACTAAATATAAAGGAAAGAATTGTGGAACATATATTTTATGACAGGAACATGTCATTTCTCATGATATCAGAAAAAGAAAATTTTAATAAATTATTATTATTATTTATCAAACAATACAAATATATATAGATACATGAATATTAAAAAGAGAAAATACATATTTGTGGAGTGTATAATAAGATAATAAACTTGAAGAATTAGTAAGCATGATGAATAAAAGGTGATCAAATAAAATAAAATGGATAAGATATCACTCATGCCATGCATGCATGAAAATGATAGGAAAAAATAAATAAAAAGGAAATGCATCTTTAGTCTTTTTCTTCATAGAGAAGAAAAAGAAAAACATCTATACATTTTACTTGGCTGTTAATTTGTTGTGAAAAATAAGGGTAAAATGTGCAATTCTCATTCGCATATACATACATACACACACACACACATATATATATATATCATATTTTTCTTTTTGTTTCATTTACTTATTAGCTGTTATACAGCATTTCCCCCTCATATTTCATCCTTTTAAGTACAGAAAAAAAGAGAAGGAAAGCATCTCCACACTCTCACAAAAACTCTCTCTCTCTAGGGTTTTATAGGTTGTGTGATAGTGAGAGAGGAGAGCGGAAGTGAAATGGCATCAAATGGGGTTTTTGGAAGGTTCTGCAGAGCTCTGATGGCGGCGGCCGCCGGCATTCCGAAGGACACTCGGGAAACCAGGGTCCTGAAGGTCGGACCCATCTCCCCGGAGCTGAAAAAATTTATGGGCGTCCCTTCAACGTGTCGCACCGATGCCGTGAGAAAGGTGTGGGCACACATAGTGCAACACAAGCTTCAGGTACGTTCATGTCTCTGTGATTCCATTTCATTATTGTTCGACCAAATTTTTTCCTTTTCTGTTTATAGATTTATTTGTATATATATATATGTGTGACCCTTTTCCACTACACAGTTTTCTCTGTATGCTCTTTTATTTGTTCATGATTTTGAATTTTTTTTTTTTTTTTTGGGCAAGTTTTATTTTGAATTTTTACTTGCTTCGATCTAGCTAATTTTTTTTTTGTAATGTATGTGTATAAATGATTATGGTACTCCTATTATACGGTTGTTCCTGGGATTTTGAACAAAGGGTTTTGAATGCATCATTTCTTTCTTGGTTTGTGTAAATATATAATACTACTCCTGTTTTATTATATGCTATTGATTATCTAGCGATACACATCATATCCTTTGCTAATAATGTCATGATATGGCATTGATGGGGCAGAAGATGATTTAGTAGCTTGACAATTAATCACCCGGTTACAGTTTGGATAACATTGCTCTGAATATTTATTTATATTAGGATTGACTCATTGTTGCCAATTAGAAGTAAAACCCTTAGCTCATCAAACAAGAAACTCCAAATCAATCTATAACATGCCAAAATGTGCTTATCTAAAATACCATATTAATGCAATTGTCTAGAAGAAAAGCCTTAGCTCATCAAACAAAGACTCAAATGACTCGTAGACATATGTGCATATATGTTATTGGGATACATAGTGATCATATCGTATGAATCGTACCTGTGGTTCAGAAAATTTATTCAAAGAAGCAGACTATAGTCACTTATCAAAAAAAAAAAAAACAGAAGCAGACTATGGTCATATATATAAATCACACATGTAGAGAGTGAAAGAGGGAGAGACATACATGCATACATTGTTGAGAATATAGTTCTAATTGCTTGGAGCTTGAGTTCTCATGACTCTGTTGTTTTGTAATTGGCTAATTTGGTTGTAAAAACAATTCGATCGGACTTGTTTTGACAACGAAACAAGCCAATTATAAAATATATATCTCACAAGTACAAATTAGACCCGCAAATGGATCGGATTAGGCGCAATCCAGTAATATTCTTTTTATTTTGTATTTATTTTTATACTGAGTTATTCTCTATTGCAATGTAGAGTGAAATATCAATTTTGTGGTTGTTTCCTCCTTTTGGAATTTGGAGTAATATAAAAAAGCACTTATAAAATGTTGACCAACTATTTTCACTGAAAAACCAGTAAGAGAGCTCTTAACCCCCTACCCCCACCCAAAATAAATATAAAATATAAGAGACAGAAAAAAGAAAATAGAATACTAGAGACTAACTTGTATATATTTGTTTATCTATTGATTATCTAGGGATAGACATCCTTTGCTAATGATGCATGTAAGACCTCTTATTCTATCATAAATGCTCATAGTATATATTGGATTCGCGGATAATTAATTAAGTTAAATGGATTTCTTTTTCTCTTGTTTTTTTATTTATTTTTAGATTTCAATTGTGCATCACCATGATTTTTGCCAAATGTCTGTCTCTTCTTTTAAGCTAACAAGGAAGTCATCAACCAACCTCTTCATCTCTTTTAGTAGTCCTACTGTTTGACTAATGTTTGGTTTTTATTTTTTTTATTTAATTGCTATTGTTATTGGTTGTTTTTAGAAATTGTAATGGTATGGATTGGATATACATAATATGATTTAGGTTGCTTAAGTTAGTTCTTTGATTTCTTAGTGCATTAACAATATCATTATTGGGCTTTGCAAATGGATACAAAATGTAACATTTTAAGACTCAAGAGTATCACCAACTCACCATGCCAAAACCCGTATGCTCATAATGTAGCTAGTGTAATTAATTAATGTTTGATGTGTATGCTCATAATGTAGATAGTGTAATTAATTAATGTTTGATGTGCTGTTGTTTTGCTGGTTTGGTTTACATTTTTATTTGAGTTGTCGTTGCTATTGATTGCTTTCAGAAGTTGTTGTGGTATGGATCCAACAGAGATAATTTTATTTTTTAGTACATTAATAATGTTACTGAAGAGCTTTGTTAATGTTTTGGTTCAATTTAAGGAATGGATTAAGGGCATGCCCTTATATTTTGTTTTGTGTTGCTAATGATTTTTAAAATATTTATTTTGTAGAGATATACTCTATATTTTTTCTTTTTCTTGTTTCATATGAACTACTTGGACAAGGGTATTAGTGTGACAAAAGTGTTGTTCTGACTATAAAAGATATACATGGTTTAGATAAACAGTAGGGGTACTGTGAAAACTTCATGCCTTCCCCCTTTTCTGGTTAAAATTTTTAGTGTAATTAATTATGTTTGATGTGATTTAACACTGGCCGGTTTGGTTTATATTTTCATTTGAGTTGTCATTTCTCTCGATTGCTTTCAGAAATTGTTTTTTTTTTTTTTTTTGAATGTTAAGGTAAACACATACTCATTTTTTTCCTTCCTCTTTGAGGATTGAGAGGTTATACCGCTAGGCCAAATGCCCTTTTTCAGAAATTATTGTGGTAGAGATCCAACCGAAATAATTTACTCTAGGTTGTTTAAATGAGTTCATTTTATTTGAGTGCATCTAATAATGTTACTGTTTAGCTTTGTCAATGTTTTGGTGCAATTTAAGGAATATAAAATGGCTTTTGAAAGGAAACCTGACAATGGATTAGGGCCTTAAGGGCATGCCCTGGTATTTTGTTTTATGTTGCTACTTGTTTCATGTGCTCTGCATGGACAGGGGTATTAGTGACAAATATGTTGTTCCGACTGTAAAAAAGGATATAATATGGTTGGATTAACCAGTAGGGGTGTGAAAACTTTCATGCCTGTCCCTTTCTCTGGTTAAAATTTGTACTTCTCTCTCCACCCGTTTATAATGATGCTTTACACTTTGCAGGAACTCGATGACCCAAACTTCATTCATTGCGACGATGAACTGAAGCCCTTATTTGACGGCCAAGAGAGCGTCAAGCTCTTGGACATCCCAAAATTGCTGTCCTTGCATTTCAAGGAGAAATGAAACTGGATCTGGATGTTAGGGTGTTGTTTAAAACTTGTGTTGATCACAAAACTGGGTGACTCCATTAACACCATTTTGGATGTTAGGGTGGTGTTTAGATGCTTTTTTTTTTTTTGGTTTTCCTCTTCATGCATGAACTCGAGACAAGAAGCCAAGACTGTTGCAGTTTCTTTAAGATTGATTTGCTATTGAACGAGATACTTATTATTTATGGGAAGTTTTGGAAAATGGTTCAGGCACATGTTTGTGTATAATAGCATGGTATATGTATCTTCTTTTCAAATTAAAATGAAACATTAGATCAAAGAACCCTCTCTAAAGGTTCAACTCATTGTTTGGATGAAGGAAAATACCTGTAAGCAAAGTGCCAATATCAAATCCATATAATAGACGAATCAAAAATAGTGATGCAACCTTCATTATCAAGTGTCCTGTACTTGGCATAATAACATCTGAGAATTGGTGCTTAATTTTGAATGTATTGTTTGTTTAACATCCAGTGGCTTAGTCGGTAGAATACCTAACTTCCCCAAGCCGTGTTTGAGTCTCCCTTCGCCCTTCGAGTATAGATCACGACGAGTCAACGCTATCTTCTGAGGACACTTGTGGATAGTTTCGAGGAATGTAGGCTAGGATCTTGCCAAGAACTGTTTTTTGTGAGGACCTTGTATTGCGTTCACCCCGGCCATATGAAGTAGACAGTAGCTGCAAGTTCCATTTTGCACACATACACATGATTCAAATGAAAAATATATATTTTGGTTGAAAGAAAAGATTGGTATTAAAAGAGCAAAAATGGAAAAATCTATTCCAAATTCAAAAGCTTTGACCTTTGCTGCACCTGTAAGACTCTTCTATTCAGAGAAGTTGGATAGTCTAACAAAGAATCCAGTAAAACTCCCAGAACCACATCCAAAATCATCTTGCAATGAACATGGATATCAATCTCCACTCTTTAACATCAAATTTGGAAAATTGTTACACAAAAGCCAAGTGTAATGCATGGTTCTCTGCATCAATATGGAACAAAATAATCCGATGATAAGATAACCGTTGTTTCTCATTTGAAACTGTTCATCTGCATGCTGCAACACTAGAAAACCTCATCTAAAAATCAATTTGTGCATGTCCATTTACCCATGTCAGCAGGAACTTCTTCCATAAACTAGTAGTTATTTCCAGCATAGTAGAGCAACACGACAATAATCAAATTATGGATACATTGCTTGTATCCAACATTGGTGCTACCACCTGACCAGAATGACAAGGAATTTTTGTTTTCAAATCTTTTACAAAAAAAAGGGAGGCAAACAATTTCCAGCCCCTCAACTTCAACCCACAGGTTAATGCATATATCCAACATTTAAATGAAAAGAAAATTTTCTTCGGTCAAAGTTCCATTATTCTAGATCTGGCTAGCTCCCTATACAATCTCATGAAATTGACATTAAAAAAAATATACATGTATAAACAAGCAGAGTTGACCCACTGACATCTGTGTCACAACTCCTTCGAGACCGGTGATCACTGCTCAGAACCCTATCTCAAACTCAAACTCAAACTCTTCACTACTTTCAAGAAGTTCTTTCATAACCTCTCCTTCTGTTAGCAAAGGAATATATAGAGTACAAGCTAAACACCCATTGGATGGAGAGACTCCAGATTCTGGACCTTCAATGTTTGCAGGGCACACACCTCCCACTGCATCTATTTGATTAACCGATTTCAAATGTAATACTCTGCCTCCTTACGTCCGAATACTCTGCCAAACATTATGTACAAGTAGGCACAAAGCAAACTTCATTAAAAAGTCCTGGGGATAAAATTGAATGCCAATAACATCTCCTGAGGAGGTCAGCTTATCTAAAGACATCTCTAGTTGCTTTAAATATGTGTTCAACAATGAGAGAACTCAAAAAAGTATTCTGGATAGCATCACTATGCTTCTTATAAGATTCTTTTGGTGAATGCTTGAAAAATATTTTTATTCCACATCTATAATGTTACTTGGATCCCACTGATTCATTGACACCTCCATCGGATTCTGATACCTGACTCGGTAACCTTCAACCTCGTGTGAACCAGGTAACCGTAGCACTGATTCTAAGGGATCACTCGTAGTAGAGAAGGGAGGTTCGGAAAAATGGTGCTGACGGCAAAATACAAAGAGGAGACTCCTGCCAATTTGTTCTCGTAGTGAATGCTGCAGGCAACTCTACTGCAAGTATTTCATTTCTGGACGTCTTGTAAACTCCACTAGGTATCTTACCAATAAATATCCTGTAAAACAAATTATCAATATGACTGAGTAATGAAATTTAGAAGGTACTCAGATTACTATAATTCACACATGTAGATGCATCACATAAAACATTACAATCACCCTAAGACAAGTAACAAACGGTTTTCAAACTGGACAGCAAGGAAACTTACACAACCAACAGACTTGAACATCTCTGTAAACAACACTGACATTTCATGAGGTTTCCATAATCAACCCAAGGTGCGTACAAACTTTCACGAATGACCATCCCTTCTTTATTTTTGGAGCGATAGAAGTATTGTCTAATTGACAATCTTCCCTGATTTACAAGGGATTTCAATGATCTTAATAGCACTAAGAAAATGATAGCTTCTGTTTTCTTAGTGTTTACAGTTCACATAAACAAAAAATAACACATGATAAAATGGTTGTGTTTAAGTCAATGGAGCCAACCTTGAAGGTTATTAAGTTGATATTTATTTCATGATCAACTTTAACACAGCAAGATAATTCCATAATAATAGTACTTATCGCATGGAAAACTAGAGGAAATGTATGCATAATAAAATATAAGCACTGGAAAGTCTGGAAGGAAATGTTAGGCCACTTATTATTGTTCTAAAAACATAGAGGAAATCTAGGCAATCTGCCCATTAACCTGACTAAAGATTCTGGTGGTACTTGCGCGCAGTGTGGAGCACAGAGGCTCAAGAAGCTTTCACTACTGGATGGCTTCATATTTACCAGAATCCTTCTCAGCAGAATTGCCAACATTGAAAGGTATTCAAAAGATTTAGCTGTACGCCACTTGGTAACCCTATTCACATACCTGTCCAGCAATCTAGGAATTTTTCCAATTTGATTAACTTTTCATGATATGATTGCAAATCTACAAAGAATATTTTGAAACAGAAGAAAGTTTTTAGGTAATTTGCTTAAGCAGACTGTTCTTAGGATTTCCTGTTATTTTTAGAGAAATAATTTAATTGTTAAAGAAATTTTGGTTATTATGTAGATTAAAAACGGTTGGTTTTTTAGCTCTACTGACCAAGGAAGTGATTACGAGTCAATGAACAAGGTCCATCATTACAACGAGCGATTAAAGTTTCTTTATGATCCTTGGTGTGAGGGGGCGACTTTATTGCAGAAATTTGGCTATAGAATTGTCAGAAGGTTGGGTTTCACATGGAATTCATCATTGTCGCAACTAATGATTGATGGTGGATGGAATTTTGAATTGTTACAGGAGGATATTTTTAAACCTATTAGAGATTATTTGTGTACATTGACAATTCACTCTAGAACTGATAGGTTACTTTGGGATGGAGGAAATTTCACATTCAAAAATGTGTGGGAAAGCTGTAGGGTCATAAATCCAGAGGTTAATTGGTCTAAAATTTGCTGGGGTAAAGCTAGACCGAGGTGGTCAGTTAATGGTGTCTTTCTGTTCCAAGATAGACTACCATCTATGTATAATTTGCAGAGAAGAAAGGTGCAGTTGGCTCCAAGATGTTCTCTTTGTTTACAAGGGATTGATACCAGAAATCATTTGTTTGTTCAATGTCCATTTGCAAGGAATTTCTTGAAATGGTTGGCAGACACTCTTGATTGGAGGACTGATTTTACTCTTTTGAACTCAATGGATGATTTGTTGACTTGGTTTTTGCAGCAGAGTAACAAAATGGTTCACACTATGCTAGTTGCTGGGCTTTGGGGTATTTGGCAAGAGAGAAATTGAAGACTTCATGACCACAGTTCTAGGTCCACCTCTGAGGTGGCTCGACAATTTTATATGAAGTTCTTGATGTTTATAATGTCCCCCTTAGGGACATTATTTAGCATTATTTGTTTACATTTCATTTCTTTTTCTGCAATAGGTTTTTCCATTTCTGTTTCATTCTGAGGGAATGCCCTCTGTGCGCCTGTAAATACTTTTTCTTTCTTTTACACAAACCCAATTATGAAAAAAAAAAAAAAAAAAAAAAGAGTTTTCTTTATGATCATTAAACATTAATTCCCCATCAACATGATTCTATTAGTTGGGTCCTAAAAGTATTTCTTCAGCTTTTTCCTTTTTTTCATTCTATTCCCAGCACCCTCACAAGTCACAACTTTATCAAAAATCAATACTTCTTGTCCCTGTTACTTCACCTTAGCATATTTCTAACTCCTAACCTTCTACCAATCTTCACTCCCTCTGATCAACAATAGTAACCTAGTTTGGTTGCTTTCCATGAAAATGAAAGGCCTTCTTTTCCCTGCTACAATAGGAGATTGTGACACCCTTGACTTGAAGCAAATTCTCAGGTTTCTTTTTCTTTTTTCTGGTAAACAAATTCTCAGTTTCTTTGTTATCAAATTACTCAAAGAAAAGGTATATTGTGAAGGCAACTTCAGGCCTCCATCACCTAGAACCATGAAATCTCATATTTATTCTTTGTCGTTGGCTAATTTGTACTTAATAGCCATCTCTATTGGAATTTCCCATGACAACCTTGCAAAGTCTTCTCCTACAAGCATCTCAACCTCGACCTACTGACCAGAAAGCTTTATTGCAAGGACCTCTTCTCAGAAAACCGTCTTCTTCGTCACACACATGCCAAGACATCGAAGACTTAAAGCCACCTTGACATACATTGTGCACTTTGTGGCAAAGAAGAGGGCTCGGGAAGCTTCTACAAACTTGGTGCACCACCAGAAATGAGGGGTTATGGATGTTAGCTGTCACATGAGATGGGACGGGTAAGGCCAGATAGGTAGCACCACATCTAATAGGGATGGGGAGGGTCTCGGGCTTATAAGGGCGGGTAGAGAGCACCCCCTAACAGCTTAAACTTTTAAGTAGAAGTGAAAGCGCCCACCCCATTATATGAGCCCTATTGGATCCTAAGAGCTACTTGGCTTGGCAGCTAAATCCCAGAGTTTGCACACACCTCAAATGCACTTTACAAAGAAGAGAGACCAAACACTCCTAGTAGCCAACCAAACTCCAAGGCTCCAAGAAACCCCGATATCCCTTGAGATGACCTATGACCAGTACAATGCAACTCCCCATTGCAATGTTGTCTTATAAAATTAAATGTCTAACGTACTCCACTAAATAAGGCCTTATTGTGTCTTATCCACACCATGCCCCAATGATTACACACTTATACTTGTAATTAAGAACACAACTGTACTTAGTTCTAATCGTATCTGATGCAAGTATTCATATGGCCCTGTGGGTTGACCCATCATGTTGCAGAGGGTACATGTGTTATAAACAGATCCCCCATATATATTTGTATTTACCTCTATGTGCCCCCCACTCCAGCGGACCAGCGCTACAGGAGGCATTAAACCCGCATTTAAGAAGGCAAACCATCTCAACTACCAAAAACCTCCATTTGGACCAAACCTCAAGTATCGCTGGCATCTTAATCCTTCCGCTGCTCGCATCACCTCTCACTAATAACTAAACCTGGAGGAGTCATTCATCACGTTCCTAATTTTCCATTTTCTGACTCTCCCATAAGAATTATTTTGATTTCCACCTAGATCAGTCCACCTAAACCTCTCATCCATCTCAAAGAACACCTCATCGCTTTATTCCTTATCTTGAACCAACAAATTATAGACATGAGCGTTCATGGATCGAGATTAGGGTGACCTGAACTGGCATTTAGACACCTTTTGCTCAAGTTGAACTCAAGGTGACATGCATGGCATAGTGAAGCTTTGCAGGTTACATAAGGAGATGAATCCCATTCCTGGTTACAAATTTAACACTAACTATTTATTGAAGGTAAATTATGCAGATACTGATATTCTGAAAATAAACAATGTAATCCATTTCTCATAAACTTTCAAATAATTTCATAGAAAGACATATAGACACCATATAAGAAAGAAATAATGAATAGGATCTTTTTTAAAGAAAAAAGATAAACAATTATAATCACACAAATAAGATGCAAATCAATGCACATTTAAATTATATTCAGAAAACGCTCAAATAATAATGTAAGGATTTTTTTTCATTATTATTTTTCCTTTCAGTACAGATCATGCCAATACTTAGAAAAATACTAAAGAATTTGGAGATTAAGAAGTATAAGGGCATATATGGTGGAATAAGCAATTCCACAAACCAAATGAAGTCGGAAAGAGACCTGTAATATGTACACAACGATACATCTTCATGTGTACCCAACGGATGCCAAAAGTGCATCACCGTAAATATCTTGACCGGAGAAGTAACTTCCCCTCGCGTTTAAACATTCCTTGAACTGAACAGCCTTTTTTTGCAGTAGTTCTGATGACAGATCCAGCGGATACCATATGGGAGCACGAAAGTACGGTCTTGTCACTGAAGAAGCTGTGCCAATGGTCCTGTAAAAATTGTGTAGTTTTTCAAATAAACAGATATTCACAAGGTACGTTTATATAAAAGAAAGAAAGGGTCCACCCTCTCCCACTCTACCAAACTTGCACTATACCCTACAGGGGTTGAGTGCCAAAACATTTAGCATCAACTTCCAACCTGTCAACTCAAGCCCACCGGTACATAAAACTTCCCTTCCTTGCTTGTCAAGCATGGAAAATTAAACTTCACTGGAGTCTATGAGCTGCCCACCCATTCATATTAGAGTTTTGTGCAAATCTATTATTATCAGAAATGTAGTTATGAATTTCCCAGCTAACTGTTTTTTTTTTTTTTTGTTTTCCTTTCAAAATAATATCTAATTCAAGTTGGGCATGGCAAAAAATAAGTTCCACAAAGATTTAGGATTCAAAATTATTCCTTACTTTACCTAAAAATCGGAATATTAGCCGAGTAGTACAAATAAAATTCAAGTATATGAGGATATTCAAACCACACCACACACACCAAACTATACCAACTAAAATTTATGCAATCCCCTACCTGGAAATCAGAACCTTAGATGCATCCGTTAAACCAAGTCCGTGGGCCATAACATCCAAGTAATAACCACTAAAGGAGACACTAAGAGTTATGGGTATTGGGTACAACACTTTTGTCAACTGAATATGGAATACATATGGCTTCAATCAAAGTGCTTTCTGGCAAGCTACATTGTTGGTTACTACAGACTATATAATCTCAGGATCGTAAGGATCTTGCCTCTTCATCGAAAACTGTGCTTCCGAAATAGAAATGAAACCAGGTAATGTTGCAGCAGCCCTCAAAATAAGTGACATGAGTTATAACCAACAATGGATTTGTTTCAACCTCAGGATTTACATATTTATATAAATTATAAGACTTTGCATCACAGATGGCAAGAACAGAAACTGGAACTGAACCATTCAGCTGATCCTCTCTCCATAAATCTGCTCTAAAGTGACCGCTCAACAGATAAAAAGATGAAAGAAACTTCACCAATGGAACGAAGATAATGAAGAGAAGTCAGAATTAACTCAATTTATAGAAGATAAAGCACTACCAATCAGATGTTTTAACTAATGACATAAAGATGCTAGACATATACCGAGATTTCTGATCACTGAACAAGAAACATATTTTCTTACTTGGTAAAATGAAATCTTCTTGACTTTAGTCTATTTCAGCTTAAGTAACCTACCTCATTTGAGAATAAATATGTGAGACGTAGAACTAAATCATCCCGTGCTTCTCATACAATGGGATTACTTGTTGTAGGGTTGATCCCTATCTGTAACAGAAGAATAGAACTAATAAAAAAAAACATACTTTATCAGCCAATTACAAATTTACACGTAATAAAGTAAAGAGGTGAGACGAAACATACATAATAACCTAATCTGAATATTGCACCCAATAAGAAATTTGTTTTAGGAGGCATGTAAAAACAGAACAGGCAAAAGTGTTAGCCTTGTACAAGTAGAAAATAGTGTTAATAATTAGGGTGTTTGCCACATGGACAATGACATGGTTTTTAACAAAATAAGTGTTCAACAAGCATAAAGGTGCCCATGTCCTAGACCTGTATGATTGGAGCTGTAAATAATGACAAGACAACTGAAAGTTTGATGAGTGAACTCGCAACCAAAAATGAAACACTGAGGGTTAACATTAAGCTAAAAACTCTTCTTTCAATGCTGTAAATGAACCGACTGGATATATAAATGGAAAAAGAAAATAGAGAAGAGAAAAGAATACTGGAATATAATAAAATGATCTTCTTAATATTATCCTACAAGGTAAGTGGAAAAGAAATCATTGTCACTACTCTGGGGAAAAAATTTAATAAAAAATCATTGTTGAAGTTAACTCGTATCAATATCATAAACATCATTTAGTGACTATCACTGGTATTAAAATGGTATTTGAAGTTAAATAAGTATGTAGAAAATTGAGTGAAATTTAATTTAGATAACTACCACTGAACAGAAAAGAGGAGAGCTTATAATAAAACCACTACGCGTTACTATTCTCCGCTGTAATTTTGACATCATTTCCATTGTTGAATCAAAATCTAGAATTTATACTGGAACCGTTGGTAACTGAACATTGCCAGTACAATTCACACGATGAGCAGTAGCCAATTAATGTGGTATCAAGGAAATAAGAAAGATAAGGTTTATAATTAACAAGCACGAAGCAAAACCTTTTCCAAAGCCATCTCTGCAGCAGATTGCTCTGAGTCATTCTTTTTACTTTTTAAAGGTTTCTGACACCACAAAAATTTCTGGAAGTTGCAAACAGCAACGTTTAAGGCAAGGACCCTTCTGTGAGATGGATAGCCCTGAGAATCCTTTTTGAGTGGATTCTCGTACTTCCTCGATCTTATAGCGTGCCTTGGTACCAAAGTTCCGGTGTATAATAGCCTTAGGGGTAAGCAATGTCTTCTTTAATGCAACACCTGGGTATCCTCCCGTTTCCATCAAACCCCGTCCAGGTGATGGAATAAATATAAAGTATTTGACAAGATAAATTGGGTTACTGCTACTTTCCCCATGTGTTGAAAAACATCTCAAACCAACTCAATCACATGATATAATTCATTCACAGCAAACAAAGAAAACATCTGGAATTCAAATTTGCCTATTAAAAATTAACTAACACACTACACTCAATCTCTCTCTAGATTCACAATCATAAAAAATAAAAGGGTTAATTACATCCACACTCCCTGAGATTTGCTCTATTAACAGCTAGATGAAACTTAGCACATTTTTTAACATGCACACCCCCTGTCAGAAATATCATCCAAACAAGCCTTTAAAATGCAGAAAAAGACGAATTTGCCCTCCAATCTTTAATTCATTTTAATAATAAAAATAAAAATATATATCTCAATTTGTAAAATGACAAATTTGTCCCCATTAATTGAAGTCCTCTGTCCGTATTTGACGCCCACAGCTTCTCTTCCCCTCTCTCTCTCCACCGGCTGCCACCGTCTCTCCTCAACAACGGCTGCCGCCTCCACCCGCCACCACCATCTCTCTTCACCCATCGTTACCATCTCTATTCAATCATGATCGCAGCCACCATATCTCTACACCCACTGCCACCATCGCACTCCACCCACCGGTGATTACCGTGTCACCATCTCTCTTATCATTACCAACATGGTTGATCTGTGCGGACCGTGCCTATAGGTGGCCCAATAAGCCGCTGTGAGAGTAAGGAGGAGGTTGGTTGTAGATGGGCAGTATGAGAAGGAAGTGGATTGCAGTGGTGAAAGTTGCAATGAACTAGGGTTTGTGAAATTTTGTGAAGGAATTCGGATTGATTTATGGTTTGCAGACTGCGGCGGAGGTGACGATGAAGGAATTGTTCCTCTCATTCTTCTTCTTGCTCCTCTGTTTCTTCGAATTTGGGTCGGAGCTTTCCCGGCATTCGAGATTCTAAATTGATGACCGACAACTCTTCATTGTGTATTATATTTGTGTATTAATTATCAGTGTGTGACTAATGTGATTGAAATCAGATTTTTTTGTAGAGAGAGAAGGATTTGATTAAAAGGAAAGTTATTGAATTTGGTATGTGTTTGTGCGTATGTACGTTTATGTGATCACAAACACACTCAATTCTTAGCTTTTGAGAAGTAAAAAAGACATTGAATTCTTCAACTTTCCTTTTCAACAATTATACATATGTGGTGGGGGTTTGAAGCGGTGGTGGGGCTGAGTGGTGGCTGTGGGTGTGATGGTTAAAAGGTAATTTTATTATTTAAATAGGACAATTAATAAGTCAAGGGGCAAAAAAATCAATTCACCCTGTGTCAGATGTGGCAGGGGTGTCTTTGTAAACTTTAGCAAATTTGAGGGGATGTGGTTGTTCAAAAAGGGGTTAAGTTTCATCTGTCTGTCAATAGGTCAAACCTCAAGGGGTGTGAGTGTAATTAACCCAAAATAAAATAACAAAGACTGGCTCACAAATAAACTAATCTATCCATGATCTCTTCTTAAATAAAAAACTTCAAGATATATAGCGTTCGGAAAGAAAAATAAATAAATAATCTGCATCACCCAGATTTATATGCAAGTGAAGTTAGTGAACAAATAGTTTTATAAAAAAAAAAAAATTAAAAAAATTTTTTTTAAAAAAAACCTTCTTAGTAAGTGATGTTGTATCTCTAAACTAACATGTTTGTTAGTAAAATGATCCGAGTGTCGTGTGAGAATAAGGTTCACTATGGAATAGACAATGCAAAGCTAATCTTCAACAACCAGAAAGATTAAATTTTGCAAGCATGAATTAGCAAGGCCCTGCTTGGTTTGTGTTTTGTTTTAACCCGAAACAAAACAAGTGTTTTGTTGTAGAGTGATTTGAATACTAATCGGAAGCATATTTGGTAACGTCCATTTGTTGCAAGATTTTGGAAGCAAAAACATGAAAACATGTTTGGTAACAGAGTGTTGCAAGTTTGAAATATATAATGGTTAGTTTTAAAATGTCATTTAAGAGTTTTTCAATATATATATATTTATTTATTTATTTTTCATCGCTACAATACCTGTTGCTACAGTGCTGAAATATGTAAAAAACACTAAATTGGTGTTTCGATTTTTGACTATTATTTACGAAACGTTTCAGCACTGTGCAAAATAAAATATTTTTTACCAAACATTCCACTGTTCATTGCACTACAGTACCCGACGAAAACACCAAAAACAAAACACATACCAAACAGGCCCCAAACGATTATCAATCCCAAGGTTGTTTAAATTAGAAAGGGGACAAAAGACAAATTGACATTTGGCTGTCTTACCCACTCTTTTGAGGTAAGATCTTTCCAAATTGAATTAACAGCATCAAGAAGCAATTATGATAACTATATTGATTTGTTGCTCAATAGATTGCACGAACAAGGACATATAGCACGGACCCAAACCAGACATGAATTTAACTCTATCAGTGATGATACAAGCAGTATTTTTTTTAAAATAATAATAATAATATTATCTTTCCATGTCCCAAATGACTCTATCACATCTCCCCCTATGGTCAATATGTGCCAATATATAAATAAACCAAAAAGTACTATTTTCACATCTAACACATATGGAGTGTGATCGACATTGCTTATCAGGGGAAATTAAATAATAGAATGTGGTCAACACATCAGTCATTATCGTCTATCAAAACATGAGTTCGTACTTTGACACAACGACAACTCCTACACTAGAATGTCTTTGCTACATATGCAAAGCTCAGCACTAAATTACTTGAAAAAGTATGTTTGTACATTACTTTCAACAGTTACTTATCCAACGCTCAGCACTAAATTCACCTCCCTCCCTCCCCACCTAGAAAAAAATATACCTTCACATTAGATATTGTCCAAAGCATAGCATATACAATTCTAGATCATTTAAATAAAAAACGTCTAATTTTACTCTTCACCGATTATAAACTTTCACTCTTCACCTATTATTACACTTTTGGCGGTATCCAAAATTTGTTGGGTACCACGTATATTGGATGCAAGAATGCAAGGGAACAACTTTACACGACACCCCAATTTCAAATTTTACAACGCACTATATGTACTTCATGGTCATGGTATCAAAAGAAACATTAATCCATGACTAACAGAAGCAAAATAGATGTACAATGTACTGGGAATTTCACAAAGCATTAAACCCCAAGATTCTGACGAAAATGACTAAGAAGATCCAGAATGTGCGTCTGTGTATATATATAACAAATATAATAAAATTTAAATCTTTTTATTAATTAGTATATAATAAAGTGATGAAAGTTCAACACAATATTACATTAATTCTAATAGTAACAAACAAAAGCAAAGAAAAATAAAAGGTACAAAGATGGAAAATTAGTTGAAGAAGACGAAGAGAAAAAGGAAAGGAAACTGAAACTACGTTAAATATGATAAAGAAATTCGATAAGATAAAGCCTACGAAGCTATACAAAAATGGGTTGATAATGAGGAAAGAGAACGATACCTCTCTCCATCAATTTTTCGTTTAAAGTTATTTATCAGTGTTTCACTCTCTCTCCCCCAGTGTATCGAACTGTCTTCATTCGTAGGGTTTTCTTTGGGACCATGTTTGGTAAAGTGTGAAAATAAAGAAAAAAAAAATTCTTATCATTTCCTTCCTTTTTCTTCTATTTATAAAAAAAATAACAAAATCAACGCATCATTCCTCCATTTCTTTTTATTTCCTTTAATAATTTATATCAAACATAAAACATTTCCCTCCATTGTAATTTTTTTCTTTTCTTTTCCTTCCGTTACTCTAGTACTAGTCTGGGCCTAACTGATTTAAAGGAGAGAAGAGTGTTGGAAAGTATATTCTTCATATTAAATTTAAGAGAGATAACTAACATTAAACTAATATGTCATGTAAATTTAAGAGAGATAAGTAACATTAAATTAATATGTCATGAGGTAATTAATAATGTACTAAAATAATTAATTAAATATGAAACTCAACATTTAATCAAACATGCAAAACAATGCAATAAAATACTATAAAAAATAAAGAACTTGGATCGAGACTAGTATTTAATACTATATCCGTAAGACAATTTACGTCCCGTATGATGCTGACGGATTCAACGCCTAAACTCGTGAGTACGACGAACGTGGAACCACCTGTGTGTAATACTCTCTTCGACTCAAAAATGCACATATACTATAAAAAAAAATATGAATTGAGTTCGATTTGAACTACTCCAGCTCAGTCCAATTACAATATGGCTCGTTGCTATAGATATTGGTATAATGGTTCAAACCACTTGACTATCGGGTTGAACATACTTGGGTTCATGAGAAAGGGAGAGAAGAAATAAGAGAATTCATGTAAATTCTTTATCAAAAGCGTTGGTGTTTTTTGGAATTGGGACACACCCATTCATACACGCACCCTTACACATTCCAAGAACTGAAATATGTTGTTTGTTTACCGAATATGACAGGGACCACCAGGCGCGATGGCTTAAAATGTTGCATTGGTTTAACCAAATGCGATGGCTCAAAGCGTTGCATTGGTTTAATACGTTATTGTCTAACGTAATATACATGGACACTGCAAAGCCAAATTCACATCGTAGTAGTTATACATATATATATATGTGTGTATATTTGATGTGTGTGTATATATATATTAAATATGTGTGTGTGTGCGCGCGCGCGCTACTCTATTATACAACCATGGGACAAATTGTTTCTTTAATACAATGGCAATATTGAAATTTTATTATTGAAGTGTATTACGTTATCGAAGTATAAAGGGGAAGGTTCCTAGAATAATGTTTGAATTTTAAGGAGGTGAGAGTAATGACGGGTAATGAAATATTTAATTATTCGTGAGTATTTAAATAATATAGATATTCAATACATATCCATATTAGTAATACATCGCTGTCGTAAAAATATCTCGTTAACTTTGAACCATGTGAAAATTCTAGCAAGGAGGAACATTATTGAATCCCACAAACTTCCGTGCTTTTAGTATTTAAGGTACAGTTCTTTTTTTTTTTTTTTTTTTTAGGTGTTATTTATTTTTTGCAAATGTAGATTTAACCTATCGGGAGTATATAAAATAACTTATCAAAAATTGATGAGTATACTATTTTTGTTAGATTTTAATATTTTTTTCTTTATAGATATTTTACGACAATCAAACACCATAAAATAAAATAATTAAATCTAAACAATTGGAGCCTTTGTGTCATATATTTTAGGGTTAAGTGAAAAAAACTCTTGAACAATTGCCCTTTTGCAAATAATCCCCTTGAACTAAATATTGGCCGCCTAAATTATTGATTTGTTGGCAATTAAGGATAAATCCATCACAAAAGATTATTTTACCCTTTCTTATTAAATTTGTTATTTCTTATTAAAAATTTTGATTACTTCTGCTATCTCATTGTGATTCACAATTCCCAAAATACCTAACTATTTTGAAACCAACTATTTTGAAACGGATGGAGTATATTTTCTCTTATTTAAATATTAATTAATTTTATAATTAGTATCAATTTATAATAAAAATGGAAAAAAATAAATAGATTTGTAGCAACCATTTTCTAAAATGGTTAACTTATTATACTCACTTAATATATATATATATATATATATATATATATATATATATATATATATATACCTTATTTTTTAAACAATATTCATAAAAATTTAATAAACTACGTAAATAAAATATATCTTCTATTTTATTCAATATATTTATGAAATAATAAGAAATTACTTAAATTGTTTTAAAATTTTCTACTTAAGATTTTTATTTAAATAATTAATTTCAAAAATTGAAGTCAAACTTATGCAAATTTAATAATAAATATTTTATCAAATTAGTATGAATTTTTTTCATAATTTATTTCAACAAGAAAAATAGAGAAAGTATAATTCAATAAGAAAGTGTATTATGGTTATCTAAGGAAAATAGTCAAGGCAATAGGACATTATGCAACTAAATATGATAGTTCAAAGAGTTTTGTGCAAAAATATATATTTTAGGAGGGTTATTTTCAAATTTGGACATAGTTTAGGGTTTTTTTTTTTTTTTTTCTTTTTTTTTGCATTTTACCCTATATTTTAGGTTGCTCCTCCTTTTTCTCTTTCTCTTTCTTTTTCTTTTTCATTTTTTCATTTTTTTATTGTTCATAACATTCTATTTGTTAACTTCTTATTAATTATTTAAACAACTTGAGTCGAAGGAGTTCTTGACAAATTGAGTTTGGCGTAAACTGAGATGTAACTTAATAGTACTACATTGGGTCTAGTGTGAGAGTGTTGGCCACGACATCGACCCATGTGTCTGCCCATAGTTTTTTCAAGGGTGTTACTTTTAAAATCATGCATAAAACTCCCCAACAAAATTAAATAGGTCTCTAAACTAACAAAACTCATCATTTTACCCCATACCCGTAACCAAACGGTTAATGGGCTGTAAAATGACAAATTTGACCTTATCATTTAATGTTAAAATTAAAACTTACTATACCTAATTTTATCCCAGTCCAAATATATATATATATATTATTACTACTATTAGCCCACACAAAAAAATATTAGCCCACAGACAATTCTTGGATTCGCTCTTGGCTGAAACCCTAACAGATAACACAAATATATTTGGTTTGGATGTTCGAGACTATCGCGACGCAGACTACCTTCACATTGATTGGACTGGTTCTCCAACTTTGCAAAATCAGAGCTCGTTGACAACTCGCCGATCTTCCACAACAGCAACAACGACGATGCGTTGTCCCTCCCCAGTTTTCTCTATGGATCTTATTCGCCGCCACGACTGACAACCCCTTAAATTATTCCACGCTCACATTGCTCTTCATCGCCATCAATCATAAGCTGTCGTAAATTACAAGATAAATTGAAATCAAAATCAATTTCATGGATTATATGCGTCTATTTGAAAAAGTGTGTAATAAACACCCCTAATCTTTTGACATTGTGCAAAAATACTCCTCAGTACAAAAATTGACATAAATTGGTGTTGTAATATTCGTTTTGCCCTTTTACTATTTCGAAAATACTCAAGGGATATATATACTATTAATCTCATATTATAGGGATGTTATGTGCACATTACTTTAAGAATATATAGTATAAGAGTGTTTTATGCACTTACCCTGTTTATTTTTAAAATTCAATCCCATTAATTGTTTTTTTTAGTTCAACACTAAAGAATCCTACACTTAAATACCAAAATCTTGTAAAAACACTCCTTCAGTATACTAACATTTAACTGGCGCACTTAACATTAAATTATTTAAATTAACATTTAACTTACAATTTGAATTTTTTTTTTTTTCTTTTCGTCTTGACAATTTGAATTAATTCTGTATTAAACTTGAGTCAAATAAACAAGTGGACTTTCTCTCTCCTAAAACTCACACAGGTCTCTCTAGTCTATTCTTGATCATGCCATTGGCCTCCTCTTTATCTTCATAAAAGAAATCAATTTGTGCATCTTTTACCAAAACTAATGCTATTAAGAATAGGAATTCAACACCTCATTCTCTATCTAGATCCCGCTTTTACCCATTCCCTTGTTTTTGCAAATTCTGCACCCATTGGAATATGCTACGGCCACCGTTCATCGCCTGTAACTTCCTCAAATCCAACGAAATCTCAATAATTCAACTATTTAACGCCGACCCTGAAACACTGGCTACATTTTCTGGCACCGGAATATTGCTCATGATCGAAGTCCCCAACGAAGTCCTCCATGACCTTGCCAGCGGCACTATGAGCACCTCGCTGCAATAGCTTCAATCTAACATTTTTCCAACATCATCGTTAAGCAAGTCCAATATATTGCCATTGAGAACAAAATCTTCCTCAAAGATCCATTCTTCACTCCAGTTTTAGTCACTGTCATTGTCAACGTACAACAAACTCTTCAAACACCAGGCTTTGATAAGACAATCAAGCTTTCCTCGCCCCATGCAACGTCCATATTCAGATCGCTGCCAACTTTAGCGTTGTTGTCCCCTTATTCGCTATCTCATCACTGTTACGGGAGTATTTTCTGGCGGTCGTAATTGTCATCATCGGCGCTTCCCTCATTGTCAATTAGAGAGAGAGAGAGAGAGAGATAAAGAGAACTTATTGTCAGTGAGAGAGAGAGAAAAGGGGGGGATTTGGGATCCACAGTAAGGGTCAGTTTGGTGTAATGGAAAAGGGAGGAAAGGAAAGGAAAGGAAAGGTGATGGAGGGTGATTAAAAAATTGTGTTTGGCATAAATAGTGGGAAGGAAGGGGAAGGTGATTGATGATTTTGGAAGGATAACTCAAGACATAAATTGTAATTTTTTTAACCTCCCAAAAATGGGAAGAAATGGAAGAAAAGGGAAGGCTAGGGTTGATGAATTAGTTCTGATGCCAAATTTACCCTTACACAAAATCAAGATTACACTTGATTTTAGGATTTAGTTTGCAAAACAAGAATAACAGACATTGATTAGTTGATTTAGAAAAAAAAAATTAAAACAAAACCCATAAATACAAGTTAGCAATTGCAGTGAGAAAGGGGGGCAAGTTTGGAGAATTGAGAGACAGCGGCTGAAACTTGCGAATGGCGAACCCGAACTGGAAAAGTAGGCAATGGAAACAGAAAGATATGGGTTTTGATTTTTTGAACAATCTGAAATGATATGCCGATATGGGTTTTGAACTTTTGATTCTTGCAAACAGATAGATAAACTAAAATATAT